TGATCGAAGGCAAGGAACTGTTTCAGCATATCCATGGCAAACAAGGTCGTTACGATGCTAGACTACACATCGCTGAAATGATAGCCTTACTTGGTCCACCCCTTCCAGAGATCATCCAAAGATATCAGTTCATGCGGGAGAACTCATGGCCACAACCTGTCAGAAGTGAAGACGACAGAGTATGCGAGACCACGGAGGAGTACTTCTATGGGCCATTATTTGTGGTATTACTGGCTTCCTATCTCTAAAGTATTTTTTAGACTCATAAATTATCTTAGGTCGCTATCTCTACGAAGACCTGATCCCCAACCGGAATCTAGACGACGCAGTCTCCTTGCTTGATGGAGAGGAGAAGGAGGCGTTTCTGGATCTCGCTAAGAGAATGCTTTACTGGCATCAGGATGTGAGAAAGACAGCAGGAGAACTGGCGGCGCATCCTTTCCTCCAACTCAAGCAAATAAGCGCCTGATCTCTGGGAGCGTTTTCGACTGAAATAACTCGCAATTCTATTTTATACCAGCTCAGCCGTGCTATCAGATGGCAGGTTACAGCGCCAGAGTATTGGTTTTTCCAAGTATCCAGGGGCATTTAATAGAGCCGTTTGATCTGGCTTTTATCAGTGGGCAATAATATAATATTCTAGATAGAACCCAACACATGGATCGCAACTTTATCGAGGCTACAATCCTGAAAACTGCTGTGAATGCGAGCGGGTCTATAAATTTGAGGGCCATAAGTAGTTACCGGGGAATAAGTCATCGACCCCCGTCCCTTCACGGAGATCTAGATCGCATCAGGCAGGGAATTCATGACAAGGACTGCAAGAGTTAATGACCCCCAGTTTTTAGATAATTCACCTACACCCTCCCTTCTCCCTGAGCGTAGCTCTGTGAATTATCCCATTCCTCTCTGAAGTCTGTAGTAAAGATCTTTCACGTAGGCCCATCATCTCTCTTCTCTGCATCTTCCTGAACCTTTTCCATCGGCCAGGACACACCCTTATGGTGCAGATATGTCTTATACCTTCTATTCTGGTGGCTGAAGCATGCGAGAAGCTACTGGTAATACTTCACCCTTGTTTACCAAATGGCTGGGTGGCTTTTGCCATATCAGCGCAGGATTTGGCCCAGCTCACCCCGAAGAATGCCTAGTTCATGTTTGCATCTCACACTCCACTTTCTGGTGTCAAGCAAGTGTTTATAAAGGTAAGTGGACATCCTTCACTAATTTAAATTTATAAAGCTAACAAGTCCCACAGGCCATTAACGAGCCATCATTAATTACAGCGGCAGATCGGTTGATTGCTCATCGAGGAAGAATGGCCCAACTTCGTATTCGAAGTGGTTGTATCGGAATTTCATAACGAGCCAAAACGTGACGCTTTATAGTGGATAGACTATTCGGATGGCAAAGTCCTGCTGTGACTTCTTGCGCCGCTATGACTTCTGACGACTATCGCCCCACAGAGCTGTCGTTGATTGAAGCTATATACTCGGAAATCAGAATCTACTCGCCGACTCCATTCGGAGCATCGTTAGATATACGGCATTGTTTGCAAACCATACACGACAATGCGTCATCTTCATCTACTTGACAAGGACGTTCAGGTATCAGTACTCAACTACTTACAGTACTGAGAGATTCACGTCATTATTGATCAGTTGCTAAGAGACTTACTTTCCTTCGAAAAGAATTTCCAATTGCCAATAACCGTTCTCATGCAGGGTCACCCGTGTATAAAAGGCAATGCCAGAAGTCATCTTACGGAATGGACAAACAATTAAATTGGCCTGATGCAGTCTCCACATTGAGCAACCTGCGCAGATGGAAGTCGTCTTCATCCACCCATCTCAAAGATCAATCGTCCCGAGTCACCGCAACAGGTTCCTTCCCACAAGGACTCAGTTTTGCATTGAATTTTAGATCTCCAATTGAGCTCTTGGAAAGAAAATTCGATCAAAGCCGGAACTTATCGAACTCAATCGACGCTGTTGAAACCCTGTCATTCGTGTTAGTCTGGATGCTGACTCGGCATATGCTACCGTTCTGGCTCATTCCATTGAAAGAGGGAGTCAGCTAATCGCACACCCAATATCACCAGCTCCGCAGATGGTGGCTGACATGGTTAAACGCCATCCTCGTGTGCGGTCTTTTGGACCGTTTCATGCCTGGCTTTCTGAATTGAAGCCATGATGCAAGTCATCATTTCTTGTTGCTCTTCGGAATGGGAATAGACTACGTGCTGTTGCCCAGCAGCTCCTGGAAAAAGATGAATTGTCATCCCAGAAAAATTGTGGGAGTGATACAACATCCATCAAGTTAAATCTGCGTGTGAATGTTCAGAATTATTAATCTCTGGCTTCAAGTACCAAGATACCGAACCCTGATTGTTAAAGTCCCAGCTGTCTTTGCAAGCTCCACATGTCATCAGGGCAACATCCCGAATATCTAGTCGAAGTGTCGAAACATTGAAGTGCACGGGGTAGTGGACTGTACAGATCTGTGGTCCTCCGTACAAGAGAAGGACAAGGAGAAGGCGGTGGCAATTGCGGCCAAAGAAAGGATGCGAAAGGTAAAGCGCCTTTGTATCGATCAATTTACGGAGAGAGCGTCATCTATCTTGTCTTGATAGATGTAAAGCAGCCGACAGAGCGGTTCTGACTACGCCCCAATTCCTCCGCTGCATGTGTAAGTGACTTCTGATTCTTTTCTTTCTCTGGATTGGGCATCTGAACTGGGAGTATTATAGATACTACTCACGAGGATGCGTGAGAAGCCTCAAGGGATGCACTGCCCTATCCGTTATTAGCAGAAAAGCCGTCTGTGGGACATGCTGGTGGGAGAGTATCTTCTTAAACCCTGACGAGATTTTAACGGTGGAGCATACCGAGGAAGGGTTGTTCAAGCTTACCGTCACCGATATGTTGAAGAACGGAGCCAGATACCGCGACAACTCTACACCAGGTGTTATCAACACACCACCCATCAGGAATCAAGATGGCTGAGGCAGTCATAACATGGCGTATATACATGGCGTGCAGCAACAGACCGGCACTGCGATACAGCAAGTATTTGGAATTGTATCAAATGGTGTCCATTGGCAATTCCTGAAATTGACCGGAAAATTTATGTGTTCAACTTACACGAATCATTTTTATTCCCCATACTCGGCCCTTTCAAATCTTGAATCAGATGATGCGGACATCGTGCCTTCTATAAATGAAGCCCAAGGGTCATACTACCGTTATCGGCCTGTACATGCGAAACCAAATGCATTGTGGTACCTAGGAGTCGAGGTACACAATCAGGTGCTTGGCCGAAGCTCGCAGGTTAATCACAAGGAGTGTACATCCTACCTGTGTACAGAGACTACATTCCATTGACCATCTTCACACAGGGGCCAAACATCACTGGATGAAAATGTGGGAGAATCGACTGGGAGAGTTTTATGGTGTCGTGTTCCATTCGGCTATTGCACACAACTGAAATGGCTTCAATCGTGGATGAGTTTTGCATGATGTTAACCGGTGTGCGTCCCGGCGACTTCCGTCCTTTGTTACTCCTGGCTTTGCTTCTGGGCCTGCTCTAGCCCCTACGTATGCTGTCTTCGCGCTTGTCCCCGTATCTGCATCAGATACTTACGCAGGCCCCAATTCGAACATAGTGTGGTGTATTCGACAAACCGACAGTTCATTCTCAAATATCCGCGGTCTTCTGGCAGTACATCATTGCCGGGGTTTGGAATCGTGTCCGACGGATGACAATGGCAACATTTGAATCAGCAAGAATAATATAATACAACTATGAATGACGACACCCCTTCCAGATATCTGAGGACCCTTGCTTTCCAAGAGCAACACGCTGCTCAGCTAGGGCGGGCAGTCCTCCAGTGTTCTCTCAGGCAGGATTGTCTGCGATTGTATGCTTTTTTCTTTCCTTTCGACGTCACACATATCTGTTTGTGAAGTTCGCTTACAAAAAGGTATACCCGTGGAGAGGCGGACTGGAGACCCATCCGCTACTTTCATTGCTTTGCTCGACCAGCAGTGGTTCTTCACTAGAATCACCGCACTTCGCGGCGCCGCGGATATTTCTGAGAAAGATTTAGACAAAAATGATTTTGGGACTCAGGATCCGCCAGTATCGTTCTCTACCGAGAACACACCTCTGCCGTGTTTTCCTATCATTTCTTGCAAGAAAAATCTGTGTGTTGCTCTCACAAAAGCTGGTTACGATGATCGTCTCTCGGACAATATCTGGAAAAGTGTTTGGTGAACTAAGCTACAAGATGGAAGGAAATAACCTCAGCAGACGAACGAAACCTTTAGTGCAGTAGCGAATCTCGCTGCTCCCTTCGGCAAGCACATAAATCATACTAAATCGATATACCAACAAGAGAACAATCTTACCTAATGAGTCACCAACTGCTATGTTTCCAAGAGATATGTAGCAGGCTTGCTCTGGTTTATTGTTTTGGAAATGGGAAAAGGCATGATGCAAGGAGGGATCCAGGCTTCTAGGCTGTACTCTGCGTGCGAGTATAGCGTCGAATGTCTGCAGTGGGATCAGGGATCTGAATCCGAGAGAGATCGTTAGTCTACTTCATGTCATCTTTACTGAAGTAGCACTCTTATCTCAAGTATCCTCATCGTACTAACCTGTTGATTAGATCTATAGCATGGAGCCTCGTAGCGCACAATAAAGAAAGGGGGTTGCTGCCAAGTCAATTGCTTTAACTTGTCTACGAGATAGGATGGTTGGAAGAATATGAGAATTGATTATGCATTATGCGTCAATCTTAGGCAAGATCAGACGTTTCAAGAATTCAAAGAACTAGATGATCGTTTATTCTATGTTTGAAAAAGTTCATACATCTCCAGTCACTATCAATTTTGATAAAATTACTCCGCCGCAACAGGGTATCTAGATTTCCAATTTCCACAAAGAAACCAAAATCGTCATCTCAAATTGAACAGCTAAATTACCAGAACCAAAAAAAATCACAACTCCCCCAGCCGAATTTCGACCCCATCCAGCCCCATCGTCGTCATGATCTGATCCATCCACGGCGTGATAGGCGGTCGTTTCGTCTCCGGCGTAATCAGCGATTTAACCTGTAATCCGACCTCCCCATCTCCGGGAGAATCAGGCGGTGTGAGCGGAGATGCACCATCTTCGGAGTCGAATTTAGACGCTATTGATGGAGATAAAGAGGGAGCCAAAGGGGAAGCCGAAGCCGAAGATGCCACCTCCGGCGACGGTGACGGTGCGATTCGATCTTCCAATAACCGAATCTCCTCTTCCATAGACCCCCGCTGACTTGGGTCGAGGATCCAAACGCAGTAATTTAGGATCCGTAGCCCTGACCGCACGCCCTTGTCGAAGAGGCTGGAGTATCGATCGAAGAATAAATGTGGTAGCGGGCCGATGAACCCACGTCCTGGAGTATCGTTTCCCTTGCGTGCGGGTCGGGTCTCCCCATGCACTTTTGTCTGTATCTGTCCAGCTCGTAGCATCGACACCGCGACTCCGAATTCGGTGTGGATGCCTCGTAAAGCCGCGCGCGTCGCCTGGACCCGTTGTAGCAGCGCCGTCGTCTGCTCCTTGGTGGGTTTCACCCCCTTCGACTGGTTCTTGTGCAGCTCGCGCACCTGCTGCACGTGTCCCGGGATTTGAATCACCACGAGACTCGCGCGCTCGATGACATCCGTGTACAGTGACGAGTCCGGGAGTTTAGCATTATCCGCCACGATCTGCTCATTCACGGCGCGCCACTCGGGCGTCTCCAGGAAGCATGACTCCCCTGAGATCAGCGCATGCGTGATCAAGAAGTGTCGGTAGGCGAGGTACAAGGCACGTCCGAATCCGTGGACGTGGGCGGCCGGTCCGCGCAATTTCAGGAGCGTGCGGATCCCTGCTGCGTGACGCAGCCAGGCGTCGGGTTCTGTGCAATGGTGTTTCTCGTAGATGGCGAGGGAGATAGCTGTCGCGAGGCTTTCGTCTGATGCGGCGGTGGTTGGCGAGGAGAGGAGGATGGCGAGGCCGCGAAGGGAGCGCAGGTACAGGTCTCGGCCCGCGTAGGTGAAACGTGGGTCGTTGTACAGAGCCCCTGTGTATGCGAACGTGCAGGCGCGCAGGGCCCAGTCGAATGGTGACGGGGTTGGGGAGCCCCGTCGGCCGTCGACGTATTCGATCCAGTTGACGGGGACTTGCTTTTCGGTGCATTTGAAGTAGCAGGGGAAGACGGCGAGGACGTAGTTGGTGAACACTTCGGTCTGTTGGTCGGCGAGAGCGGTCACGGTGAGGGAAGGGGAGATCGTATCATCAGTACGGAGTGAGATCGGTTGATAGTTGGCGATAAGGCGCCCGGTTTGAGGAGTCGCAGGTTGTTGTTTAGATGAGGATGAGGCATCTCGAGATGCGACAGAGTGGCTGCGGTGACTCCGACACCGGACCTTGAGGTCTTTGCATCGCGAACACGCAGCCCCGTCGTCACCCTGTAACCAGGTCAGCCGCGAGTTCCATCAAAGACATGCCGAGTAGACATCTGCCGAGGGAGCAATAGTCTAGATCTCGATCGCATTGCCGGCTCCACTTCTCTGCACGTCAAACCCAGGATGGAGTCTAGGTCGGCGCCAACTCCAGGCAGCAAGATTTGCCACGCCGTTGCGACCGCACCATGTGGAGGAATCCAGAGAAGAAGACAAAATAAAAAGGCCAAAGGAAACAAAGACACTACTAACCTGAAGCTGTGCATGGACATCGCCTTGAAAGTGGGCACCTCGCACCATGCTGGTCGCACATGTGGCAAGGAATGACCAACTTCCTCGTATCCGGCAGAGACGACATGGAGAGATGGGGATGGATAAAAGGGTCCGACGGAGGCACATAAAGGCAGCCTGGTGGAGAATTCAACATTAAGTTTAGCCATCGACCCGGTCTTTTAGTTTGTTTCTACTAGCCCCATCGACCAGTCCTCAGCTTAAATTGCAACGGGTCCTTTACTCCTGAGTTCTGAGACTAGAATTCTTCTCGAATAATGCATAAACTGTAAACACTGACATACAGATTTAAGGCCCCGTCTACTGCCAGGACCTCCAGTATACAAAGTGCGATCATTCTCACTCCTCCACGGCTCGCGCCCATCGCCTACCTATGCAAGTACAATGCCAAATCAAACACAGCATGCCACCGGATTTTGGTTTCGGCTAATAATAACAAATCGAAGGAGAGGAATATAAAGATGGGGAAAAAAAAGAATATATCAGGTAATGTCATGCAACCGTAAATCGCCATCAATATCAGAGACACATGGCTGGTCATCAACACAGGGAGGAAGAAACGGTGATGGGAATCCTAAAGACGCGAATGACCAGCAAGGAAGGATGAAAAATAAAGAGGTGAAAGGAAACCCGACAAAGGAAAATGTTCAACTGCGCCGGATTCGCCAGAGTGGAAGAGAGACGGTGGAAGAGGGGGCGTTCGAAGATGGTGGATAGCGACCATCCATTATACCAGCCCGTCATACAGCGACAGGGCGCTGACGATCGTCTCGTCCCGTTTGCTGCCCTCCTTGAATTCCTCCATGTCGAGGCTGCCGTTCTCGTCCTTGTCCATCATGCGGAAGATCTTACGAACTCGTTTCTCGGGGGTATCCTCGTCCTCGGGCAGTTTTACCATCGAGCCCACCTAATCAAGCCAGTGAGCAAGAAAACATAATAGAAAACCGAAAAAAGAAGAAGAAAAGAAAGCATACCATCTTGTAAATCGCCTCCACGATCGCCAACATCTCGTCGTACGTGATCTTGCCGTCGCCGTCGATGTCGTATAATTGGAAGGCCCAGTCCAACTTGTCCTCCATCTTGCCCCGCGACGTGACCGACAGCGCGCAGATGAACTCCTTGAAATCGATCATGCCGCTATTATCCGAGTCGAATACGCGAAAGACATAATTTGCAAATGATGACGGATCGCCGAAGGGGAAAAACTGTCGATAGATCTTCTGGAATTCTTCCTTGGTCAGGGTCCCCGAGGGGCAGTCCTTGAGAAAACCTGGCCCGCGTGCGTTAGTCCGATCGTGTATTCTCCGTGTGCTTGACTCCGGTCGATCGTCGGAGATATTACGCACCCTTGTACCACTGCTGCAACTCCTTTTTATCAAAATGGGTCGCCTTCTGGAGCTCGTCGAGCTGCGAGGGGGAAAGTTTTGACTGACTAAATGGAGACGAGCATGATGGTTAGCCAGCCAGCCAGTGACTTGAAATAAATAATCAAATGGGTCGACCGCGCGAAGGCAGATCCAAGGCCCGCACGACAGTGTCGCCAAGTTGCAGCGGTCGCAAACTCCCCGCCGCATCGCGACCGGCGCGTGCTGCTGCCCACGATCTGTTGTTTCTTTGTTTCCATCCTACCCGAACGAGGAAGCGGAGCGACCGGAGAGAAGTCGATTTCGAGCACTTACGACTTGCCCATTGTCCACAAGCCACGCAGAAAGTGGAGAGAAAAAAAAAACCAGCAACAGAATTCCCGGAAATGGAATCACGTAAAGGCAGTGCCCAAAAGCACAGAAATCGGGGATCGGAAGGCCGCGGTTGTCATGCGCCGAAGCAGGAATCGGCTGAAACGGAGGCACGGAAGACGACGCGGGGTAGTCGAGGTTTGGGTTGGGATTGATAAGATCGTGCGCCGCTTGGCCGAGGGGCAGCAGGGACGGGGGTCAGAACACTAGTGACAAGGCTAGAGGCTAGAGAGTCACGCAGGGAAGACAGATGGAAAAATAGGGAGAGACGAGGGAGATGTTGAGTCTACGGTGATTGCGAAAGAACCCGCCGTGGCAATTCAACCCGTCGGGTCCAGACCTCCGCCGGCCTTGGCATTCAACGATCATGCATTACGCAATGCGCACACTAACGGTACTAACTATAGGTAGTTGGAGAGTACTTCCAACATTCTCACTTCCTCGCTATATACATACATGAAACACACCGGGTATTGCTCTGCAATTCATTCCGACCCATTCCAACTATACAGGGGATATCTGGAGAAGACACAAGACACTAATCATTCGTCATCGTTCTATAGGAAAATACAACTCGGCCGTCCGGTCCTGGACCAGAAACCATGTACGATGACTCGTCGTACAGGCCGAGACCAAAATAGCTCACGTCGAAAGATCTTTAATCGACCTTGATGGAGCCGTAGATGCGTTGCACAAACGCCCAGCTAGCAAAGAATCCAATTGAACCTGTACATCGGTAGTCAGCTAAAGTCCTGTGCAAAGAAAAAGGAAAAAAGAAGAAAAACATACCGGTCAAAATGAAGACAATAAATGAAATCAAGGCAGAGTATCCGAGATACAGAACCGCTCCGGTAAAGCCGCCGAAGCTAACGCGAGTGGCCCAGAAAAGAAGGGCGTTGAGGAAGACGAAGGCTCCGGTCATACCCGCACCCGCGAACGCTCGCCAGTGCCACCGGTAGTTCTCGGCGCACAGCAGGAAATACACCAGCAACACCGTCGTGGCTGCCGAGGTGATCACCATCAGCCCGTAGCACAGGAACAGGAAGCCAAACATGTAGTAGATGCGGTTGGTCCAGATTGACTTGGTGATGAGGTACAGCTCCACGAAGATGGATGCGAAGGGAAGCACGCCGGTCAAAAGCAACGACGGAACGGTTCGCAGGGTACCGGTCATCGGGGGCACTTGGCGCGGAATCTGGTTGGTCTTGGTCGGTCCTTCAATGGGCTGGGAGAACAGTTAACGGTGGTCATTCAGTGTAGGTGTGTTAGAACGTACCTGTTGCTTGAATCCAAGCCAGCTGCCCGCAAAACTCAACGGCACGCTGATGACAAACCAGATCAGAACCAAGGCAAGCATCGTAGTGAACGGAACGGCGCCGCTGGATCCTTTGCCCCAGACGAACAGGTTGAGCAGGAAGAAAACGCTGAAGATGAGTCCGGGAACCAAAACGGGAGTCATGATGATGTTGCGCTTCCACGATTCCCCGCCGAACGACTTGTACACTCGGGACGACACGTATCCACCGATGAAGCCGAACAGCGTGTAGATGAGAAGGATGGCCGTAGCCAAGAACCCGCGGTTAGAGGGGGACAACAGTCCGAGAAGAGCAAAGACTAGAAGCGCGTCAGTATCGGGACCCTAGAGCGCACGTCGGGACTGCTCGAAACTTACTAACGGTGACACCGGTCATCATAAAAAGCTGGGCGCCGTTGCCGACAAGAACACTCAACAACAACGGCGATTGAGGGCAGCGGAAAACATCTCCGTGCACCAGCTTCCATCCGGAATCTTCCTGAATGCCGTCCTCCACGGCAGCAGATGTGCCGTCCAGATCATCCAGGTTGATCATATCAAGTCGGTTATAGCGCGCAATGTCCTTCTTCAGCGCTCTCATGAGGATCATGCTAACCATGCCGACCAAGAAGACGACGAAGATGGCCGAGTTGATGAGCGAGAACCAGTGGATCTTCGGGTCCTCCACGTACAAGTACTTGTCCCAACGAGTGGCCCACGGCGTGGTCGATTCGGTCCAGTAGACGCTGTAGGTCCAGCTCACCGGAGTGTCGGCCTCCTCGTTCAGAATGACGGGGGTCTCGCTGCTTCCGCAGTCCGCCGCGCCATCTTCGAGCACATGAGAGTTGCCTCGCGATTCTGGCTTGACGAGCACGCCGACCACGCGGAACTTGTCCTTGTTGCCGAATCCCACGCGGTGATAGTCGATGTAGATGTTGTAGTGGTTGTGCAGAAGCGACACTCCGTTCTCGTCCAAGGTACCTAGGGCGAAGCCGGGGCTGTAGAACTTGGTATCGGTGCCCGAGTCGATGTTGATCTGCGCTCCCGGCAGACCATCCACTAACCAATTGATGTTGTATCCCTGCGCGATGCGGCGGTTGGTGAACTTGGCGCTGCGGGAGTCAAACTGAACCTCTCGACACACTGACTTGCACGTCTCGTTCTTGGCCATCGCCAGGTCGAACGAAGAGGTCTGGATCCGATCGCCAAACAGAATGCTTCCTAACGATTCCCGGACATCTTTCGGTCCGTCCTCCGGCGCGCAGAAGTGGAACGCCTGGTGGTAGTAGTCGAATGAGAACACCGAATGCAGCTGGTCGTCTTGCTGCGCCAGCCCCGGCGTCAGATGGTTGACATACAACGGAACGGATTGGCCTTCATCGTAAGAGGTAGGAGCTACGCCGGGTAGATAGAAAGCAGCGGAGAGAGACGGCAGGGTACATAGGAGGAGGGAGGAAGCGGACAACGTTCTCGTGTTGAACCACATGGTGGATGTCTGAGCGAAAGGCGCGGTATTAGCTCTAGTGAGATACTGGGTCGGGTCTAGGGATTAATAGTTCAGGTAGCTTGTGGATGCCATACAGAATCTACAACAGCCACGCCACAAACGGAGAAATCCTCAAGATCTCATGGATTGGGTGTCGTGGGATATTGATAGACCACCAACTCAGCGAGAGCGAGAATGCGGAATCACCGATGAAATGGAAATGAAGGAAATCAAATCAGCCTTGCGGACAGAAGTGCAGCTCCCCTTCCCGCTGCCCGTTGAGGCCAACTAGCCGGTCTTGGCACACGTGATGACCCAGGTCCCGTCTGACTCAGCCGGTCCCTCCTTTAACCTATCATCACGTGCTGATAACGTCTCCAAAAAATTTCCCTCGATGGTTCTTCGGCGGCCGCGAGTCTAGCTGAGCAGTCTCGTCAACACATTCGATTGATTCATCTGACCATGGCGATGGCCGCGTCACAACCTGAAGGCTCGAGCCTTCCCAGCATCTCCACTCTCTTGGAAAATATCACAGGCACTCTGAACACCGTCGGCTCGTCACTGCCCAAAGCGACCCGCGATCAGCCCTCCGACGTTTCGATTGAACCGCCGCAAGATGGCATCTCGCTGTTGGACACCAAATCCGAATTACTCCTTTCCTACATTCACAACATCGTCTTCCTCATGATCCATGAACTACGTGGACTCTCCGCGACCAAGAGTGACGGTGCCGAGGCCGATCCCTCGTTGCGCGAGGACATTGTGAAAAAGCTTGTCGAGCTACGTATCTACCTGGATCGCGGCGCGCGACCATTGGAGGGACGGTTGAAGTACCAAGTCGACAAGGTGGTCAAGGCTGCAGAGGACGCCGAACGGGCCGACCAGGCATCCACCAAGGCCAAGGGCGCGAAAGCAGCGCACGGCAGCGACGATGACGACGGCTCCAGCGACAGCGAAGAGAGCGAAGGAGACGAGGATATTGACGAAATGGCATACCGACCCAATGTGTCCGCCTTCGCCAAGAAATTCGAGCCCACAGGAAAAGCCGACAGGTCGGCCAACAGAGAAACTACCGACGACGGCATCTACCGCCCGCCGAGGATCATGCCGACGTCACTCCCCACCACCGAATCCAGAGAGCGCAAGGAGCGCGGGCCCCGGAAATCGAACGTTATCGACGAGTTCGTCACCGCGGAGATGTCGTCCGCTCCGATGGCCGAGCCCAGTATTGGCAGTACTATCACGCATGGTGGAAGACACACGAAATCCAAGAAGGAGAGGGAATACGAGGCCGAGCGGACTGCTTATGAGGAAACCAACTTCACCCGTCTCTTGGGTGAGAGCAAGAAGGAGAAGGCCAAGAAGGGCGGCCAACGCGGCCCCCAGGGCACGTTTGGTGGTGAAGAATGGAGAGGCCTCACGGAGGGTGCCGATCGCATTTCCCGGCTCACGCGCAGGGCCAAGGGAAGCGGCGGCGCTTTGGACCGAAGCCGGAAACGAAAGACCACGGATGATGGACCTCGCGACGACGGGGCTGGCGTGGGTCATATCTTTGAGAAGCGACGGAAGAAGGTGGATAGCTGGAAGCGGTAGTTGTGTGTTTATAGATAGATTGTTAGAGATGTTTAGCATTTTCTCGATACCACTGAAAAGTTAATTGACAATTTTTCCATGTCTTTTGTCGTACGAATGTATGTTACATAGAACGTTCATGCAGTGTAGCATATCTGTAGATCCCAATGGTCCAATGCTGTTGACCTATGCAATCTACCGTATGATATCCGCAGTTACCCGCTGGTATATGTGCAGTTAACCAACAAGTTGGTGCGATACTATAAATTTAATGCGAAAAGGGCAGTCTTACTATGGAATGAATTTAATCATCAAATTGGTATGTCTCATTGGATTAGCTGGTCGTGAGCTCTATTTAGTTGAACCAAATTTTGAGGTTTACTAACTGCTTGCAAAAGTGGTAACTAGTCTTTGAATATATTTTAGGCCGCTCCGCAGATCTCGGTTGCAACTGGCACGTTCTCACAAGTAGGTAATTCAACTGTTTAAATTTCTATTAATAAACATATTAATAACGGTTTCGTGTTTCCCATTTGCTTCCTTCTTTTTGTCTTTCTCCATTATTGCGTTCAGTCCCGTCCTTTAGGCAATGTACTGGATGTATGTATGTACCTTAAAATGGAAGTGTAAACCCAAATCTAGACCTACTAGCGGTCTTCACGTGGGCGGTTCTTTGGTCCGGATTAAAGTAATAGTTTTCAGGTCTCAATCGCATTTTCTGCGGTTCATGTGAAGTTCCGATTGCTGCCTGCAAAGCCTGGCCGAGTCTGACGTCGCCAGCGGCCACCCGGTGCCTGTGCATATGACATCATTGTCCTTGTTCCTCCTTTGTCGGCCTCGTCGAGATCGCCCAACCTTTTTATTTACTATCTGCAACGTCTTTTGGTCTGGCTCGAAAATCTACCAAAAGTCTCAAGTTTAATCTATAATATCTAATTGAGCAGCAACATGGAGAATCCAGGTTCGTTTTTCGCCCCTTGCCATGCTTTCCCATCGCAATTGCCCAGGAGAGCACATCGCAGCATGCCTATAATGAGCATCACCTAACTGCAAATACAGTCGCCGAAATCCCTGTAGTCATTCGACTGCTCACGCAAGCTCCTCCCTCCCTCCAAGAAAAGACAGTCAACCGCTACTTCACGTCGTCGGCCGCATTCGTCCACCCTTTCTGTCAAGTATGGAGCTACAAGGACAGCCGCTGGGCCATTAAGAAGATCTACCAATGGTACAAGGTCATGTCGCCGCGGATAGAATTGGAGGTGCATTCTGTCGGTGCGTTTGTCTCTTCGGCAACCCATTAATGCCTATGTTCGATCCGTGGATGAAAAGCTAACTAGGAACCCGCAGCATACGATGAAGCCAACCTAAAACTCTACGTTCAGATGTCCCAGATCTTCACCATCTGGGTCGTTCCCTTCCATGTTGCTCCTGTGACTTTGACGACGGTGCTAGACCTCACGACGGACTCGGGCGATCGGAATCTGACGAACGGCGAGAAAACGCTCTACTATATTCAGAAGCAGGAGGATCTCTACCAGCCGACGCAATTCGTCAAGTTCCTGTTCCCACATGTCGGTCATTGGTTTGTAAGGCTATTCCACTTTTTCGCGACACTGTTTTGCGTCTGGGGAGCGTGGCTCTTTTGGCCGTTTATCTGGTTGGAGGAGAACGGGTATATCCCGAATTACCTGCTTAAGGGGGGAAATCTTGTAGCTGATATTCAGAAGAAGGCGGATGAGATTAAAAAAGATTGAGTTTTTCGATTTCTGCTGTGCGAGGAGTTTGGATCATATACTTATGTAGTTGAACAAAGCGATGTTTTAATTCTGGTATAGATGACAACTATGAGTTATGATGTGTTCAGTGATACATACCAAGGAGTAGTCAATGGTAATGTTCCCTGTCGCATAAACATGGAAGGAATTGAGCACACAATCTCCTGAATCCTCCTTTCTAAGAGAGACATGACGATGACGCCTGCACGAGGAATGGACCGGCGGGCTAGCCATGCTAATAATGCAATCGCCAGGGATCCACCAGGAATGGGATGCATAATGCATTGGTCTCGAACAACGGCGACCGTGCCCGGGCTGCGCGGGGCCGAACGGCCTGACCACGAGAAATTTCCGACTGTCGGAAGCTTGGTAGTTTGTGAGACCAGCATTAGTATGTTCGCATTTCAAGTTGTTGACCTTGTAGTTGTAGACCCGAAGACGCACGCTGGCCAAGAGTGCCTCAGGGCACCGTCCGCAGATCACTGCTCCACCAGGAGTATAGCAGACAGAGCTTTGCAAAGGCCACACAACGGCGAAGTGTACCGGTGAACAATCAATTGGAAGGAGTCAGAGTGGAACCTACCGGGGAGAACTGACTCTGTCCAGGAATTCATACATATCCCTGGAAACATCCCCGAGGGCGATTATCACATGTGTCTTCCATCATCGGTCCACAACGACGTCATCGGCAGCCACATGGCAAGCCGGATATCCTTTCTCGCTTCATAAAGTCGCTCTCGCCCGGTCTGGACTACGTGAGACGAAATTCCCTTCTCATCTTCCCCCTCTTCTCCCCCGTCCACCCATATACATCGCTACCCCTCATTGCCGTGTTCCGCCATTCACCTCTGCCCATCTCATCCCCATCCATGGCAGAACCTCGAGGCCAGTCCACCCTGGTGGACTTCATCAAACATCCCATCGTAAATAGTTTTACCTTTCTCTATCTGATCTTTCAGGCCATCATCAACTACATTTTTGCTCCTGCCCCGCCCCCGTCGTCGTCGGTCACCAATGGCCTCCCTAAAAAGAGGGTCGCGATCATCGGAACTGGCTTGACTGGTGTTTCGTCGGCCGCTCATTGTGTCGGTCATGGCTTTGAAGTGCAATTGTTCGAGCAGAGATCGAAGGAAGAGGGTTTGGGAGGAATCTGGAGTGTAAGTCTGCCATGCTGGTCAAATGAAGGAGCTGCTGCTAACGGGGTTCCGACAGCGCGTCAATTCCACATCTTCACTCCAAATCCACAGCCTTATGTATCGCTTCCACCCGTCCGTCAGATATGACACTGCCTACCCCACGCAGCAGGAAATCAAGGACCAGATTGTTGAGGTGTGGAAACGCTACGGTCTCCAAAAGCACACCGTTTTCAACACCCCCGTCACGTCCGTCAAGCAAGCTAAGAACGGCAAATGGATCATCAACAACGACGACAAATACGGTCGGTTTGACGGAGTCCTGACTGCAGTGGGAGTATGTGGAGATCCTAAGCAGCCCCCGTTGCCGGAGCAGGAGAAGTTTAAGGGCAGCATCTTCCACTCGTCCAAGCTTGATGGCAAGGATGTCGAAGGCAAGAGAGTGCTCATCGTCGGAGGTGGCGCCAGTGCCATCGAAGCGCTCGAGTTTGCGGTCAAGTCAAAGGCTGCCGAGATCGACGTGTTGTCTCGGTCGGATAAATGGATCATTCCTCGCAATGTTTTGGTACAATCTCTCCTGGCTATGAACATCTTTGGGCAGGAGACCGCGCTGTCGTGGATTCCTGAATGGCTTCTGCATAAATTCTTCTATCGCGACCTGCAGGATATCGCACCGTCCGACGGCCTGTTTACTACGACCCCCATGGCAAACGATGAACTCTTCGATCAGATCAGAGAAGGTAAAGCTCGCTGGCTGCGCGGTGATATCCTTTCCGTGAAAGAAGATGGCATCCTCTTCAACAGCCGATCCAAGGGCGTGCCGAAAGGCGGCCCTGGACACGAGGAGGTGGTCCCCGGCGATGTTATCATTATGGCTACCGGATTCAAGCGCCCGTCGCTTTCATTCCTGCCCAACGAGGTGTTTGAAGAGCCCTATGGCCCTCCCAGCTGGTATCTCCAGGTCTTCCCGCCCAAGTACACCAGCATCTGCGCCAACAACAGTACCTACGTCAACGCCATCGGAACCGTCGGCAACATGCACATCGGCATCTACACTCGCTTCCTGCTCATGTTTTTGACCGATCCGCTGACTCGCCCTACCGAGGGCCGCATGAAAACCTGGATCGACTTCACGCGCTTCATGAAGAAACTGTCTCCAACCGGTGCCTTTGACTTCTTCACCTACTCCGAACTCATTTGGTGGTTTGTCTTCTGTATCGTGGTCAACCCCTTCCGGTGGAAGTGGGCGCCTTTCGTTCTGTTCGGTGTCGGACGAACCCTTCCCCTGGAGGTGGTCAAGCACGAAGAGGCTTTCCGGAAGGAATTGCTCAAGCAGCACCAATAGGTTGGACGTACAAACCATCTGAAACCGAAGCGACGGGTTTGTGCAACCAAGCGAATGTTATGATGTTTATGATGTTCAGTTCCTGTATAGAATATTTTTCAGAGCATTAAGTAATGGAAATCGATCTGTTATACCCAATTCAAGTATAGAAGATACTCCTGTCCAGTTCCGTGTAGAGTTGTCGATATCCAGTGCCTGAGGTGTCGAAGCCTGTCATCCTGATTCTTTGTGTTTGTTGTGTTTGCAACGGAGTTACCTAAGCCACCGGTGATGTCACCTGACCTGCGAGCGAGTCGAAAGAACAAAAACAGAAGGCAGAATCGCCTTTCCTTTGGCCTCGAAGCCGCGCGCCGTCTTTTCGCCTCTGCCGAATCCCGTCTTTGTACCCCGTCGCGCTTTTTCACCCTTTCTTCTTTGTCACCGCAATGCGAAGCCTACGTTGAATGGTCCCATTTGCGCCCCGCGCGTACCTCTCATGACAGCGACACCAGCCGGCTGTCACCACTCGGCGCTCCTCTCCCTGACCTCATAAACCGTACCTGCGATCGATTATCACAATGTCGGCTCAAGGCAGAAATGTGCTGGAGCAATTCATGACGGCTATTGCCGAACTGGTCAAAAATCGCGATGGCGCCAAGCTGCAGGATTACTTGCAGCTCGAACCCCCGCTGAATGAGATATACCAGCAGATGGTGGCGGAGCTACGATATGACTATCCCGACAACCCCGCGAAGAATAAGGAACTTCAGCGCCGATGTGAAAAGCTCGTCCCGAGCTCCAAGTACGGCGGTTCGTGGTCGGCGTTTCCGATTTTTATCAGGATGTACTTCAGCTTTCTTCGGGACGTCTATGTCGAAAACCTTCTTGAGACCTATGAACAGTTGAAGGCACTATTAAAGTACGTTCAATGGCTTGTATTCGCTGGCCCGGCTATCGCAACAATGCATTTCATGATCAAAATGACTAACACGAGCTCTAATTCTAGTCAATCTGTTGTGGCACTAGGAGATGGCCAACATGGCATCATTATGCTGCCCACCGTTCTGTATCTTTCGAAAGTGCTGGCAAAACTGGCTATGGGTTTGGACGGTCGGCCGGCGTTGGTCGCGCAGTTACAGCAGATGGACGGCAACTCCAACGCGGACGAAAGCGCCGAGAAGGTGACATTCGTCGAAAAGGCGGCGAACGTTGTGCGGGAGGCTTTCATCAAATGCCTCATGGATCGCAGTGGCACCATCGGGAAGCCTGAAGGGAGAAGAGTGGGCATCTACCTCATGGCTAATTTATGTTTGAAACTGCTCTTCCAGGTTTGTCTTCGTTCTTGTTGCCTCTGCTGGGCTGGACTAACAATGTTTAGTGCGGTAAACTTCGAAATGCAGAGACCCTGTTCTCTAGTATCACTGCGCAATCTCCACCTTTGAAGTATTTCCCGGCCTCTCAGAGAGTGACCTACCTTTACTATCTTGGACGATATCTATTCTCGAACAACCTGTTTTATCCTGCTCGACTCGCCTTACAGTCCGCCTATGAGCAATGTCATCATCGCGCACTGAATCAGAAGCGCAATATTCTCGTCTATCTGATTCCGTGCAATATCATAATGGGGCGTTTCCCGTCACTAGCATTGTTCGAGCGACCCGAAGCAGAGTCTCTAGCCGACAACTTCATTCCTTTATGCAAACTGATCGCCAAGGGCGATTACATCGAATTCCGACAATACCTCGCCATTGACTCGCCCACGTCCGAATGGTTTGTCAGAAGGGGGATCCTGCTTGCCTTGCGGAATCGCTGCGAGATTCTTGTCTGGCGGTCTCTGGCTCGCAAGGTCTTTGTTCTCGGCGGCTTTCACGGGGAGCCCCAAGAGTCGGGGCAGCGTGGACCACCTCCATATCTCTACCTGAGTAAGCTAGAGACAGCCGTGCAATGGATCCAATCACGACAAGCAAACTCCGCTGAAGGTGGAGCAGATGCCCTGGCCGGTAGCAACGAGGTCGGATCACAGCTCGTCTACAAAGACAACGACCCCGATTTCGAATACGTGGATAAGCCCTTCCCAGCCGACTTGACCTTGGACCGCGAGCAGTTGTTGAACAAATTCGACGATTATCTCGCTGCAGACGCTTATTTCGACAAGTTCGGGAATCTAGAGACAAATATGGCCCGCTTTGCAATTGAGGAGGAGCCCCCGGCCAATCGCTACCGGGATTATGAATTAAATCCGTATGCCGTTGACCCAAGCGAATACGATTCCGAGCAGCCCTCTAAAATGCTGCGAGAACTCGAAAGCATCCTTGCTTCGCTTTTGACTCAGGGCCTAATGGGTGGTTATCTGACGCATCGAAACCCTCGGTTCGTCATTCCCGGTGCCCGCGTTCGCGGCGTTCTGCCTACCGGATTTCCCAACGTCTGGCAAACGATCTCAAACAGGGAGGGTTATACCGATAACGTCTCCGGGTGGGTGCAGCGTGATCGTGATGCAGGCGGCGGTGGCCGAGTGATTCATTTGAAAAGTGCACGACCTGTTGGGACATAATGAACCTGGGCTTGGTGCGTACGAGGCATTCGTTTTACTGGCCAGGTTTTGGCGGTGCAAGCTTTCTGGAGAGAGGATGCTTGGTCAATTCGTTCTGTCTATCACAAGTGCCTTTCACCTCGCATCCGTCTCCACCGGTTCGATGATTCTTGAATCTCCAAGCATCCGTTTAGCACCCAACCCCATTTCCTCACGAAAGCTTCCGTCACCTCCCAGTTTCTCGGGTCCCACGGACTCCCCCAGATCAGTACTGCAGCTTCTGAGTTTCCCGGATCCCAGAACGCCATCAGATCATGGCAAAGCTCCTCGTCATCGAAGTCATCCTGCGCGGTGATCAGATTATCCCGGATCTGTGGGAAAGGGAAGATATCCAGCCATGGATGATGGGGCTTCGTTCGCTGCAGCTCGGTTGGGCGCAGACTCTCGGGAATCGTGTGGTCTGGAAACCCCGGGCGTGTCATACTGAAGATGGAAACCGAGTCATCATCCGCCACCCACGCCATGGTCATTCCCACCACGACAATATTGTCCATCATGGCGCGTTTCATGTTCAGCTTGCTTATCGTGGCTAGATCGTTTATATTAGGGGTCCCGAGCCGATGATTCCGCAGCGTCTGGTTCTGCACCTCGAGCATCAATTCGTGGATGTTGCGGGGTGCGTTCTTGCAGTCTCTGTGGGGGGTCTGCCCAACAGCCATATGAGCAGGGCTTGTATGATCCGAAGAGACTGATTCGTGCGATGACTCCTGCGGAGAATTGCCTCTGGCCCCTGCTCCACTGGGGTCCTTAGATATCTTCCTTCGATTTCCTGTACATAGATTTAGTATGCATTAGCCGCCATAAGCATTGATGTATCATATACCTACTCAGAGCCCGCTGATTCAACCGATTCTGTAATCTCCGTCGTTCCTTCGGGTCAACGATCCCTGTCCAGTCATCTTCCGGTCCGTGACTCTGGGCCTGCGACGGCATCTGAACCACCGCTATGCGGGAGTCTACCATCGGACCGGACTCCAATTGTCCCTGTTCAGCCGACATTACCTATACTTTTCTTTGAGTTCGAGGTCAATCTAATTCACGCTGTCATCAAAAATCCAACCAGATTATACGCAAGACAATCCAACACCTAGTCCCATGCAACCCGCTTATATCTTTCCATTGACTCTATACTTCATATCTTCTGCTATACCGTCGTGCGTAATCCACCCCAGACGGATCCTTGGAACCGAGAAGAGAGATTCGTTATCATTGGGTCGTTCAAATAGTCTTGTACACTAATGCACGTTGCTGATGCTGCCTAATGGAGATACCATTCGGTCTCCGAATTTAAGGTCATTCTTTATTTCTTGAGGTTCCTTGGTCTTGGGTATGTGGATACTCTGTACTATTGGAGTTGACCGAGAGGAATGGCGGGGTGGCGTAGTCGGGCTTGGCTTGGTGGCTGTGTTTTGTTTCTTTCTACTATGTTGTCGATAACGGGGTCTAGATTCTGGGGTTTAATATGTTTTGGCGTAGATCTGGCGTGGGTCTACGTAATTTATAGACTTGTTTCATTGATTTCTGGCTTGGCTGAGAGGATGATCTGTTTTTTGGGCCTTCGTTTTCAGATTTAGGGCTGGATCTGAATGATATCATTGACACATAACCCTGCGTCATATCTTGCCGAATGTTGTAAAAAAGATTTCCATTATCTGGGAGTTTTCAAGAGGGATACTTGGAATAGATCAACCTCTATCTTAAACCAGTCTAACACATATTGACTACCCTATTGTCAATCCTGATAAGAGCTACCCAGGATATTCTCAGTTTAGTCCCAAGCGATACTCTTTGAATAGACTGGCAGCCAGCTTGTTGTAGAGTGCTTGGGCTGACACATTATCATGTTGTGTTACCCACTGCACACGAAGGCAGTAACTAGACCTCGCGATCTCAGCAACTGACTGGATTAACATGCGTCCTAGACCTTTGTTGCGGACAGAAGAATCCACAAATATATCTGAAAAATTAGTTAGACACACCATGTAATATCTTTCCGAGTTCAAAAGGAATTGGAAAACCCTCTTGGTTTCAAGAAATAACATGACGGAAAACTTAGGGACGCATCTACTGACCATCAAGAAACATGATCTTCTTCTCACTCCATGTTGTTTGCATGGGGAAGAAGTGAGCAAATCCAACAATGGTGGATTCGTTGCCCTCCTCCCGCACGACCAGGCCCTGAAGCTCGTTTCGCTTCCGGGTGAGACGTTCAAAGGTCTTTCTGTACTGCTCCTGGTCAAGTGAGGTTTTATAAAAGTCGAGGTATCTGTTGAATAAGGTAGACCATTCATCAAAATCGGCGGTGGTCAATTCAGTAATTTTGTATTCCTTAGAAGCAGCCATATTGAATTTATGCAATCGGAATGAATTCAGAGAAATCTTTGGAATGAGGGAATGTGACAGTGCTGGGAAGGCACATTACAATCAAGACTCAAAATGTTCTAGTTTATTGACCTAAGTCCCGTGAGTCACATCCTCCAAGCACACGTCCTGTTACTTTCTGTGACAGTGAAAACTCTTCTTTGGCAGGGGATATTTCGGCCTACTGAGTAGCCTGTAGGGCTGTTGTTCTTGAGCCCACGCCAAGGGCATAGGGCGTAGGTAAACGCTGTCTCTCGAAGGCTAACGCAATTCAGAACGTCCAGCAATAGATGGTTTTGGGAAGTTGATTGGAGTAGGTCGCAGGTGAGAATGCGGATTAATTTCTATTTCGATTTGACTTTTCTTCTATTGAACGTATAGCGTAGTAGTGTTGACATAGAATAATTGTTCCCCCCCCTAAGTCTTCATTTCCGGTTCTAATTAGGATAGATCACGTTCCTATAGTACATATGACCTACTGAATTTGTATCGTGACCTGATCCATATCAATAGATCTAGCGGAGCAAGGTGACAAAGGATGTAGATAGTTAGTATCGTAGGTTTCCTATTCCTCTTCCTCCTTCCAAAACCCCCTCAACTGGTCCGCAATACAAACTGTCTGCCGCCCCGTAACCCTCTGACACATCTCAATCAGTTCCAGCGTGCGTTCTCGCTCTAGGATCCCCTCAGTTACCAGGCCCGCGACGTATAGGCATTGTGTGGATATGAGGCCCCAGGTCTGGTCGATTCGAGAGTTGGCGATCATGAAGATCTCGCGGCGCGATTTTTCTAATTCTCGGCGGGTGTGGAGGGGGTTGCTGTTTGCGCTGCTGGATGATGAAGAAGGGGTATATAGTCCTAGGAGGATCTTGGAGGCGTGGTAGAGTTGGTGTGAGATTGCTAGAGAGTAGAATGGCTTGGATTAGGTTTGAGATCTTTGAAGTGTTTGGGTTTATGATAGATGATGGGGTAGAGGACGTACCGCTTTCTGGGTAGGCGTACCAGATTGCTGGGAATTGATGGATTTCTTGTACTACTGATACTGTAGAGTCGTCCTCTCTCTCGCTTTGGGGTTGAGTCTGTCGGAAATTAATCCTCATAGAGACGGGGAGTTTTCGTTTCCATTCCTCCAATGCACCTCGTAGCTCGTTCGCTAGGTCACATTGCCTTTCAACCTCCTCCTGCTGCATATCAATACCAGTAACACCCGTAGACGAAGAAGTATCTAAATCCCTTCCAGATCCACTCCCCCCGGCACACAAACCCCCATACCATGAAACGCACTGCCCAAACACAAACAGGACACGATTCGCTACATCGCGCATCGAGATCCCCTCAAACCCAAGCCCATCCTCAACATCTTTCGGTCGCCAGTACTCCTCGTCGAGAAACATGCGTCGTCCCGTCTGGAACGCTACCCATACTTCGTGGCGGTACCATGTCCAGTATGTTGCGCCGCGGATCCCTGTCTCGTCGCCTGTGATGCGGTGGGAGCGGATCAGGCTTGCGACGCCTTTAAGATGAGAGCCGAAGCTGGGGCCGGAGACGTCGAGGATTTCGTATCTTTGAAAGGGTTGGGTTGGGTCAGTTGGGTTTGGGATCAAGGGGGAAAGGTGGAGAGGGATGGGTAGTGGAGAGAGAGGATAGGAGGGGGAGTTACGTGGATAGAATTATGCTTGATGCTAAGAGCTCATCGCTGCCAGAGTAGCTAGGTTCGATGAGAAAGTGGCTCATTTCTCGCAGAGCTTGTTGGTAGTAGAGGACAGGGGATGTGTCAAGGGTGAGGGATGTGGTAGATTGGGGCGCGCGGGATAGTTGTTTGGCGGATGCGGCGAGACAGGCGTAGAGTAGCATCGGGCAGTGAAGGGCTAGGGAGGGAACTTGGTTGTAGAAAGGTTGGTCGTGGGAAAATGAGTCGATCTATATGTTGGGACTTGCGAGTGAGTTGATTGGGGGCTTGGGAGGGAGGAAATGGATTTACCCATTTTGATACTCGCTCTACGTAGTTCCGGAAAATATGGATTTCAGCAAATGAGAGCTGGATGGGATCGGCCACGTAGAAAGCTCGTTGTATGGGGTGATCGTGGTGGGATGGTTCTTCGAAGGGATGGTGATGTTGTGGGAGTGGTTGTGCGGGCGAGCTCGTCGGGCTGAGTGGGTGAGAGGGACCTGGAAAGTTGGTATGTTGAAGGATAGCATAGAGGTTCGGCGCAGGCGTTGATTCCAAGGGCTGCGTTCGATTTGTTGGAGAGTCATGGTCGACCAGTTCTGGCTCGGATGGCGTTGTGGTAGTTGTATAAATGGACTCGGTCAGCTTTCCAACTGACGGTGGGGGATGACGGGTTACTCGTGTGTCGGAAGATGAACCCAGGGCTCTTGACACTGTTTCTATCAACGGTCTCGTCGTCTCTACACGACGTGGTGCCCTGTTAGTCGACGAGGGAGGTTGAGCTACTTCCTCCGTTTGGTCATTCGTAGATGTCTCACCCGGCCCACCGTGGTATAGACAGCGACGATTCTTTTTCCCGCAATTCCGACAGATTGGGCGTCTTTCATCGCATTTGACTCGCCGAGCCCGACATGTCAGACTAGCCAGATGTCAGCCAGATCGAAGTAGATGCCTGTGAGACGTGGGTCACTGACCAACCGGTCGTAACTCGGAGTCTTCGTCTTGACTGTCCCGGACGCATAGCCAGTCAGAGCTCGATGCGAGAGGAGCGATATTCAAGTCACTTGGAGTGGATACCTCTAAGATCGTGCATGTTTCACGAAATTGGGCGAAAAGTTGCAGTCCAGAGGATGCCCATAAGCGAGATCTACGGTCTGACCAATGGGATATCTTAGCGAGATTTAAGCTACAAGATGACATCATGGACCTGATGCTTATTAACGCCATTTACTCCGAGATTCTTGTACATAATTCTCCTCCTTCTATATATCTCTCTGTAAGCTATACTGCGTAGAACTTCCTATAACAAGTACATTGTTTTTCCCGTCATGTCTTCCGAAGTTCGCCCATTCCAAGTCGACATTCCTGTGGAAGAAGTCGAACGACTCCAGCGCAAACTAAAAGACACTCGTCTTCCTAGCCGCGAGATTGTCCCCAATGCAGGCAATAAATATGGTCTGTACCACAACCCTCAGTTCCTGTCCAAATTATCACCAATGTTAACACAACCCAGGACCACGATTTGAATGGGCTCAAACCTTGCACAACGCCTGGATCAACAACTTCGACTGGTTCTCCGTCCAATCAGAAATGAATCAATATCCTCACTATATCACCACCATCGAAGATATCAACATCCACTTCCTACATGCCCGCTCCGCCTCTCCGCGCGCTATCCCCCTCCTCATGATCCACGGCTGGCCCGGCTCTTTCTGGGAATTCAGCCAGGTCTGGGGTCCCCTTTCAAATCCTGCCAATCCAGACGATCCATCCTTCCACGTCGTCGTCCCCAGTATGCCCGGGTTCTGCTGGTCGGGTTGGCCACCCCGCGCCGGGTGGACGCTGCGTGATAACGCGCGCGTGTTTGATCGCTTGATGGAGAGGCTAGGATATACTGAGTATATGGTGCAGTGTGGTGATTGGGGCCATTTTGTCGGGAGGGAATTGGGCACTAAGTATACGGATTCGTGTAAATTGATGCATTGTAATTTTGCCCCGAGTCTGTTGCCAGATGGGGTCGAGTATACGGAACGAGAGAGGAATGTTGCAGATCGGGGGAAGAATTGGTTGGATTGGCATATGGGGTATGCGGTGGAGATGCGGACGAGGGTATGTTTTTCCCTCCTTTTTTTCTCCTTTGTCTTGAATCGTATGTCGAGCTTATACGCATTTCTAACTGGCCATAGCCCCATACAATCGGCATCGCACTGCACGACAACCCAATCGGAATCCTCATGTGGGCTGGTGAGAAATACAACGAGGCTGCCGACCCGATGAAGCAGAAACATCCCTTCTGGACGAAAGCCATTCTCACGACCGCGTCGCTGTATTATTTCACCGGATGCATTATGCCGTCGATGCTCTGCTACTATGAGAATGTGCGCCATGAGCATTTCGCTGAGTTTGCTATTAAGCCGGAGAATCGCATTCGCATTCCCTTTGGGTATAGTTCGTTCTTTTGGGATACGGAGCCCTCGTCTAAGAGGGCGGTTGAGAGGACGGGGAATTTGGTGTTTTATAGAGGTATGTGCTCTTTTGGTCTTTTTGTTCAATTATTTTGAGGGTGATCTCGGGAAAAACGGACTGGCTGACTTTGGTATAGAGAGAGATGATGGAGGGCATTTTGCGGCTCTGGAGAGCCCAGACGAGTTGATGCAGGATGTGAGGGAGTTGGCACTGCAGGAGTGGAAGTACAAGTAGATTGGTGGGCTGTCCATGGGTCTGTGATTAGAGTCTTCTACATATTCATAACTATGCGGTATATTCAAAGGTACATTTTGTTATTTGACTGAAGGCAAAAATGTTACGTGAGATTGTCTGGATCTGCATAGAACTACTGGAGACCGATAAAGCTGTCGCTGTAATATCACTTGTTTTCTAACTTATAGACGCTACGAATTTTAAGCATTCCGTTCACACCATTCCCGGTCGAACACAGTCAAAGACCGTTGCGCTATATCAAATTAGCTCACTCAATCCAAGCTCAATACGTAGGAAGGAAAAGACTCACCAGACGGAACAATATCCATCGCCTTTACCGACACATTCAACGGCTGCTTAACCATATACACCGCTGCGCCGGCGATATCCTGCGAAACAAGTGGCCTAAAGAAGCAATTGGCATCAGCGAACCTCAGATTATACGGTAGACAAAATCAAGGACATACTCATAACCCTCAAAAAACTTGTCGTATTTCTCCTTATCATGACCCACGCGCAATGAGTGAAAGTTCGTGGCCACGCATCCCGGCCGTAATGCCAAGACACGAATATTCGTCCCGCAGAGCTCGTTGCGCAGCGCGTTCGTGAACGCCTCCTGTGCGGCCTTGTTGCAGTGGTAGACGGATTCTCCCGAGAACGGGGGCACCTCGAGACCCGTGACCGAGGTGACGTTGAGGATCGTGCCGGCCTTGCGAGGCATCATGGATGCGTTCAGGACGGCGTAGGTCGTGAACATGAGACCGTTGATGTTGGTGTTGTTCATGGCGAGGATGTCGCTGATCTTGAGGTCTGAGAAAGTTGAGGGCGCGCCGAGAGCCAAGCCAGCCTGCGTCATCTGTTAGGGTTGGTGGTGGGGAGGAAGATAGATGGAGAACTTACGTTGTTGATGAGAATGTCTATTTCGCCGAGCTCTTGGACTGCTGCTTTCACGGCCGCTTCTACGGCCTCGTAGCTTTGGATGTCGACGGCCTTGACGATCACTTTGGATGACGGGTGCTGTTTTTGCACGGCCGATGCGATGGTTTGGAGTTTATCCTGAAGAGTGGTTAGTACATGTAGACGGTGACAGGGAGCGAGTCGTACCTCAGATCTGGAGAACAGAATCAGATTGGCGCCTTCTTGCGCGAAGGAGTGGGCGATTGCTTCGCCGATTCCCATCGACGCTCCGGTCTGTGTACATGTACATTATTTAGCCGTGGGAGCTGTATGGAGACTGGAGGCATGCTTACAATGAGCACATTGGATCCTTGTAAAGACATCGTGAGGGTATTTTTCTCGAGACCAGTAGGTAGTTGGATGCGTTGTGAACTTGTGTCCACGGAGATGCGTCTTATACTCCAGAAGACTTAGCGACGTCATCGCTAATGCACGTGATGTCCCGCGGCGAGTTCGGCGTGGCAGTACAGAGACCCTCAGCTGTCCAGATACTGGTCAATCAAACAACTGCAAAATTACGGAGTAGCGTTGTACTCTTGAGGATTTCTTCGCTCACCGGCTTACAAATTATCTAGTTGCAACTAACATGTTGGTGCTACAGGAATCAGGCGGGTGCTCGGGAACCATAAAGGGATTAGCGGGCGGCGGTTCGAGCCGAACCTCGCTCTGCAAAACGATTGGCTGCATTGCAACTAATTCCCATCGATGGAATCTATACGGAGTATCTTGTTTGTATTATTTGTAGCTCATTCTGAATTAAAATGAGTTAAGAATACACGCTGACATTGATTTTAAGAGTCTGGAGATACGATCAGGTTCCAAATATGTGGCTCTATTCAGTTGACTTCGGTGAGTTCGTCCATGCATATAACAAACAGGTAACAAAACACGAAGAGTTCAATCAATAGATAGCATTCCTAGTCTAGTCTGATCTGATCTTATTCCTAGAACATAGTATCTGAGACTATATCCATCACAAATGAGAACAATAAACATCACGCCAGGATTTATTCTCGAAAAAATAAGCCTACTCCGGATTCCTTTCTTAATCCACCTTTAATTACCCACCTCATTCACACACGCGCTTATAGTTTTCTAACCATCAACCTTTCTCATTCTGAGCCCTCCCATTCAACAAGATACTATTACCACTCCCGATAAAATGTCTCCAACACTATACAGCTACGCCGAGTCCGGCAACAGTTACAAAGTCCGCCTTCTTTCCTCCCTCCTGCACATTCCCCTCTGGATTGTGGAGGTCGATTTCCTCGCCGACGAACAACACTCTCCGGGTTTCTTGGCTCTCAATCCGGAAGGCGAGGTGCCGGTGTTGGTGGACGAGAGGGACGATAAAGATACCAAGGTCGTGTTGACCGATTCCGCTGCCATTCTGGTCTATCTAGCAGGTACTTATCCCAGTCTGGAGGGACGTGACTCTTCTTCGTTCTGGTCTGCGGATCCCCTCGCTCAGGCCCAGGTCACGGAATGGTTGGCTTTTGCGGTGAGTTGGGTCCAGTTTGGGGTTTTTACCACCGGGGCGATTCTCTCGTTCGGGGGCGCGTATAATGGGCTGGGTCGTGGGGGGGAATGAGCAAGCGTTGAGTGAGGCCCAGGTGAGAGGGAAGAGGATTTTGGAGGTTTTGGAACGTAGGCTTAGGTTGGAGTGGAGAGGAGTGGTTGGCGTTGGGAAGAGCTACGATCGCGGATATTGCGGTCTTCGTGTATGTCGCGTTGGCGCCCATGGGGGATGTCTCGTTGGAACCGTTCCCTGGGGTGAGGGCGTGGATTGAGCGGATTAAGAACTTGCCTGGATTTGTGCCGATTAAGGGGCTGGAGGATCCGCTGTATAGAAGGAAATAGAAGGGGGGAGGGTAATTTTATAATGCACTCTGTTCAAATCTATCGAAGTATAATCATATCTCGTAAGTCATACTGTTCTTTCAAAATTCAACTCATTTCGGTCCTTCGATCACGATCCGTCCCTCTAGTCGGGGCGCGATTCCCGGTGTCCAAGTGGGCGTGACGCCTGGTCCTTCATCAACATCATCCACCGTGGATGGCTGCAATCCGGCCTTGCGCATCCATTTCCGCGTAGCCCATCGGGCGATGCGCAGTCGGTGCTCCTCCTCGATCGAGGACCGCGCCGGCAGCGTCACGTAGTTGGTCGTCGGCTGCGGTGAGGTTAGAATGTCCGGATCAGTGTCCGAATCAGAGTCCATATCCTCCTCGTCTTCGCCGCTTCTATCTGTCCCGCTGTCCTTGTCGAAATCGGCAAATCGTCCATAGTGGTACTGCTTGCTGCGCTTCAAGGACGGGCGCCTTGGCTTATAGGGAATTTTCTCCGACACCGGGGAAGTGCCGGACGAGGCCGGTTTGAGCCATCCGTTCGAATGCAGGTTTTTGTGCACGTCGGTCCAGTGCCGCGTCATGCTCTTACTGAAGCGTTGCCATTTGCCCATCACTCGCAAACTCAGGAAGTACTGCCGAAGCAGAGTGCTCACTAACACTCCGCTCTCCTCGTCCACGATCTCTTCCACCTCTCCACCAGCGGACTTCACCAGCAATGATGCAAATCCGTCCTTGCCGCGGGCCATATAGCCTCGCGTGGCCATGGTGTAAGTGCGATCAAACTGGATGGGCGCGCCGCAGACCTTGGCCCAGTTGATGCGGGATCCCGGCGGGCCGGACGGATCATAGCTGAACGAGATGTTCGAGACTTGGGTAAAGCGCCCTTCCAGGGCAGGAAGCAGGCTAACGCCGTTCTCCAAGGCGTCCATCAACGCGCGACCCGGCACGCGCAGTAGGACTACTGGGTCCTCGAACGGGAAACAATTCAAGATATCTTTCAACTTTAAGATACCCGGAGGATATATTTGATCTCCTCTGATCGTTCCGCCGGCCATGATGGCGCAATCAGCGCCGTAGAAGAATCGCATCAGGTCGCAGACAAAGTTGCCTAGATTGGACTCCCTTTGTCGAACCGTCGAGAAGCGCCCATCTAGCGGCCGTGTCGTGTATCCAACAGGTTTCTCAAGCTTGGATCTCAAACTCGCCGTGACTTTGTCAACTAGCGCCACCGTGGCGGGATCTTCGGGAATGGACTGATACATATCCCGTCGAACGATGTTGAAATCCCACCCAGAGCCGCTTTCTTTGCGCCAGGCCTCGATATAACTCAGTTGTTTGAAGTCGGTCCCCGACCGCAAAACATGGATCCCGTTGATCACCGCATGACCGTAGAAATGATCGTGGCCTCCAAGAACAATATCAATCAGTCCCGCTGGGACGTTCTTCGCCAGTTTATAATCGTTTGGTTCTCGCTGATGGGTGACGGCGACGATTATCTCGGCACCCTGCTCTCGCAGACGCGGAACCAGCTCGATAGCCGTTTGAGAGGCAGATTTATAAATCAGATCGGGCGGGAGGGAGTTGATCGTTCCTAGCCTGCAATTACCAGTCAGCTCCTAGTACAACAATCAGATCATGAGCCTACTGACCACTCTCGTTCTCCCAGGCCGATTACTCCCACTTTAACCCCGGTAGACGAGGTCAACATGACCGTTCTCTCACAGTTCGCGATAGGGACATCCTCGCCCAGCGCCGGGTCGAGAACATTCGCCAGCAGCCACGGAAAGCGGCACTGGCTGCGCAGATGGCGCAGTTGTGCAACACCAAAGTCGAGATCGTGATTCTGCAGACGTCAGCCAGTCTGATCCCGATGACAGCATCTCATATATGTCCACACACCCCAAGGCACGCCACGTCTGTCCCAGCTTTATTCAGGAACGGCACCATATGCCTCCCCTTGGTTACGGTACTTTCGAGACTCGGATTGAAGGCATCGCCGGAGAAGAAGGTAAGGGGGTCCGGTTGTTCCGCGAATCGGGCATCGGATCGATAATAGTTAATCACGGACTGGAATCTAGATACGCCGCCGACGGGCTCTGCTGATCCTGCTCTGCACTGACATCAGTATGCATGTCAAGTAAGACACCTGGCCCCTAACATTCAGACCGGCCAGCTGGTACCCCGCGGAACGATGGACTTACTCCACGTGATAAACATCATTGTAGTGGATCAGGCGGAGATCTGGCGTTCCTGTCCGCTCGCAGGCATGGGTGATTGATAGGCCGTCCTTTTCGACGGCAGACATGACGGGTTCCAAAGTTGATCAAGGAAGGGATGTGAAGGAGGAAAGGGAGGCGGCGGACAATCCGGGGGTTCAGCTTACCGTCACTGCTGCCTCAGGCACAAACATCCCGCCATGCAGGCACCCGTGCAGATCGGCCAATCACGGGCCAGGAGATGACCGGCAACATACACGCCTGATTTTTGGGGGAGTCAGGCATGCATTGATGCCTAAGTCTTTGGGTTTTGAGTCTGCCCAATAGTTACTTACTACTGCGTACTGGGTCAGAGAAACAGTGATTCCCTAGGGAGCATACTCGAATTAAAGACATGAAGCACACTCGAACCAATGTTCAATCCAGTTGATACATTCAGCTAGTTCTAATCATAGAGTGGATATAGCAAGTCATGGCAACATAGCAAGCAGTGGGTATTTTGTTATACATGAGAGTCTCATCCAGGCACCCAGCCTTGATCCTGCCGTCAACCATATAAATTCCTTTTTCAAAACCTCAACGCCTTTTGCCTCAGAAGGGCAAAATTTAAAGAAATGGTATAGAGCAAATGTTCTCATATTCGTCGTTCCGTCACTGTCCATCGTCGTTTTACGCCCGTCTCGGCGTCTTTGTTCAGAGGGGCACCTCCCCAAAGTCCTCTCTGTGACAGAGTTCTCTGGGGCAGTTGTTTAGGTATGTCCGAGTCTGTTGATTTCTTCACGTCGCTTTCCTTCTCCGCAGTCTGTCCGGACCACGCATTGTCGAAGTTGGGGATCAGATCGTCTGCACCGCCCGTTGCCGACATTGACCCCCAAAGGCCGCCGGATATGCGTGGGGCTGTCGCAGGCCGCGCCATCATCCAGACGCGTGATCCGCCCCCGGAAGTTGGAGTGGGTCCGATACCGAACGGACTCTGCGATACAGAGGCTCGAGATGGGACGCGGTTGCGGTAGGATGGCACGGTGGGGGATGTTAGGCTGGTGGGAGAGGAGACGCTGGACATCGCTGGGTTGCCACCAGGCCGTAGATGTTCCGTCGAAGCAACCAGCTGCAGGTTGTAGTCGTGTAACACCGATTTTTCTCCATTTGCATAGTGTGAGACTACAGGCCCACCGATATCGGACGACTTTGTCGAGGTCTTATCACTATCCTTGAGCACCGCCATCGTGAGGGAAGCGGTCCCGACGTTGACGAGAGTTGTTTCTCCCTTGATGGCTGAAATTAGCGCGTTGCAACCAGCGCCGTGAGTCACGATCACGAGAACCGTCTCGACCGAATCCTCTCCGTCTCCCGGATTTGTGTCGCCGGTGTTGTCCAAGAATTGAGAATGACGTCGCGGTCGATTGTAAGGGATCGAGGGGTCGTGATTCGAATACCAGGAAACCATGCGCTCGAGTCCAACACCGAAACGGGAGTTCATTGTGCTCCATTCCTCCTCATATTCGCCCCCGTTGCCCCAGCCTTGAGGTTCCCGCATGCTGTCCCATTGATAATCGATTCTCACACAGGCGTCCCGCGCGTGCGAAACGTATCCGGTGGGGATGGGCTCCGATGGAGAGATGGCATAGCTGGGGGTAGGTGGCGTGTAGAGGCCGTCCGGGATGGAGGAGAGACTGGTGTTGATTTTGCTGAGCATCCTCCGCGTACCCGGTGTGTCGGCAGATTGTAGCGTGTCATGACTACCCGCGCTGTTCCTTCGCCCATCGGGATTCGCCTGCGTTTTGCTGTTCTCTTCCGAAGGAGGACCGTCGCCTTTGCCCCAGCCTCCGGGAAAGTGTCCGACCGCCGGCTTGGTGTAGTTCATGTCTGCGTCGGGGACAATGCTGTCGCGTCTGAGGAGTTCCGCCTTGGCGACCGTGATCATTCTCTCCGATTTCGGTGGCGGAGAAATCTCCTCAAAATAGCTAGATGTCAGCCATTCTCCCAGGAAGGCATCCACACGCAACAGGCAGCGGTGATCATTCGAAATGGAACTGGGGAAGGCCGAGGCGGCATTGAACCCGTGAACCGAGGCTCTTCCCTTGCCCGTTGTATGGGTCTTTGGGTTTGGAATGGCAGAAATTGGAGGTAATGTGGCGTCTGTCTCGAGGAAGTGTTGGCTGATGCCCGCGCTCACGGCGATCGCGGTCTGCAAGCATCGGAGGTATGGAGATGAATGAACGATGATTCGTCGCTTGCGTTTGGAGGATTGCGCGCGGAAAGACGGCAAATCTCCATCGCCCGTTCCTTCAGCAGGTTCTTCATTGTCCTGCGACTGTAAAAGATTGATTATTTGCGCTCCTAGGGTCCGAGACTGGAGCCAGCCGCCGTAGGAGAGAGGCGGATCGTAAGGAGTGGGGGATGTCAAATGCCAATTTTTGTCGGCCGCATCCAAACGGGCGCCGTGCCTATGAAGTGAGTCAGCATTCAGTTCTGCCGTATCTGAGGGAGTTCGAACTCACCTGGCGATAATAATCCTCGTAGGGGGGTTCCCCATGGTGGACTCTAGTGGGTGGAAATGGCACTCCGACCGCAGTAGAAAGAGCAGCGGGTAGGGAGCAACGAACAAACAATTACATGAACAGCGGGTAAAGGAAAAAGAAAATTGACAGAGATTGGGGTCGCAACAAAAGTATTAAGAGGGGAAGACGAAAACCCAGACCAGCCTCCTAGGGGGGAGTATGAGGGGAAGCTGAGCTCAGGTGAGTCTGGCAAAGTCCGGCGGGGTAGGAGAATTAGGAGAACATGATCAGACGGTCTCTAAAGAGGTGAGGTGAGGTGATGTGTCATTGACTGCCATCGATAGTGGCGGCAAGCCACGTCGGCATGAGAGACGAAGCGAGGACAGTGAGCAGGACGAGAAGCGAAGGGCTACGCAGGCAGCAATTTGAGTCACGTTTTGTTGCTTTTCCTTTTTTTGCGGGGGACTCTGTTGTTCGGCCGACATGTGATGGGCTTATGTCAGCCATGAGGTCATCGCCCGACCTCCCCGGATGTCCCAAGGAGGTTTAGCGTGGTGTGCGCTCCTTGCACAGAGTAGACTCGACACTCTTCTTCCTCTCTCTCTCTGTTAAGTTCCCTCGATCCTCATATCAAGTCCTGATATGATTCCATCTCCAACTAACTCTATTATTGGCTCTGCCAAAATTCATCGATTTGCCATCCAGGATACACAAACAGCAAACGGTTCCAGGTCAGGTCACACAACGTACGTCCGGCTGACCACCTCCCACTCCGTCAATTGGTGGTGAATGAAGTGCCAATAGGATAGCTCGGACTCTCCTGGCACGACAGGTCGATGCAGTCTTAGCCTCGTGGCATGGCTACGATAGGACTCCTCTAGCATACACCGTATGCCTCAGTCCCGAGCCTACAAATAGCCCCAGGTTGTTCGAAACAGTCTACTTCCGCTTGCATAAATGAAAGAGAGGGAGTGTGTGTGATAGAAAAGTCTAGTTGGTATAAGAAATGGCGATGTCGAAAACTTGCAATTAATTCAGACGGGAGACGAATCCTGCGACATGATTATGATAGGAGCATGGATGTTTATAGTATGACCTGGACGACTCTAGGCAAACCCTCACCCTAGGATATATATATCCGGTTCTAGTGCCTGACATACCAGGCACCGCTGTCTCCAGGCAATATGTCGTTCGACTACACAGTACGCCTTGTGAGTTCCCTGTTTACAATTGTGCCCTGCACCAGGAATCGGCATGATAACCGAGTTGACCAACCCTGCAGTCTTATCAATCACCGCGGATTTGGGCCGCGCTGACGGAATCGGCGCAGATCCATGGATCGCGCCCCTACAGGCCACACAAGGGGGGCGAGTGGGTCCTCGCCATCCTCGATTCTTAAAGAAGCTTAAACCCCAGCAGCTTCTCCCCTAGAAAAATTGACATTTTCGCTGGTGTAGAAGTTTGCAACAACGAAAGAGAATACACTAGGATTTCCCGAGCGATCTCGGAGATGGAGTCTTTTCGTGGCGACGATCCCCGAGATTCGTCTGTTTGGTCCGATATCTCCGAAAGCGACGCGCGCGGTGAATTGCACGAGAAACCGACCGAGAGAAACGATGACCCTGAAGCGCTGACCCGTGTCGAAACCTCCCATTCGGCCATAGAGCCCCCAAAGTCGCTATGGCAGGAGGTCCCGTTTATCATCGTGGTCTGCATGGCCCAGTTCATGACCCAGGCCGGGCTGGCCATCTCCATCGCCCCGGTTTACATCATCGGCGACAGCTTCAACACGTCGAGTCCCGGTGAACTCAGCTGGTTCGCGGCCGCCTACAGTCTGACGGTCGGCACGTTTATTCTGGTCGCTGGCCGGCTCGGCGATGTCTTCGGTCATCGCTTGATGTTCGTCATCGGCTTCGCGTGGTTCGGACTGTGGTCCCTGCTCGGCGGCTTCAGCGTCTGGTCCAACCAGCTCTTTTTCGACTGCTGCAGAGCCTTCCAGGGCATAGGGCCGGCCCTGCTGCTGCCAAATGCCATTGCTATATTTGGTCGCACCTACCCACCCGGTCTCCGCAAGGAGATGGTCTTCTGCTTGTTCGGCGCCACGGCACCCAGCGGCTTCCTCGTCGGCGGCATCTTCTGTTCCATCTTTGCCCAGCTCGTCTGGTGGCCCTGGGGTTACTGGGTCATGGGTATCATGTGCTTCGTATTTGCGGCGCTCGGCCTCCTCGTCATCCCCAAGACACCTCGGCCTCGTTTCAGAAACTCCATGCCCCTCTGGGTCCGACTCGACCTCCTCGGCGCCGCTGCAGGAATCTCGGCCCTCATCCTGATCAATTTCGCATGGAACCAAGCTGCCTTGGTAGGCTGGAAGACGCCATACACCTACGCGCTCCTGATTGTCGGGTTCATCCTCATGGGTCTTTTCGCCTGGATCGAGAGCTCCGCCGTGTGTCCCTTACTCCCCAAATCCGTGCTCACCGGCAATCTCGCCTGGGTGCTCGGATGCATCGCAGCGGGCTGGTCCAGCTTCGGCATCCTCATTTACTACTTCTACCAGTTCATGCTCGTCATCAAGGGCGACACGCCGCTGCTCACGACTGTCAAGTTCATCGCCGCCTCTCCCTCCGGCGCCCTCGCCGCCCTGACCACCGGGTTCCTGCTCTCTCGTCTCCCGGCCAGCGTCATCATGTTCTGTTCCATGTGCGCTTTCACTGCTGGCCTGGCTATATTCGCTACTGTTCCCGTCGACCAGACTTACTGGGCTCAGGCATTCGTCGTTAGTTTGATTACCTGCTGGGGAATGTATGTCGCCCCTCTCCCCCTTGCCCCTTGCTTAGCCTCTCATCCACTCTCCCCACTCATCTTGATCCCCAAAATAACACGTTAAACTAATTAAAAACAGGGACATGTCCTTCCCCTCCGGCACCCTCATCCTCAGTAACTCCATGCCGCGCCAACACCAAGGCCTCGCCGCCTCCCTGGTCACCACGACGGTCAACTATTCTATCTCCATGGGCCTTGGGTTCGCAGGGACCGTTGAGTCGCATGTCAATCACGGAGGCAAAGACGTGCTGCGTGGGTACAGGGGTGCGCTCTATATGGGTATCGGGCTTGCCGGTCTTGGAGTGCTCGTGTCGGTCTTGTTTATGGGGGTTAGTTGGAGGAGGTATCGTATGGGGAAGAAGGAGGGGGGAGGATAATTTGTGGTGGTGGTGGAGAGGATATGGAAAAGGAAAGGGAAAATTAAAAAGAGGAGCGATAGAAAATAGACTGCTCTGTTTTATTGTATACTAGATAGATAGCGGGGTAACTATATGGAAGATCAATAAGTAGGACATAGACAGACGGAAGTCAAGTGAGACTGTAATTCAAATCTTACGAAACAGGCTATGAGTTGGAAGAACTAACCTATCATTCGTATATTTGCACCTTAAAATATACTTCATATCCCATACATAGATACATAAACTTGGCGAAAAATCCAATCATTCAGACTTCTTCCCCCATCCACCACCTCCCGCTGTCATAATCACCACGCGATCATGCGTCTTCACCGACACCGTATTTTTTCCTCCGATATTCACCACCCTCTCACCACCCGTCTCCGCGTCCTTCGAAACCCACAGATTCAGACCCGTCTGCGCGGCCTCTCCGCCCTCTAATCCGTACGGGCGATGGACACGTCGTTCCGAGAGAATCGAACACTCCATGGGCGCCAGGAACTCAATATCGCGCACAACGCCGTCGCCACCACGGTGCGCACCCTTGCCGCCGGATCCCTCACGCAGCGTGAATTGCCGCAGCAGCGTGGGGTACCGTTTCTCGAGGATCTCCGGGTCCGTGATTCGTGTGTTGGTCATGTGCACGTGGATCCCTGACTCGCCGGTCCAGCTGGGCCCTGCGCCGCTGCCACCGGCGATAGTCTCGTAGTAGCCGAAGCCTGGGATGGTGGCGCCGGTTTCTGGGTCTGTTTTGGGGTTCGTGCCGAATGTGAGGTTGTTGCAGCATCCTTGCGAGGCGGCGCACGCGTGGAATGCCTTGAGGACCACGTCTGTGATTCGTTGCGAGGTGACGACGTTACCACCGACGACGGCGGCGGTCTTGGTTGGGGAGAGAATGCTGGGGGAGGGGACTTGGATGTCGATCGGGGCCAGACAGCCCTGGTTGAGAGGCACGTCCGCGTTGATCATGCATCGGAGGCAGTAGATGATGGCCGAGTGGGTGATGGCGATCGGGGCGTTCCAGCCACCGTAGACTTCGGGACCGGTGCCTGCGAAGTCGAAGACAGCGGAGCCGTCGTTGCCGTTGATGGTGATTTTGAGCTTGATGGGTGTGCCGTCGTCCATGTAGTCAATGGATTCTAGAGGCTGGCCGCCGAACCGCCGGTGGAGGTCTTTGAGGAGGTTGCGTACGGCGGTTTCGGCGGTTTCTTGAATGGCGTACATATACTTTTGGACAGTTTGGACGCCATATTCGGCAAAAAGACTCTGGATAAGAGTGATACCACGGGTGTTGGCAGCAATTTGTGCCTTCAGATCAGACAGGTTGTCACTAAAGCACCGGGCCCCAGCGCAGCCAGGGTGTTCGGCGGGCTTCCGGACCAGAAGTTCGTGAACACGGTCTTCATTGAAGACGCCGTTGCTGACAATCTTGTCTCCTTCGATGGCAGCTCCTTCCTGCCAGAGCTCGGTCGACTTGGGCGGCATAGATCCGGGGAGAATACCACCGATGTCGGCGTGATGGCCACGAGATGCTACGTAGAACATGATCTCGCTGCCACCGGGCTTGTCAAACACGGGGGTGATGACCTAGAAAGTGTCAGTATGAGGGATTTCCAAATTGGTCAACAGCCACTTACTGTGATATCAGGAAGATGCGTGCCGCCAGAGCTCGGGTGGTTAGCAACCAGCACGTCTCCGTCTCTCAAATCTCCAAGCCACTTCTGGTGCTGAAAGCGAACTGCGAACTGCATGGACCCAAGGTGTACCGGAACGTGAGGCGCGTTAGCGACGAGTCCGCCATCTGGAGAGAATAGAGCGCACGAAAAGTCCAAACGCTCCTTGATGTTTGTGGAGACCGACGTCTTCTGTAGCGTACGGCCCATTTGTTCTGCAATCGACATGAAGCGATGTCCGAAAATACTCAATCGGATGGGGTCAATGCCGGAAGAAGCGCCGCTCTGGGCATTCTTCTGTGAATCTTTGAGATCAATGACAATGCACGTTTCCAAAATACTCGCCACGGAATCGGGCGCTACCACGACTGTCTGGGTGTTATCGATGATGACTGCAGGTCCATGGACGCGGATGTTTTTATCGAGCTTGTCTAATAGATAGACAGGCGTGTCGATACGGCTGGGGTGTCCGTCGAAGAATGCCTTGGTCGTGTTATCAGGCGAGGCGGCGACGTCTTGCAGAGAAGCTTCCTTCAGTTGCACAAGAGGGCTCTTTTCCTCCCGCACCTTGGACGAAGCAATCGTGCGCACACGGATATCGTCGACGAGAACAGACCGCTCCGAGTTGAAATTGAACTCACGGCGGTGGCGGACGCGAAACTGCTCCAGGAAATCGGAACCGTCCTCGGGCTTCAGAATCATCAAGCTCGTATCGGATCCGTCATAACGCATGTTGAGGTATAGTTCGTGCCGAACCTGGTCGGCTGAAAAGCCTTGAACCTCCATGTCTTCCGTGGCAACCTTGATCAACTCATCAAAGCGACCTTCAAGCGTCGACTGGGAGTTCAAGTAATCCTTGGAAACCGGCTCCTGCGACTCCTTAACCACCTCGGCCAGAGCCAAGCCATAGGCTGATAGGACCGACGAGTACTTGTGGATGATGACGCGAGAGATGCCCAGTGAAGCGGCAACGGAGCAGGCGTGCTGTCCACCAGCTCCGCCGAAACAAGCCAAGTGATGAGACGCCGTCTCGAAGCCCCGAGCCTGAGTAAGGTTCCGGATCGGGCGAGCCATCGATTCGTCAGCAACCTTCAAGAATCCGAGAGCAATCTCCTCAGGCGTGTACTCAGTCTCGCCACTCTCTTTGCGCTCAGCATTGATTTTCTGAGTCAACTCAGTGAAGAGCTTGGTTGTCGCTTCGAGGTCAAGCGGCTGGTCCTCATTGGGGCCAAAGATGTGTGGGAAATATTCCGGCATCAGACGTCCCAAGAAAAGATTGGCATCAGTGACGGTCAAAGGACCTCCTTTGCGGTAGCAGGCAGGGCCGGGATGAGCGGACGCGGACTCGGGCCCGACGTAGAACAGACCGTTCCGATACGAAAGGATGGAGCCACCACCAGCGGCAACGGTGTTGATATCGAGCTGGGGGGACTGGATCAGGACACCAGCAACCTTTGACCCGAAGACATGCTCCAGATGACCGTCGAAGCGAGACACGTCGGTAGAAGTACCGCCCATGTCAAAACCGATGACCGGCGTCTTCTCGGTGGGGTCCCAGCTGGTCGCTGCGAAGCCAACAACACCGGCAGCCGGACCAGACAAAATGGCCTTCAAGCCGCTAAATTTGCGGAAGTCAACCAGACCACCGTCCGACTGCATAAATTCGAACCGACACTCGCGCTGCTGGTCTAGGCCGCCTTCAAAGCTAGATGAGATGGAGTCGATGTAGGTCTTGATGACAGGGGTGAGGTACGCATCGGCAGCAGCCGACATTCCTCGAGGCACGATCTTGATCATGGGCTGCAGCTTGGAGGACAGAGTAACGGAGAAGCCCATCTTCTCGGCCAAATCTCCGATGATACGCTCATGTTCCGGGTAGGCGAATGAATGGACTAGAGCAACAGATAACGACTGGTAACCTTGCTCCTTCAAGCGCTTAAGCTCAGTTCGAACCTGTTCCACGTCCAACTCCTGTACCACGCGAAACTTCTCGCCGGTGACGCCCTCCTCCACGCGAGAGCTGGAAAAGCAGTCCTTATCCGCGGCCGCATGAATGGGGAGGACTCGTTCATTGATCTCCACGACACCCTCGGGAAGGACACTGGGTCGGGCCATGGACAGATCGAAGATGTTTGGCCGCGATTGGTCACCAATGTGCAATAGATCACGAAATCCCTTAGTCGTGAGGAGGGCCGATCGAGCGCCCTTGCGCTCCAACAAGGCATTTGTTGCTACGGTAGTTCCCATCCGTAGGCTGCCAATTGCGTCCATCTTCAGGGGCTTCCCCCGAGGGAAAGATTCACCCGTAACCTTCTCGAGGATCTGACGAACACCCTCTGTAGGAGCATCTTGGTAGTGGGCAGGATCAACGGATAGTAACTTGAGGATGATGTCAGGGCGACCGGGAACGATGGCGTGTACATCGGTAAATGTACCGCCACGGTCGATGGAGATTGTGATTTTCCCAGTCCCGGCCATGGTGGATGAAGGTGACAGAATGAAGGCCGTCGAACAATGGGACAGAGAAGTGAGGGATTGCTAAGGGAGGGGATCCCCGGAGTTAAAATAGCTGCTTTCCCCACGGAGGGGAAGCCTGCCAGGAGCCCGATAACGATAACACTGGTCACGTGTCGGGCCGACGCCTCGGAGGATCGGCAGGACCGGACCGATGTCGCCGATGGTATCATGGGCCCTGCTTCTTGCGATAGGGACTTGGAGTAATGGAGGCGATGTTGACATGAAGGATCGGATGACGGAATTAGCAGGGCGACTACTCCGAATCTAAGTGTGTCAATTGAAATTCGTATAGACGTACAAAAATTTTGTAAACTCTTAACATGTAACTAGTTACTAGAAGTATAGTGCTCGCTATTGACGAGCCCATCGGATATTGTGAGATGGTGATTTGACAAGTAAACTATTTCTTCAAAGTATTCTCAATCCAGTCCGTATCCATATCAATATCAATTTGATCTAACACCTCTTCCCACAGTCCTGGGTCATCGTTGATGTCAAAATTGAACGAGATATCGCGCATAGACGGTAGATCCTGCTGCGAGGGCCACTCAGTAGAGACCACCGGTGCTTGCTCTGGAACGATATTTGTAGCCGGACTTGCTTGCTGTATGCTACTGGGTGTGATAGGGGTACCGATAGCGATGTCGTCTCTCCGTGAGGGGTTAGGCCCAATCGCCGATTGTAGTTCGATTAAAAGGGAGTGCCGGGAGGCTAGGTAAGCATTGCCGCGATCTGCCATATTGCGGAGAAGGCTTAGCGCTACTCCCATACTCCGTGCATTCGTTTCGTTGTAAGGAAAGGCGGCATTGACCATGACGAGCAACAGAGCTGCCGAAAATACGTATTCGCCGTCGAGATAGCCGTACGTGGCTTTCTATAGTATCAGTAAAATGAACCAATTAAGGGTTTGATTGCACTGTAACCTACCGACAAGATTTTGCTTCGCCGCAGCATCCATAATAACAGTAGTAGCCCGAGCAGCACTAATGCAGCTGTCTATGACCGCCACGGTATTTGGTGATAGCCCTTCTTTCCAGTCGCCTGCCACAGAGGATTGATCACCTGCGTCAAGTCGACGCTGTATAACATAAAATACCAGAGGCCGTGCAGTCATATTGACACATGAATAAAAGTGCAAAAAGATTGACACCGATTCACGATTTACATTGTTGTGGAGACTGGAGAAGTCGATCCGGAGCCGATCCGGAATCCGTTGAAGCCATTCCGATAGATCGTTCGTGATGCTCTGCACGGACGCAAGTAGGTTGGAACCAGACCGGGGCTTTTTACGATAGATTTCTGATACAACCGTCAGAAAAGTTCTTCCTGAGCAGGCAATTTGGGAGTCCGCACCTTCTCCTATCCTCCCTAAGATCCTCGACAACTGCGTGTAATAGGTCAGCACGACTGAAGGCCATGGAACGTCAGCTGTCCTATCTATTGGTATTGGCCATTTTATTCCAATGTCCTCGTCATGAATCGTGATAGGATTTCCTGACTTGACAGACAGCAATCTGGCGCTAGTCAACCTAATTGTTCATTAACAAAGCAGCTCAAGAAGGACATACCGATCCAAGCTATATACAGACCACCATGCTCGTCGCCGGCGGTTTCGATCACCTTCACTGATTGAGGGATCTGAGACCTCTTGGTGAAGACCTAGTGAAATGGCCATGCGCAGAGCGAGGCCGATCTGGTCTTGTTGTTAGCGCTCACTTGCACTCAGCAGTATGCTGATGAACGTACGTATAGGAAGGCAGCATCGCGCCTATTGAGGTTCTGCATGTAGTAGGCCACATAGCACAACACTTCGACAAAGAATATTGAGCCCTCCTCGTGGATGTCTGGCAGGAAACGTAGTGCATGCTTGAAGTATTTGAACCCAGGCGGGCCATCGTCTCCCGACCATTGATTCACCGAGTACATCAGCCCAAAGGCCACAACCAGTAATACCTGGCAGTAAACTAGACAGGATTCTCGAGACGAGAAGTCTGGTGGTTGGTCATATACTGTCTTCAACCGTTCTTCAATATCTGCGGGATGAATCAAGGAGAAGATGGTTCCAATATAGGTGTACTGCACCCAGAAAAGTCGCTTGGCGAACTCAAACGGTGGCATCTGGGGTAGAGCTCTGGTCGTTGATAACCGCAGCGACGAAGGGTCATCATATAACGGGCGAACATCCCATGCGAAATTAGTTGAAGTCGGATTGAGACGTTTGGCCAGATGGGTAGCGGATGAAGCTCCCACGAATTCTGTCTTGTGTCAGAATGGACGTCATAAAAATGGCATGTTGTATACGCACGATGCTCCCCGGATCGATTCAAGAATAAGTGATCAGTCCCCTTATACCACCAATCGTCGCGCTCCGGTGGAGCTTCTACATTGGTGTAGGGGCTGGGCTGAGCAGGGGTCGCGTTGGCAGACTGATCTGTAACCAAAAGTCAACGATCAAGTTAGATCCAACCGTTGCGAGCATAAAAGTACTCCATACCTCGGCGGGAAGACGTGCGGGCCTGGGACTGAAGTTGCAGAAAATAACTGGGAATGGACGGTCAGCATGTATAGCAAGACAGATCATGCTCAGTTTCACCTTTCTGGAATCGACACACGCTTTTCAGCTTCAGAGTATACGCATACTTGACCCACATCCTCGCAGGCGGCACACGGGTACGGAGGATTGCCAGCACATCGTGTCTTCCTATTGCGACATCGATTACATCTGGTGTCGTTGTTAGCGTCGCTATCTGAATACGAAGATCAGCCTTTGGCTCATTCGATCACCTACGCCACCATCGATCGTCTGAGGTTAGATCGATCGTCCGATCGATGATGCATCCTGGCCTTAGCTTTTCCCGGAGCCATTGGGTAGTCGGCGTTATCGCTGAGATGCAATTACCATAACGCAGAGTTCTGCTGGATGGGAAAAATCGGAGCCTTTGATTTTTTTGACAAGGTTTGATGCTGATGAAGGTCTGAATCCCAGCGTCGAGTACGCCAATGAACAGTGCATACCCCGGGCTCTTCCCCACGAGATTGTTCGGTAATTAGTTCGGTGCAATCCTGCGCGACTGGATCGTGAAAGTAAGGCGATGGATGATCGGCTGAAATAATCCCGGTCTAGCTTCGCAGCAAGGACACAGACCATTCCGATCCGACCAACAGAATTAGAGGGGGATTGGAAGTCGAGGGACAAATAGTCAACGGAGTAGAAGGCGTTTGTTGTCTCCGTCTCCGGCAGTGGCTTCCCCACACGTGTCTTGCTGACTGATCGCTCGGTCGGCCCGATGCCGATAAGGAGGAGTTCCCATTATTAATGGTGACTTTTCTGAAAGCATCACGAACGGATTCGCCATACCAGCGATAATAAGGAATGTTTCGCTTAAGTGAAGGGGAACTCGGATTCTAATAAGAACGCTAAAAGAACAGAACCACCCGAATACAGGAAAGGAGACGCCGCAGTGCCTTGATCTGGTATCTTCAAATACTAAGTCCTTGTTGAGAAATATAGATTGAACATGGGGGTTCGCCAAAGGTCTGTGCAGACGACATCGGCAGAAGCAAGGGTCGCGGATCACTCCGAATCCTGAACTTTTCACCCCTTCACGACTTTTTGAACAGGCTCCTCTCCGAAGATGGTGACAGAAATCGTCTTTTTGAAGAAGCTTTTCTCCGCATTCCCAGTCATATTTCTTGTTAATGCCCGCGATCAGCAATGTATCATGAAGGTGGTAAGTCCAGCCGACATCCAACATTCCCACCAAACGTTGCTAATATGCATATGCGAAGCATCATGGCCGTGGACCCCGGCAATACTATGAACCCAAAGACCGCGAACTGGATATCCACGTACTTGAATCCACTGCCTATACTTGACTGAAAGAGCGAGGGCTTTGCGACTGAGGAATTGTACCTAACTACCTGGGTGCCGTAAGGAAGTTCGAGCCATCTTTATGCCAGCCTCACTTGAAAAATTTCTTGGATGACGAATACCTTCCCAGCGCGATATTCTTGGACTATTTCGAGGGTCTAGGAATGATCAGCCTCGATAACTACACCCAGGAGCGTATGGATAATTTCGACAAATACACAAAGCGTTCGTGTGACATCGAGACCCGAAACCAAGGAACATGATGCTCGTTAAAGATACTCCTGACAGAGTGGTTTGGCTGAATTTTGACCGGGCGGAAACTTGTGATGAGAGCCGAATTGCTCCTGAACAAACTAAACTGATTGAGGAAGAGGATGAGATTGTTACGGGATTCAAAAATTGCTTGGTAAGTGCGCCCGGTATGTTCGCCCCGGCCGCTTTTTCCTAAGTCTCGTCAACAGGAAGCCGATTATGCGAAAGGGCAACTTGATGATGCATACATCTTTTATTGCACCTAGTAGTCAGACATCAAGAGTGAGCAGTGCTGAACCAGCTGATTATAGCGGTATTGTATTCTTCTCTACCTTGACACATTGTTTATTGTTATACCGAGTACATGTTGGAGTGATCGGATTGATGGTATTTAATGGTTAGTTTACCTACACAGATAGTTTTGAAATTTAGACCCTCCTGCATTCATCTTTTTGGCCATAGGATTACTAGCCCTATCTTGCCAAATGGCCAACCTCCACGATCGGGTGGTCTTTCGTTACGAGACATGTAGTTGATTTTTAATACAATATTTCGAACAGGACTTACAGAAGGTTCACTTCACTGCTTTCAGCAGTAGCATCAGTAATATATGCAGTATCACAAGGTGTATAAGCGTATGCTGTCTAGCTCGTTACGCAAGTTGAGACTCGATGGACCAGAAATCAAGTTCGCTCCATATTTTTGGTACAGTAGTGATTGACATTTTGGTAAACACCATCATAGAGAAGACAAGCACTCGCTGCGCTACACTATAGTACGAATATATACGCTTATTCTCAATGATTATCATCATCTGATTCCTAATCTCATATGGTGATCCTCTGCGGCATACGACATCGACTCCCGATATCAATCTTGAGCTAGCGCCCCACTTCAGACGGGCAACAAGTGGGTAACTGGCGGTCAGTCTTGTCGTCGCCGACTTTCGTGCCAACATTGCGACTCAACAAACATGGAGAACTTGTATGAGCATATCATGCACGCAACTCAGGACGACGACATCCAAAATGTCGCCGGCCTACTGGATAAAGGTCTTACAGTAACGGTTGATCATTTTCTCATTGCAACACAGCTGAAGTGCTATGGTGTACTAAAATTGTTCTTGTCTCGTGGCTGGGATATCAATACTGACGTGAATAATTCTGTGCCCTCGACGTTGGTGTAAGTCTGGGAGCCTTCTTAATACGCTTGAATGCTAAATCTCAATAAAACACCTGAAGAAGTGTAACCGTCTATTCTCTAATCTATGACCATTGTGCATCTCTCAACGGATTGAACTTGTCAAAGTCACCAAGGACAACACCCCCCCTCTTGAATAATCTATTGGGCCGCCTTCTGTTCGAACTTCTGTAGAACTCGGATATGCTCCTGCTTCAGGGCTTTGAACTCGTCGTCGAGCTGATTGTGCCAGGGGTATAGAACGAAAACTTGGAAGGCGAGTGCGGACGAGGCCACTCCGAAGTTGATAAGGGAGATTCCGCGCGTGATGATCATGATGTATTTAGTATCTGTCAAAGAACTCTTGTCAGTTCAGGTAGATGGTCGCATGCGATCAATGCTCTGTACTCACAATTAATGGAGTGGAGAGGGTAATAAAGTTATCAACCTAGCGCTGCATGCGGTATAGTGAAGTAAATAGAGATAGACTGGAATGAACGACAGGTGTACGACTCTTACAGAGGTCGTGCGATAGGAGACAATCAAAAGAATGGAGGATAAAGACAACTCAGGGGAGATTCTGGGGCGTTGAGTACAAACCTCCTGTTTTCATATGGCGCAGGGAACGGTGGCCCGGTGGGTCTGCAACGTGTCGGAGATTGTTCGGATCTGTCGGGTCCGACTGATAACGGCGCTGGGCCGGCTTGCCCGGTTCTTAGCCGTCGGACTGCACTATAAAGTCGGGTGACGGCCTCATTTCCTCTATAGCCTCGGTATTTGTCTCAGGGTATTTTGTTTAAGGCCGGTGGCAAGGCTGAAATTTTACTTTATTCACGAACCTTTATGGAAGAGCTCTTCTGTCATCATTGTATGCTAGTTATTCGCCATCCCTTTGATGACTGACCGACTTCTTGGTGGAATATCTCGCTGCGGAGGCTCTTATAACTTTGTTGGTCCTTTTATGTCTCTTTACATAGGAGCTTGCTGAAATATAGTATGATTGCCGATTTTGAAAGCAAGCCAGTGCCCTATAAACCAGTGCGAACTCTCTCCACGCCGCAAGAGATTCACAATGAGTACCCATAAAAGTATTCTCATGTATCCCCAGATACAAACCCCGAAAGTATTCGTTAGCGAATAAATATAGCTCCTTCACAATAGAAATGTTCACGCAACCATTTCCTCGATGGTAAGTATGCAGCTGACCTAATCATGTACCACGGTCGATTATTCAGATCAGAGATCGAGAATCGCCATTTGCAATCGTATTTATAGTTACATGCGCTTACTCATTGCCGGCTTAGAAGCCATGGTCAGCATCGATCAAATCGGCAAGCCGAGCCAGTGCCCATCCCTTGTCGCAGAGTCAAAAGGCCGATGAACGTGAATTTGACATCATTATGTTGTTACGTCATACACCCTCCGGCCATTCCAGACCACCAGATTTATAAACCTCGCCTCTGCAACAAAGCAATATATAACTTCACCTTCACTAGATCAAAGAGAATGAATCGCCTCTCAACGTGCTTCAAAAGACAATTGGTTACAAAAAACCTGAATATCAATACCATTTGCTATCCGCGAATTTCATCACCCGCTACATTAGTGACGACCCGACTATACTCCCAGACTTACAGCGGCAATATGTCGACCGAACCTCCCCGCAATGAAATGGTATACCTGCCCGGCGTTCTATCGCCAAACCGATCTTTCGGAGTTTTCCGCAAGGTGCTACATACGGGTCTATACTCGCAGTTCGTGGCCATGGAGGTGCCCGTGAACGGCGAGATCGGCGACGAGGTATGTATCTATACACCGCACCCACACATTTCGACGCTTTTAGTATCGCCGGTAGTGGCTAACAATATGCCAATCAACAGAAACACACAGTCGATCAAGTCCTTCTCTTCACCTCGGGCATCGGTAAAGCCATTGTGGCCGGAAAGGAGCAGGAAGTGAAGCAAGGCGACACAGTGATCGTTCCTGCAGGCACACAGCACCAGTTCTTGAATGTAGGATCCTCTCCATTAGAGGTGGTCACTATTTATTCACCCGCGGAACATCACCCTCAGACAGTGCATCAAACCAAGGCTGAAGGAGATGAGAAGGAGGAATCCGGACAGGATGAGCCGGCGGAGTGGAGTCAGAGAAGCAAGGCGGAGAACGAGAAGTTGGGATTGGTGAACGTTTAATGATGTATGGATTAATCAATTTCTGTTTGAATAGTATTCTGAATCCACCTAATGTACCTTTGTTTGTACTCGAATACTCGAAGCACTAGGTAGTTTCGAAAAAGGAAGGGGCAGCTGCTCGAAATAGTATAATTTTTCTTCCATGTATTTTGAATAGCTTCAGTCGTCTCAAGCTATCAGGAAGTGACAATACTCTTGAAGAGTGCCGGTTCCCGAGAGTGATTGTATTGCAAAAAAAAAAAAAAAAAAAAAACCCCTTTGCTGCCCTTGGCTTTCAATTCATGCCAGGATCGAGGACATTATCTAATGAGGCTTGTCTGTATTCAGCGGCATACGATACTCGACCATATCACTACTTGCATTAGCGACTGTGTCGTACATCCGGCGTGCAGACGTGTTTGTATGGTGCGTCGCCCAGTAAAGCCTCCTGCAGCCTTTCTCTTCCGCCGACTTCCTCGTGGCCTCAATGAGGGTCTTGCCGCAACCTTTCCCGCGGAGAGAAGAGTCGACGAATAGATCTGCATAACTCATCAGGTTTACGCAAACAGAGCAAAAGAGGTTATGATATTACCACTCAAATAACAAACATGATGTGGATGCCACACGCTTTGGTGGAAGAAATAATGTGCCAGTCCGACAACGGCGCCCGTTTCGTTCACGAGTACATGGGCTTGCAGGTTGCCCTCTGGCTCCACGATGCGCTTGAATGTGTCTTCGTATTGCAATTGAGGTAGATCTGCCTCGCAGTGCGTAATGAATGCTTTCCAGAGACTCGCCCATGAGGCGTAATTCTCGGGTTTGAGGGTGGTGAGTTTGATGGACATTTTTGTTGAGCTTGAAATGGCCCCGCCGTCGGAGTTGGGCTCCATAGCTTTTATATGGTATTTATACTATTTTGAAAATTCCGGGATTCGGAATTGCATGAGGCAATTGTGATTTGCTACTAGTGCCAGGCCTAGGCTGCATTTTGACATGATCACGCCCTAACGCGTTTACGCCCTCCTCTATCAGACAGTAGATTGGACGCCTCGATTTGGCCCCCACATTTTCAGTCTCCCTAATCGCGTTGCCATTTTTCGTTGTTCCAAGTAAAATCCTACTATGTCAAGCATTCCTGTGAGCGGGCTAGGGAATGGTCTATTGGAGTCACGGTCATTTGTCGTGGACTGTAGGAAGATGCTCCCCCGGAGATATAGAATTGCGATGCTTGATATATTATAATTAGTAAAACAAAATCATATAACGCTGGCCATTGCCGACGGGGGGTATTTATCAAAACGAATAGCCTGGTCATTGCTCTCAGCTTCAGGTTGTAACTAGATGAATATTAGATCTCGGTTTTCAAATATTCCTCCGCCGAGGGGTGACTTACATCCAAAAGTCTAAGAATCAGAATTGTCGCCTTCTTCAATTCCATCCAGGCTGCATATATTTTTGGGCACCCAGATAACGGGGACTCCCCTGCAAAAAGATTATCTTCCATAGTTGCGACGTGTTGCTCGCCGACAATTATCCACCTCTCAGGATCGAAAGTGTTGGGACAGTCTCCATAGATATGACGAGAGTATCGAGCGACTTCCTGGTGGCAGACAATCGTTGTATCTTCGGGGAGAAAGCATCCCAATACTTCCATCCCACCCTTTGGCGCCTTGAATTCTTTATAGTATGCTGTCAAAGGGCAACATCTCGTCGATTCTTTCATAATGGCATCAAGGTATCGGAGTCCGGTTAGCTCGCTCCACTTAGGGACCTCTGAAAGAAAACCGTCAAAAATTGCCCTTTCTATTTCATCTTTCAACGATGCCATGATGTCCGGACGATTTAGCAGACAGTAAAAAGTCGACACAAAGGTGGCGATGATAGATTGAAGCTTGAAGTACACCGTATTTTTTGAAGCATTTGTCTTGAGATGGGAAAAGGATCCTGGGAATAATGTCTGCTCATTTGTAGCTAAGCAGCGTTCCAGCCTTCTAGAACTCCGAAGAGGACAGTATCTCCTTCTCGTCTTAGCTCGTGGGTTATTCAAAGCCAAGTATTGCATGGTGGACTGTGAGAAAACACCACCCATCCGACCGGGATGATAATTATATGCTGGCACTGTTCGATGGCTCGGACTTGTTTCGATATGATCGTCCATTGTCAGTAGATCAATGAAGTCTATGTCAAAATAATGCAGCATCGATGGCAGATCCACAATTTTATGGATGTTAATAGTAGCGACGAAATTGGTGACAAGCTGATCAATGGTACCTTGGTATACGGCTGCGTCCTCAAGGTACTTTCCTCTGTCCCGCACCGGATGGTTGTAAATACCCTCTGGTGATGTGCTTTCAAATTCTGTTTGATCTGGTGTAGATGTGCCATTATCGTTCGCAAGCAACTATATTGATTAGTCTCTGAATATTCCGCTGAGAAAAGCTCTACCTACCTCGTCTGATCGCCCATTATGCCGAGAGAATAATGCCGAGAGGAGCGAAGAAGTGTAACATCGGAAATGCTAACACAGTTCGGTCCTATTCGCACGATTCGATCATATCCTTCATGGAGCTCAGTGAGACAGTCACCATATTCAGGGGAACGCCGAATATGCCATCGCCAGCAATTAGACAAGCTAGCAAACCAAGGCCCAGGAATCCCTCTCAACCGCACACGGTTGCCAAGAATGCGAAGAAATAGCAAGACCAAGAACACCGCAGTTGCGTATTCGGCCATTCTTCGAGGAAGTCCATAAGATCATTGTTTTCTGTCAAGATGGGATCATTGCAGTCGGCAGGACTAATTGCGGTGGTCAAGATGTGTCATTAATTTCCCTCGGCCGTGTTGTCCCGAGAGAAACAGCGATTGCCGAGAAATCCCGACATGTTGTTCATGTTCGGTCGCATCAGACACAAGTGCCAGCAGAACAGATTTTACACTCAGAGTAAAGACTATGAACAAATTTAATCGTGATGTGGTTCTTTAGAAGTTTCAATGATCATATACTTCGCTATTTATAGCATACGCTGTGCTCGTTAGCGAGGGTCCTGTTGCCAAGCTAGTTTGATAGACATTACGGGTCAGTTGATTATTATTTGTTAGATGTAAAGTATTTATATCTTTGCAGGATACTTGAGATCGAATCATGTAGATTTGCAACTATTGACCCTTTAGGATACTAACTATTGGGGGGTATATAAATAGCGAAACAGTTGAAAGCTTGCACTCGGAACGCCGATAATGTATACTTACTTTTTACTTATCCTCAAGTTAGCGTTTCTGAGTGTTTCCTTGTCGGACGAATGTGAACTAGTGTTAGGTAGGTATGTTTTAGTGCCTCTAAGCATGTTCGACTATAATGAACAGGTATTCCAATGGTTTGTGTCAGAGACATGATAATTGACCGGAAAGCAGGAAGGCCATGAGCTAAATAAAGATCCTCGGGAAACTCTAATTTGAATGATGAGCGGCCAGCCAGGAACCATCAAGGAAGATCAAGTACATCATGGGATTGCATCGCTGTATAGCAAGGTCTGGCGAGGGCGAGTCTGAACTCGTGAAAACGGCATTTAAAGTTAATCAATGAGAAACTCAAACTGGGAAACTCATGAGAACTTTTGGATTTATAGCGATCCAGGGACATATTCTGAACCGTCAGGATTCAATTGACAACATTTTTAAGTCACCACGAGGAAACCGGTTAGACAAACAGCGGGTAGCAGCAGACCCACACAGGGACTTCTCCGCCCGAGGCATCCTGAAACAGACAGGTTTGGACTTTGGATGCTCCCATTTCCCCTCAAACTAGTTCTTAGTCTCTCTAGTTAGTCCGCAACCTGTTTTCATGGTCAAAACGCGTACATCATTTCAAAGACCCTGTTGCCTGCACTTCGTCTGGAGTTTCCTTCCGGAGGCCTCCAGGTTATGACTTCTGTAAATGCATACAGCAGCGGGGCGGGTGGAGAACCACGAGAGGTCGATTTGATTCCACCGGAAGAACCGGTCATTCCCACTGGCCCCCGCCCAAATGCCAAATCGACCAATGGGACCTACACGTAGTCGTGTTTGTTTCCTTCGAAGGAGGATGATATGCGTGAAAATTAAGTGACATTATGCCGACGGGGATTATGAGAAAACGTCCACGGAGCACCGTAGTCCGTAGAATCTCTGCTCTCCGGAAAAGCGCAGAGTAAGCTATCTCCAGAATGGAGTCTAGCCTCATCGCTGGGCAATTATTGGTCCGACCAAAAGTCTGGGCACAGGAGGCAGGGCCGTGTCATTCGACACCCGATTCATTGTTTTTCTTCTAGGCCTTTGATTTTGTTGGTTGACCGAAAGACCGCTTGCATCATCGCGCGCATGCAAAAAATAAGTGTAGTCGTGTTTATAATGGCGGTCAGCCATGGCGCGTTGATCTCGAAGTCAAAGTCAGGCGTGCCTAGAGCACAATTGAACTGTATCCAAGGGGAGGGGGGTGAGAGCAAAGAAGGACAAGAACAAACTGGTCTCACTGCCTACGGCTTCTGTCAAGCCATCTCCATCACCACGCAGACAGGGAATCTTCTGCACGAGGACGTGAATGGTTAGCGCACAATTCTCTGGTTTGGCACTTGCAGTAGCGGCTGCTGGAATGCTGTTATAGAGAGGATAGCGCAAGAGCGAGCGCGCCAACATCCTGGGCCATCGAGTCAACACGAGAGAAATGTGCCTCATCTGGCCTGATTCGCGACCGAATGACGTGTGGGCTGCTTGCTAAACCTTGTATGTCGCCAATGGCAAGGCATCTCGGTAACCACAATAGGCGACGGATCAGCTCGCCATCCTTGGTACGAGACTTTGACCTGTTGCGTCGACTCGACCCCTGGGCAAACAGAAAACTCTCCTTAGCTACACTGCATGGTTGCACTCGAACGCCATTTGGCGGCCTAACGGGGGTGGCACCGGCTGAGGCGGCCAGTCCTCCTCTCCGACAGGGTCTTGGACGAAGGTCTTGTCTTCCGGGGGCTTGCGACTCTGACGAAAGACGGCAAGGAAAGCGATACTGCATAGAGATCCCATTAAAGTAGAATGGCTGAGTGAATTTCCCCCAATCCGGTGATGGCAGGGTCTGAACTGCAGGTTGCCTGCCTCGGAGAGACGGGAAGAAAGAGGGAGGGGGCAACGCGTGATTCGGAAAACCTGAGGCACCCTCGAGCTATCTCCTCCCTCGTCTCTTCGTCATCCGAGTCCAACTTCCGTCAACCTCCGTCGAAACCGGTTCTATAGAATTTATCTTGATTTCATGTCTGGTTTTTTGGTGATTCTTCCGTCTCCCTTCTAAATCTTTCCGCATCATGCAACTCGCATATCCTTCCCCAGATATTTCCAGGCGTGGTCTCGCTCCCCCGCACAACTTGCCGATCGATTGATCCACTGTGGGTTGCCATAGACGCACTGACAGGTCAACCGGGGCACGGCGTGGGCTCGCATCAGCACTACAGAGTCCTGTGTAGTGATACACATGTAGCTACGCCGACGCGAAAGTGGCCCCGAACGCACTCCTATTCCAGGCTCCACCGAGACCCAGGGATCGAGAAATTGTGGTTGCATGACCTCATTGATGATTGGCTCTTCTCCGGCCGTGATATCGCTCGATAAGAACTAAAGGAGGGTGAGGATGAAGTGCGCCGGCGCAACAGGAGGCAGATGCTGTAAATCTGTGGATAAAAGGGCCATGGATGCCCCCATTTGTCGGCCTGGATTTTCACCATCACTTCTACAAAGTGCACTGTTCCCTCCTCTGCCCCATATTTTGACTTTCCCCGTTTTGAACCCACTCAACCTGAGACCCTCCCCTCCATCATGATTGCCCCTACAGAGCCCGCTATCGCCTCCAACTCTTCCACTCCCTTGACCCAGTTTACCCCTGACGTCGATCGGGAGGCTCTGTTGGAGAAGGTGATTGTCGTTGTGGGTACGTCGCTCGCTCCTATGGCTGCAGCTATTTGTCTAGCTTGAACTTACCCGCGACATAGGTGGTTCCAACGGAATCGGCGCTAGCTTAGTAGACCTCTGCTGCCGCGACGGCGCTTATGTGGTAATCGGTGATATCGATGACACCGGTGGAGAGGCTTTGAGCAGGAAGTGCGTGGAGAAATGGCCTGTCTTTTCCGACCCGGCTCTGCCACCGAAGCCGCCTAGGTCTACCTTCCAGCACGTTGACGTGACAAACTACCAGGAGGTGGTGGATTTGTTTGACCGTGCGTTCAAAAAATACAGGAAGATCGACCATGTCGTCGTCACTGCCGGCAGCATGGATACTGGTGAAAACTGGTTCGATCAGAAGTTGAGCCTGGTGTCAGTTCGACAGGTATGTCTCTTATACGAGCGACCTTTTATCTTTGCCATTTGAAATCTAATTTCGTCACACAGCCCCCTTCTACGAAGGACCTGGACGTGAACCTTATTGGCTCGATGTACGTGACTCGGGTCGCGAGCGTCTACCTTCGTCATAACCGCGGACCCGGTGTGGACCGATCTATCCTACTTTTCTCTTGCGCCGCCGGTTTCAAAGAAACGGCGGGAGTGTCTTCTTACCAGGCTGCAAAGCATGGCGTCCAGGGTTTGATGCGCTCTTTGCGCCCGTATTTCCCGTCTCCCTACAAGCACAACCTCCGCATCAACACTATCTGTCCCTGGATGACCGACTCCCGCACGCTCCTCACTAAGAAGGTTCATGACCGCTGGCTCAAGGAGGGCCTGCCTGTCAGCACCCCTCAAGAGGTCGCCGAGGTCTCCGCGAGTGTGCTTGCCGACGACTCGCTCAACGGCACATCAATGTATGTCGAAGGCGGTCGCGCCTGGGAAATTGAGGCCAACCTTGATCGCCTGGAGTGCGAGTGGCTGGGCGAGGAGCCATCCCGGGTTCTAGCCCGGGGCCAAAAGGTCCTGCACGAGGCATGGGCTGCTTAAAAGCCGTTTTAATTGCAACCAGCGGGCACTGTGAATTTTCATTTCAAGCTATAGATACCCATCTGCGCCAGAAAAAGACGACTGAGGAGGATGAAAGATTGATACATGAAGGCCGGATAGGGTCTCCATGATATAGGTGGTTCTGAGAGCCCCGTCTAGGTTTCGGGCATTTTCACTTTGTAGAACAACACTGTCTGGTCGATTTGAGATAGGAGTGTTTCCATCAGTACGCCATTAATGAATGAATGAACCCATGAACTTTAATAGCCCTGTTGTATTTCTCGTTCTCCGGTTTCCAATCACCAGTCGGTTATTGTCCCTCGTATTCCGAGTCCACGGCCGATCCCCTAACACCCACCATAGGGCCAGCATTGCAAGACAATACACTTTGTTGTATTATCTTCTTGTCTCAGAAAGAACATATGCTCCATATTCGGCTCAGCCTTTTGTTCCGGCGGCCGGCAGTTGCCTCCGACCCGGATAGCCTGTCAGGACTTGCCTGAATTTTTAGGCTGTCACTGTTTCCCGACTAGGATCTTTAGCCTCTATATCATGTAGCCGTTAAGGCTGAAGGCAAAGCATTTGTTTTCTGGAACAAAGGTTCCCTGTAACGCGTTCATCCGAGAATTCCATGTCGATCAAACAATGCTTGTTGCGAAATCAGCCTAATTTCTGTTTCCTTTTCATCTCGGATGAGCGGGCATATCCAAAAGCTGCAACATGTATAAAGAGCGACACAAGGCGGTGATTGAAGAAAATCAAAAGACTAAAAGCACCGATGCATCAACCCGCCATGATCGCCTGGCTGACGATTTTATCACTTTTTTGCGTTCGAGGTAAACACCATCCCTTGCTTCAATTCAAGTATAGCAGTTCACTTAACACTGCCCTGCATAGTGATCGCGGAATGTCCCGACCTCCCTTCTCTCTCCGAGTTTAACATCACGTCCACACTTCCTGATCCGTTCTCCTGGTACCCTGTATCCAAAGCCGACCGCGTAGCAACAAAGGCAGACTGGGAGTGTCGTCAACAACACATCAGCAGCCTCCTTCAACAGCTCGAGCTCGGCACTAAACCCCCTACCCCATCCGACATCAGCGCATCATTCTCGCAAAACAAGCTCTCCATTACAGTTTCTGAGGGGGCGAAACAGATCGCTTTCGATGTTTCGATCGGTTATCCCTCTGGTGGTGGCGATGGTCCTTTTCCAGCGATGATCGCCTACGGGGGACTTAGTCTTCCTCTCCCGTCGGGTGTTGCTACTATCACGTTCGACAATGGGGCTATCGCTCAGCAAACTGATCAGAGTGGTCGCAGGAAAGGCCTCTTCTATAATCTCTATGGTAGTGATCATAGTGCCGGCGCAATGATGGCGTGGGCATGGGGCGTCTCTATAATTCTTGATGCGTTGGAATCTACCCCGTCTGCTAAGATCGATCCTGCGAAGGTTGGCGTCACTGGGTGTTCGCGAAACGGCAAAGGCGCTCTCGTGGCGGGCGCATTCGATTCCCGTGTCGCTTTGACTGTCCCGCAGGAGTCAGGGACCGGTGGATCTGGTTGCTGGCGTCTCTGCGAGGCTGAAGACGCCGGGTCGGGGAATGTGCAGACGGCTGGGCAGATCGTGCAGGAGAACGTCTGGTTCTCGACGGCGTTTAACTCCTATGTTGATCAGGTCGATCATCTCCCGTTTGATCATCATATGTTGGCTGGACTGATTGCCCCGCGAGCGCTCTTGTCGATCGATAATGTGGGCTATGAGTGGCTGGGCCCGTGGTCTTCGTTGGGGTGCATGAGTACGGCGAGACTGGTGTGGGATGCGCTTGGAGTGTCGGATCATATGGGGTATTCGTTGTCGACGGATCACTCGCACTGTTCGTTTCCTGATGAACAGAAAGGGGATTTGGATGTCTATGTGAGGCGGTTCCTATTGGGGGAGGACGTGAACACGTCGGTGCAGAAGAACTATCCTGGGGTGGAGTTTGATCGCAAGGAATGGGTCAAATGGGATGTGCCTGTGTTGCAGTAGGATCGTTGGATACTAGCCAGGACACTAAGCACGGAAGCCGAGTCCACAACGGGGAGGGCAAACAGCTCGACCCCTCAATAAAAAATATCTTAGCCCACTACCTCGTGATAAAAGTCAATCCAGTTACCTCAGAAGCCTTCTCCGATCATCTTTGCTTCTCAGCAGCTCCCATCTATCTCCAAGAAACATCGTCGCTCGTCATGACTTCCCAAACCCCCACCCTCGGCTACGACGATCTCGCTGGGAAGGCAAAATCCTACTTCGCCGCCATCGATAACAAGGACCTCGAACTAGTTCTCTCCCTCTTTGTCCCCGATGCCACTTTCACTGTTCAGACTGACCACGTGACAATCACCGGCCTGGAAGAGCTCCGATCCATGTTCGTCGGCTTCATGGGCTCGTCGAAAACAATGCTTCATGACATTCAGCATATCACCGTCGACGAGCGCGCACGCAAAGTTTGCACCGAGCACAAATATGTCGGAGAGCTGGAGGACGGGACTAAGAATGACATGAAGAATTGCAACTTTTTTGATGTCGGTGAGGATGGGCGGTTCACGAGAGTGGTGATTTGGATGGCCGGGGCGAACCCGTTGAAATAGGATTTTTGTGTCGGGTGATAAAGGTGTCATTCAATTGAGCTTTTTGAGACTTTTTAACCGGATTTGCAATGAGTATCATCAACCAATGGAGATAGAAAGCGGGCAAGAGACCTACCTATAATTTATGGGTCGTCGTGAGGTACCACCGGCCATTCCTAGCCCATATCGCTTTTATTTGTCGGCCGATTCTCACATCTGCTTCGTATTGTCGTTAATGGCAAATGCAGTAGTACTTAAATTCGTTATCTCATAGTCGTATCAAACTAGGATTGTAGAGATCAGAGCGCATGATAGTAGTGAAGAATCGATGTTTGCTGAGCGGACGAGTAAGAATAGAAAATCGTTTGATCGACCTATGAAGCAAGTCAGTCGTAACATAAATGTAGGCTGAGATTATTCTGCGACCATTATTCACACTTAGGCTTTGTAACGCTTCCATAAGACATCAATCCTCAGGCGAAAGGCCCTTGGGATTGAAGCGAAAGCCTCTGTCAACGTTGTCTCGCATCACCAAACCTCCAGTATCGTTAAAACAATTGATATTTCTGTTAATGATCATCTGACATATGGTCTGGAATTGCATGATCAATTTTTCGGTTTTCCCGCTCAAGCAAGGAAGAAGAGACCCGAAGTCTCGATGGTATTCCCATCCATTGAGCATAAATGCATCTTACAATGTTTTATCCGCCGTAAATCGGAAGAAAGCCGGATAAATAGGGGCATTATGTCATCGGCCCTCCACTCTTCTCCTCCGCTCTCCTTCCTCTTTCCTCTCCACTTTTCTTTCCCCCTCTCTATCGGTATCCCCGGATTTGTCTGCTATCATCAACAATGTCCCATCTTGGGGGCTGTTTTCAATCCTCCTATCTACTGTGTACACCAGTATGGTAGTATGGTAGACTCACCCGTCTCTGCTTCCCGGCATTCTGTCCGCTCCTATTGTTCATCCTCGTCAGCCAAGGTGCTTTAAGCGACTCAAGGCGCCAGCCACGAAGCTTATTGACGACCGGATGAAACCCCTCTCGGCACCGTCAGTTGCCGGGCGTAAGCCGAGTCCTCTGTCAGGTAGCTCACCTGCTACAATAATCATCAGTCAGTATCCCCGGCCTTCCGACTGGCCCCACGGGGTTAAACAGCCGGGGAATTTACGGCCTCGGATGAATCCTGGATAAATGCACCCTCTGATCATTACCGAAAAGCGAAAGGTTCGGTCAAGTAATCATGGCACGGTCGTGCAATGTAGTAGCCCGGTCCGTGAGATGACGGGACATTGCTAGTTGCTAGCAGCAAGGTTGATCTTTCGGGGATTTTGTATTTGAGGTCGCGTTCCTCCGCGTGTTCTCCCTTTTCGATCTCTCTCTTTGCCGGTCGCCTGCGATTCTTCTTGGAGCTATCTTTGCTCCTTTTTCTCCCGACCTATCAATCTATAACTCCCATAATCTCAACATGGCCGGGGGACCTGCCAGTCAGGGACTCTCTGCCAAGCGAGCAGAGCTCGCTGGCGGCAAGGTTGGATGGCGCGGTCTTCTCAGCAGCAAGAAGACATTTGGCATTTCTCTATTTGCGTCGCTAGGTGGATTGGTCTATGGATGTAAGTTTGCGAACCGTTCTCATACTGCTCCTGCTAATAGAACTAGATAACCAGGGAATGTTCGCTCAGATCCTCACCATGCGATCTTTCATCGATGCGGTAAATACAACAATACCTTTCTATCATTTCCGGGCCACCACTCACAGATTTTAGACTCAAGGATATGCCGAAAAACCCTCGACTGCGCAAGGTATGCTCACGGCGATTCTCGAATTGGGTGCGTGGCTAGGTACTCTGATCAACGGATACCTTGCCGATGCGGTCGGCAGACGGGTCACCGTTGTCATCGCCGTAGTTATCTTCTGTGTCGGTGTGATTGTTCAAGCCTGTACGGTCAACCCCGATTTTGTCTATGCCGGCAGATTCGTGACAGGTTTGGGTGTCGGTAACTTGAGTATGATCGTGCCGTTATATAATGCGGAATTGGTATGTGGGATGGCTGGATTCCTGACGATGACCGGCATGCTGATGGTTTCAGGCTCCTCCCGAAATTCGAGGCTCTCTGGTCGCGGTCCAGCAGCTTGCAATTACCTTCGGTATCATGACTAGCTTCTGGGTAAGTCAACATCTGCACCTTGTCAGATTAGAATGTTTACCAACTCTTGCAGATCGGCTATGGCACCAATTACATTGGAGGGACCGGCGAGGGCCAGTCGATCGCGGCGTGGGAGATCCCCGTCTGCATCCAGATTCTCCCTGCTCTTGTTCTCGCTGTCGGAATGATGATGTTTATGCCACAGTCACCACGACACTTGATGAATCAGGGACGAGAAGAAGAGTGCCTAAGCACATTAGCCCGTCTGCGTGATGCTTCTGTCGATGATATGTCTGTGCGCATCGAGTTCTTGGAGATCAAGGCTCTGCGGATGTTTGAGGTGGAAACTGCAAGCAAGAAATATCCTCAGTATCAGGATGGCTCTTTCAAGAGTCGGTTCATGATTGGCGTCAATGATTATGCATCTTTGATTACGGATAAATCGCTTTTCAAGCGCACTTCTGTTGCGGTAAGTCACACTTCCGCTCTCGATCTGCATCACGTCGCTCATAAGATTTAGTGTTTGGTCATGGTCTTCCAGCAGTGGAACGGGATTAACGCGTGAGTTGACTCCCCTATCATCTGCTATATGAATGGCTTATCAACTAACACAAATGCAGTATCAACTACTATGCGTAAGTAGAAAGCGCATCTTGTCCTTCCGAGCCCTCGCTAAATGATTCTCAGTCCTCAAATCTTTAAGGAACTCCAGCTCGGAGGTAACACAACATCTTTGCTGGCCACTGGAGTTGCCGGTATCTTTGAGTTTGTCTTCACCATCCCCGCCGTTCTTTGGGTCGATAACATCGGTCGGAAAAAGATTTTGATCGCCGGTGGTATCGGAATGGCCGTGTGCCATTTCATTGTTGCTGGCATCATCGGCTCATACCAGGGCGACTTTGATAACCACAAGGCGGCAGGCTGGGTGGCCGTTGTGTTTGTCTGGATTTTCATCATCAACTTTGCGTATTCGTGGGGTTGGTTGAACGTGTCTCGAGTTAAATGGGTTCTCGACTAACGCCCATCTAGGACCGGTCGCCTGGATCGTCACATCGGAGGTCTTTCCGCTGAGCATGCGTGCCAAGGGCGTTAGTATTGGTGGCAGCAGCAACTGGGTAGGCAATTCCTTTCACTCTTGCACGCTTCCGCGCTAACTATTACAGCTCAACAACTTCGCCGTCGGTCTGTCTACGTCTCCCTTCATCGACGCTTCTAGCTATGGAACCTTCATTTTCTTCGGCTGCGTCACCACTATCGGTGTGTTGTACGTGTGGTTCCTCGTTCCCGAAACCATGGGCCGCACTTTGGAAGAGATGGACGAATTGTTTGGATCGGGAGGTATGGCCATGGAAGATGAGGCTTTGAAACGACGCATTGAGCATGAAATTGGCTTGCTGGCCTTGCTGGGAGAAGCGCCAAGTGAGAAGAAGTCGGATGGTGTTCTATCCGCAGATGATGCGCTGGAACATAAAGAGAAACTGTGAGGATCTTTGGCATGGGCTTTATCTTTTCGTGTGCCTCTCAGTATTTAGAATATCAATGTCAATCGAGAAAATGTATATGTTTTCGTTCAGAACAATCATCCACCACGGAGGGTTGGTCCTCGGCCCGGCAACATTTGTGACCTCACGCATGAACGGTGCTCCGTGCGCTCTAAGGGGTTCAACTTGTGGATTCGCTGTTGGTCGCTTTCTGTCACTTTCTGTTGAACCGTCGGAACAGGGTCCGATGATTTCAGCATTCGGATAATTCATGTTCTGATTGTGAGTGCGGGACTTTAAAATGAACGAATCTCTTCAAATTGATTGGCATTGAAGCTGATTCCTGCAGAGCAACATCCCAGTCCACCGCTGCACTCGACAACTTCCCAACCAGGGTTAAATCCAGCTATATCATATCAACACAGTCGATACTAATCCCCGGACTCAGATACCCCGCGCCACTACTTCCACTGATCACGTTAATCGTTAACACCTGCCACTCCGACGTACTCTGCAACCATGCACTAGCTGGAACATCATAACTAAACACTACGTTATTCCCGCGATAAGTTCCGACCGTCAAACTTCGCGTGGAGCCCTGCGTGCTCGGACTCGGCGCGGTCGACGTCCACGAATTCACACTGATCTGCGGCCGTCCGCCAATGAAGGCTTCGGTGATTCCGATCCGGATCGTATGCGCGGACGCGTATTGTGCCGCTGACAGCCGGAAGTATACCACGTGGCCGTTGTTCACGTCTTTCCACATGTACCCCGGGAAGGAGTTTGTTGATGACGTGCCGACGATGAAGTTACCCGGGTCCCAGGTCGAGATGCGTACGTCCGATGGGTGCATGTAGGTTGGCAGCATTGGGGACTTGTCGAAGTTGAGGAATCCCGCCGGAGTGCCGTCCCAGTCGCCGATTCGCCAGATCGCTGTTGTGTCGGATGGGTCGGAAGGTGTTATGGTGTTGACGGCTGTTCCAGATCCTGTGTTGACGGTGACGCTGCTTGTGCCTACGGCAAGCTCGCCCTTGTAGAGCGTCAGGGTGTAGGTCCCTGGGAGAACGTTTTTAATTGACCACGCGCCGCCGGAGGACGCCGCTGTACCCCAGTATTGAGCGGCTGTGTTGGCCAGTCCGACGACGTAGGTGTAGCCGCTTTTCATGTTCGCAACTCCTGTGTTTGATGTGAGTGATATCTTGGTTTGGGAGGTGTGGGGATACGTACCAACTCCGGATACCCAGCCGCGGTTTCCCCAGGCAGTCCATCCGTCGAGCTACGATGGTTAGTGGCGTGCGTGATAGGCGTGGAGAGAGAATATACTTACTCCAAGAGTATCAAACCAACTCCAGTCGGCGTTCCGAGCGAAGAGGGCAGTATTGGGTGTGCCACCGTCCGTGAATGAAAGGACCTGTTAAGGTCAGATCGTGCCGACTGACAAAGCATTGGAAACCAACCGTTGGCCCCTGCAGTCCATATCGCTCCGCATCCGTATGACCCATGGAATAGAAGTAGATCTCGTAGAGATCCTCAGCGATGGTAGTACATCCCCGAACCAGCGAGCGGAAGAACGGGCCGCCAGACGCTTTCTCGTGGTTGGAGCGAATGAGCCAGACACCAACGCTGCCGGTTGTTTTGCCCACGTAATCGACTGCATTTGTTAGCTAGATGATATTAAGCGGACGGAGAGCGCATCGTACAGTCCATCACCCTGAGTATGTTAGCTAATTGGAAAATGTGATACAGAGACGGCTAGACTTACCGTCCGTAGTTGCTTCCTTGGTAGTGCTTGCTCTTTGTGTATCCAGCTGAGTTTCTGGTGACGTCGGATGCCTCGACTGTTGTGCCGCCATCATCGTAGAAGTCTACCAGTCTGTTCATCAGACACTGCCCCTTGAGTAGGAGATAGAGTAGACCCACCGGAATCGGCCGATGAGTGAGGGAAGACATTTGGCTTCAGGCGCACAATGTACCGAGAAGCCGCCACGCTAGAATCTGCCTTGTTGGTAAATATGTAGACGTTGTTGTTGCCATACCGAACGAAGAGATAGTGCTTTAGAGTTCCATAGGTGACGGCGACTTTGATGATGTAGGCCGGCGAGGAGAACTGCTGGATGGTGACGGTTGAGGCACCAAGGCCTGACTCTACGTGGCTGCGAAGGGTGAGAGACGTTCCTGTTGGTTTTGGGCAGTGGACTCACGTGTTCTTGCCTTGGTATCCTTGATACTCAACCCCTTTGTAGACAATCGATGTTATGTCACCATTCGTCTTGCTGACTTTGATGACTAGAGATGCTCCCGAGTCTGCATTATATGACATTAGTTTGGTTGATTGAAGGGAAAAGTAGAGAAGGGAAATATAGATACTTACCGATGACATATTCGGAACCATTATCCGTGTACCCAAAGGCAGCATAGACCGCCAGAGGAAATGCGAAAAGAGCGATAATGATCGTCAAGATCCTCATCCTGACTGCCTTGACTCTGGATGATCCTGTCGATGATCCTGTCAAGAACCTAAACATACTTAAGTACCGTATTGATCGCATATCCTACGGAACTCCGGTGGAGAATTCTCATGTTGAAGGTACGCCATTTACTTGGGACCTGACGCCTCCGGAGTAAAATAGGATATTGCTCACTCGGCAGTTGAGTGATTGGTGGCTTCGGGTTTCATTTTATACTAGTTCTCCCTGCCAATGGTGGAAGTCCAATTTCCCCATTTTACGCCACATCGACTATCCCGCTTTCTGCACGGAGACGGCGACAATCCCAGCTGGATGTCTTCATACCGTTGGTTTGATTTAACGGAAATAGTGATGGTAAGGTGGAACATTACACATTCTTTGTGCCGGGGCTCTGGGGCTAGGGCTGGAAATGGACCTTGCATTTGCCTGTGATGAACATATGAGGCCGAGGTTGAATGTTAGGTGGATTACTTCAGCGATTTTGCACGCTATTCTTACCCTTGGGGCTCTAGTCTCGTTGTTTCATTTTATTTCAATTATAAGATTAAATATATTAAGTCTTAGCGAATCGATGGGGGCCCCTAATGATCGAGTTTTGCACTATCGACAAATGAGAAGACATTGGATAGAAAAGTTTCGTTTTTTTGCTTCTGCTTATGAGAACTTAGATTAGGTGTTTTGACTGCGGACGAATGACCAATATAGCGAAAAAAGATATTGGCGAGAATCAACATAGGACGGGCGAATCACTCCGTAACTTGGCGGTATTTGGCGGTCTATTCGTTGAGAATCAACCTTCTTTTGCGGTCCACAATTCCTAATGTCACTGTATGTTCAGTAGCAGACCTCTCCATCGCGCTAGCTCTACCGAGCTCGTCGCTATCAATATCCTCGTCGAGTCCGTGATATACCAAAGGTAGCACAGATGATTTCCAAAGCGAGAGACCGCATTGGCGGTTGAGACGAATTGTTAAGATAAGAAATAGAATACCCAGACCAATCAGCGAACCAGGAAGAATAATAAAGTACCGCCTAACCAGAACTAATACTTCGCACTCCATCACGTCACCCTGAAATTCACGACCAAACTGTTCGCGGGCATATTCAGTCAACGATGCGGCAATATTGGACATAACGTGATCTAAGCCTGGCAGTTGTAAAGCCTTGAGTACTCTGGGACTATAGGACGCTTGGTCGAGACCTCCCATGTATCGGTGGTGTTATTGTAGCGATAAAATTTATAAATTGCGTCAGCCAAGCCGAATGCTGTCATATCCCACACCACAGGACACGCGACGAATTGAGTCGAATTCTCCCAAGGGGTGAAATATAGCGGAATGGCTTCCTCAGATATGATGGTATCAATACCGGAATGAAAGCATAGTCTCCAGCAGGCTTTGATGAACTTGGCGGGGACACTGCGTGCATCATCAGGGATGCGGTGGCCAATGAATATTTCTCCAAATTCAGGAGAAGATGTCGATATGGGGGGGAGACCTCCAGATATCGAGACGTTGTATGTTTGCACACTCCTCAGCTTCAAGATTTGCATAAAGTCTGGTGTGGCGAAAGTTGGTGGCGAGTCCATTTGGACCATTGCCACAGCACTCAGCGGACTCTGTACCCCTAAGATGGTCTGATTAAAATATGGCCCCCATTGATTGTTTATATGACAAATAGTATACCATGGAACTCTCATAGTAAGTTCCGGCTCGGTGTCCGGCTAGTACGCATTGCTCCCCCAGGCGTTCTGAATTCCAGCGTTTACCCAATTCCCATTGGGAAGGGTTATGTTACAGGAGACCACCTGGGCACTATTGCTCGTACTGCTATTCATTCCAACATCGCAACCGACAATTGTAGCGTCTGAGGCGAAGTCTTCGCACCCGCTGCACCATCCAGCAGAGCGAAACGTGGGCCATGTGCAGTTCCCCGATGGGCATATCGGATTTAATCGAAACTCATCCCCCAAGATCCCAGCATTCAGTGAGCTAATCATAGCTAAATCCAGGTGCCCTTGCGATGAAAGACGCCATGGAACATCAACCTGCTTTATCCGAGCACCGTCAGAGGTGCTAGTAGCCAGCCTTGTGGGGAAACTAACTATCTGCTGCATGAAGGGATCAAATGCGATACTGGCGATCGTGATTATAGCACCCAGAGAGACCAGCATTCGTGCTTTAATTGGCCAGTGACATAAAAGGTTCAGGGAGCCCCAAGCGCCGCGACTGGAGCTGTCAAAGGACTGAAGACCATATAGGAGACGCCTATCTCCTCGTCGAAACCAAATCCACTTTAAATTGCCCCATCAAAGTGGCGACCATACAAAGCATTGATGACTTTGATCATATTGCCAGAATGGCCACAAGTATTTAGAGTCAAGCCTTTGGGAAAACTGGGCCTTGACATTCGATCGTAGACTGCCAGGACTGCGACAACAGCGATAAAACAAACCGTGCTGAAAACCATGGCAGTTATCTCGCAGAACCATGTGTCCAGCATAAAGGAGTTGAACTTCGCCCACCTGTCTTGGGTTTCGTCGGTATTGCCATCATATTTGGTTTCTTTCGGAGACATAATGGATACGCGCGTTTTATAGTCATTGGGGCATTTAGGATTTCGTAAGCAATATCCCATCCTTGATAGCCAGGCCTATCTCACCCAGCCAATAGCGAGGATCCGCGATGTGGTAGCCTGCCATCTCGTCCACGTATGAACAGTAAGCCTGGAGTACTCGTTCGTCTGTGACTGCAAGCTTCTGCCGGAGATGCTGATGCATCGCCCAAGTGCTCTGGCAGGTCTGGTCGAGGACTTCCGCCGACGAGCATTTCTGTCTCCTTGCCGAGTTAGTCAAAAGCTCGCCTATCGATGCAAGCCAGCTCTAATGCCTTGCGTATAAACTGGTCCACATAGATAGTAATTCCTCCAACGTAGCCTAGCGTGAAATTGGTCCACTTCTCGGACTGTTTCTTCATGATTGTGGAAAGAAGCCTCGTATTGAACGTACCAATCTCGAATACTCGCGAAGCAGTGTACAGCTGGTTGAGCCATTGATGAATGTTGCTGTTTGAGGGAGACTGCTCCAAAGAGGTATCGGGTACCATGGTGGCGAGTGCTGACACGTTAGGGGTCTTCCAGGTCTCGCTTGAATGCTGTGACTGGAAGATATCTCCCGATGGCTCGGCACACCTCTCCTCCGAGGTATCCGTGTTCTCCTCCTTGAACTGATATTCATGGTCCCATTTTGTAGGATCATCACTAAAAGTATTACTGAGGATCACAGCCAGTGTAGTACCAGGCGTTGTGTTTCGCAAATCCCGCAGCTTATCAGCATGTTCGGGCGAAGAGTTCGCTGCAGGAATAACAGTTCCAGTGATCCTGTGGGTAGTTAAATTTTTGGATCGACGATAATTATCTGCGTCGCGAATCTAGTACAGAGACCACTGTCTCGAGGGAAAGGCAGTCCGGTGAGTCCTTCCAGCACAGAGCTCTTGCCACTGGATTGATCCCCAACCACAACGAGCTGAGGGAGGTCGATGTATTCACCAACACAGCATGCAAATAAGTCATCTATTTTCCTTAACAATGCTGGATCAGCGTGGTGCTTGTTTAATCTTTGAGTCTGCTATGTCGGATGTTTCTTTGTACAGTTTCCTATAGTGGGGTGATAAGAATGGAATGAGAGGAAGTAAGATCTTGTAAGACGTATTTTAGAACAATAGTGGGTGAAGAAGAATATGAAATGGATTAGTTCGGGCAGAACAGCTCAAGCTGAGAGATCATTGAAGGTTGATTGGGGGAGCAATGGTAGATTCAAGGACTAGTGATGACGGAATAATGGCTAAGATCTCAGAAAGGAAAGGTGAAAGGATGCTAGGTAGAATAGTGCTCAAAGGTTGTATGAGACAGAACTACGAATGAGATGAGATATGTGTGAGAGTATGAGGTCTGGGTCATGAAAGTAGGGAGTGTTCGAGTGATTGGAAACTCAGGGGCTCAGTTCTTGATACTAAGGCCTATGTTCGTTCGAATCGGCAAGAGGGTTGGAAATGAGAGTATGAGATCAATGTTTATTTGATGGTTGAGGGAATATGCGTTTGCGAATGGAGTAGAAGTACTGGTCAAAAGATTCCTTTCACTAGTCTCAGAGATCAACTAGGCACAATTGAAAGGATAACTGAAATCGGATTTTGTGCGATTGAATAGGATTCGCTTCAAATACAAACTTGGGTCGTCGGATTCAGACCCTAAGGCAAGATGGGTCGAGTTACAAGTGTACGAACAACCCCTCACAGAAGACCAAATGAGGGGTAGGAATTAGAGAAATAGTGAGCGTGAAGAAATATGGTCTGGTTTGTTCAATCCAGATATACAATGCCGCTGTCAAGCCATATTCGCGGCTCCTCTTCTCCCCATCATCACCGCATCATGGCTGGCGTCTGGCGAGTCCAGAACTTCCATGCCCATCCTCTGTTTGTACGACTCTTGACTTCTGACCGAAGAGGTCCGAAGCATAATCCATCTGAGATGTGGCAAAGGTTTCACCACTTCGTCGACACAGTCAATCAACCAGCCCCCAAATCCCCTCCCCTGATACTCGGGCAAGACATAGAAGTCGGTCAAGTATGCGAAAGTCACGTAGTCGGTTATTAGACGGGCAAACCCGATTTGTTCGTGTTTTTGAGGGACTTTATCTGTTTTTGAATTGGGATCTTTGGTCATTGTGTTGTTTGTCATTTTGTATAGCCCAAAACAAAAGGAATTGTTTATGATTTCTTGTAGGATATCGTCTGGATAAGGCTTCGACCAGTAGAGCATTTCTGAATCAAACGCAGAGTTCAGAGCAGACAGCGAGACGAGATCTTTGTCGGTGGATATAAAATATTCGTCGTTGGTCCATGTTACCGGCTGCTTGGAAAGTGACATAGTGAGTAGAATAGGGATCGATGCAACCGAACTCGACAACCAACAGACCTGGATGAACTGCTTTTTTTGTACCCGACATGCAGAGTCGCAGCCTGGTTCGTAAATGTGGGTCATCGTGGGACCTTCAGCGTATTCCGCGTGTTTGGCGTGACTCATTAATTTCCTATTCGGGGCTTGGCACCAGTCGGCGTTAATGGCGCCAATCCACAGATTCTGAGGCAATCTGTGGGCCAGAGAGACTCGGCGATTTGTGCATTCGAAAAGGCGATACCAAAGAACCAGATTTAGATATGCATCAAAAGTTTCGTTGGAAAAGTGTGGAAAGGAAGGGTTTCCAACTCTTGGGGGTCCCCGATCCTCTTTGCAGTGATATCTCCTGTGCGTAGTTCATCCAACTGCTTGATATCGGCCACACTACGAGGGCGATACTTCATGATATGCAATTTGAATATAGGGGAAAAGCCTCGGGAGTAAAGGCCGCCAGAACGCGCCCCTGCCATAGGCATCACATAGCCTTCCTAGACCCTCCCTTGAGGCATAGGGACATGGTGAGCAAAGAGATTTAGCCAATAATCGATTCTTTCTTTTTCTCAGCCACATTTTCTACTAATACTTCTGTAAGTGCTCAGACTTTGATAGACGAGATGAAAGGATGTGGTTACTAGGGCCTACCGGGCTGTTCCGGCTAGTGATTTTCCCTGACCCTGTGCCATGTTAGCTCGAGAAATTCAGTCCGTAACTATTGCTCCAGCAAAAATCCGATTGCTGGCCGTTTCCGGTTTAGTTCATTTTTCAGCGTAGGCAGTGTAAGGCTGGGTTGGTCAACAAAGAACTTGCCGTCGTACATATCTCTCCCATTTTTTTCTTTCTCAAATTCTCGGACCTTCGTGAATTAAACCGCAGAGAGAACTGTCGTCCACGATCAGAATGAGTACACTCCTAAAGACTAAAGCCGTGCTGTGCGCACTCGGTGTCATTGGCTTCTTGGGCACCCATGGTCGCACTGGGGTAGATAGGTCCACAGCCCTTATATCGGGGCGCTGGATAGCCCCAGCACCTATATTCTCCCGGGTACACGTTTTGCGCTGCGTAAGACCTTCACGAGGCTTCGGACGCCTGTGGACTACATTCTTAGCATGCTGGTGCTGCTCTGGTGGGAGACAATTGGCGGTTCTCACCCGGCCACCTCGGCCATCGGTCTTTACTTCCTTGGACAGACGCTGCCGTGCATCGTTATCGTCTTTTTGAATTATCTGGGGGTGAAGAAACCTAGCTTGCTGAAGTATGCATCCTGCTTTCTGTTTTCCAGTAAATGTTCACCTGCTTTTGCGTACGATCCTTTTATAATCATGGCTCATGCTTAGATCAACTCTCTGGCTTCTTCTTTTCCAAATCGGCTCTTTTGGGGCCACCATCTTTATTTGGGCTCTCACTTACACAATACGATCCCCGACTATGCAGGCCGTCATAGCCCCTTCCATCTTAAAAAGTTACTCAATGACATCAACGCCGGACTTTTTTGGCTTCTTCTCCCGGTCCTAATGCTTGGATATGCGCTTCCGGTGGCTCTCATGAGTCTATCTTTTACTCTCGTGATATGCTCTCACTGTCTGGAACATGTATCCTCTCCCTGTCCTAGCATTGCTTTACCTCCTCCGCGCGACTTTTGCACCAGTGCTCGCCAGAATTATACCCCGTTCAGCCGCCGAACACAACTCGTCCTCGCTAAAAACTGGAACGAACACTCGCGCTGAGAATAAAGCACCAACAACAGGGGGAGTTAACGCCTTCCACCTCTACGCAGTGCAAGCAACGGCCATTCTAACCCTCGTTATCAACTCAGCTATTCACCTATTTATCGTCGGCCTGTCGATAAGCACACTTCTCTTTCCCTCCATATTTCATCCGTCCTACGTCAACGAGTTCCGTCCCAGCTCGCTATTCCTTCCTCCACTGGCTCCCGGACCAAAGGCCTTAACTCCAGGAGACGGAGTGCGCGGGTTCTTGCTCTGGGATCATGTCGTGACATACTCCACCGTCCTGGTAGTTGTTTGTTTGGAGCTGCGAAACGCATTTAATGCGGTTCAAGGAGCTGGAAGTAACAAGACACTCAAACTTTCGGCGTGGAGTATTGGATCAATCGGACTTGTTATTTCGCTGGTCATGGGACCAGGCAGTGCATGCCTAGTAGCTAGTTGGGCTCGTGATGAAATTCTATTTGGGAATTGGTGATGCACTCGGCAATTTGCGCACTATCGGCCTCGCAGCTTGTGAGATTATGGACATGACACATACATGATTCTGACACAAGGGTAGTTCTTCCAGGATAACGCAGTACAAATAAATCGACTAAATCATTTCTATTCCAAGTCAAACTAAGCATGTTTCATATATAAGACAGTCTCGACAAAATAATACATGAAGGCAAAACGTAAGACTATGAATGAGAAAGGTGCCTTATCCAGTAACTATGCACAAGAGCATTGCAAAGCGCAGGCATTCTTAAAAACGACCCACAAATCCAACATCCCAAGGTGCCTTTGAACAGTCTGTGAAAAGGAACAAGGAGAAATTTTAATACAGTGAAACACATGGTGCTTTAGACCTTGACAAATAGTTTGCGGCTTTGGTGCAGGCGAGCGCATAAGACCAAAAAGGATCCGCCAAGCAGCATGGCGCCAGAAAACATCGAGAGCGTAAGATACCCTCGCTCGACAAGATGCCCACTGATCGGGGTACCTACTAAGCCACTAGTGCGAAGTTAGAATGTATCTGTCTCAAAGATAGCATCGACTTACGGGATTGCAGGAGCAATGAGAAGGATTCCAATCGCCGTTCCCTTTGATTTGGGGGTTGCAAGTTGAACGGCGCAAGGAGTTTGTAAGCTGAACATGGCCTGGAAATTGTTAGCCATGATATCGCGTAGGGGTATAGAATGCAATTAAACGCACGCCAGAGGCAAACCCGTATGCCAGCGAGTATATGATAATTGCAGCAAGACTCGTTGCTTTTGTCCAACACATCGCGATCATCCCGGACAGTGCAACCATCACGAAGCAGAGATTAAAGTTGCCATACCGGTCAGCAAGAAAGCCCATGGATACTCTGCCCACCAAGGATGCCCCGTTAAGCATTGAAACAATATAGAATGCTAGGCTAGACGAGAGGCCCTGCGAAGTGGCATAGGTGGACAGGAAGAACAATGGACTGAAGAGGCCGAAGGTCGCCAGGGACAGTCCACCACATAGTAGAAGAAAGGTGGGATTTTTCACAAGAGCAACGCTAGGGTTGCTGTCGGTCTCATCCTCGGTGGGGGATTCTGTCTCCGTCTGTGAGCTCTCGTTGCTTGCATCGCTGTTTGGAGGTGGCCGGATAGTTAGGACCATTATGACACATAGGGGCAACATGATAAACCCGATTATCCGAAATGACCATCCAAAGCTTACGCCATCCTTGTGAAGGAGTTGGTCCAGCGCAATTGGCCATATAATACCTCCGATAGACGACCCAGCCACCATGATCCCGCTCGCAACCGCCCGATGCCTGTCGAACAGATGCGATACCACAGCCATTGCGGGGCAGAGGAGGAATGCATTGCTGATCCCTAAGAGAACGCCTTGGGCCAGAAGGAACTGATAAAGACGGTTGCACAATGAAACCATAAACACCGCAATGAGAGATCCTATACTGCCAATTACAAGTGGAATCTGCCAGGTCTTTGTCATTATAATGCACGACGCTTGGAATCCAAAGACCCTTTACCGTAGGACCAAGACGATCTGTAAGTATTCCCGCAGGGGCGGCAGCGAAAAACAGCGTACAGGTCAACAAGGACCCAATCCAGGCAATATCAAATTCGGAATGATTCTGGAGGATGTTTTGCCCGTAATACTCTTGGAAAACTCCGAACGCGTTCTGGAAACCCATAGTGCAGAACAAGGCCAGGAAAGCACCAACAAGAGCAAGGCTTGACCGAAGACTAGAGGAATGATCCCACATGAGCAAGTGTTGTGATCAAAAGGAGCCAGCTGCAGAATCGAGCGAGCTTACGTGAATTCTTTCACCTTTTTCTTTGGTCTCTCGACCTCCGGCTCAGGAGAAACCGATGCCGGTGACATTGCAACGGCGGGACAGGATGGAAGAAAATATACAGAATCGGCACTGGGGTCAAGTAAAACGCGTGATAGCAAAGAATTGAATGGTTTTTGCTCAACAATGTCAATAGAGACCGGGGAAAAAAGGAGTTCTCGTCTAGATTTGTCTGGGCTGTTGATATAGTAGTTGAGTATTCCTACTTTGGACCCAGAAGGATCAATCCCCATGGAAGCTCCTCGGAGCTCCGTGGCAGTCCGAGGAGGTGGTTGTGAACATATGTCCATTATTACAGCAACAACGCAGCTGGTTGAGAGGGAACTAGTTCCATTCGTTCTTCCATATGAGCCAGATACAGTAAAATGAATCTCGATACGAGGGAATCAGAAGGGTGAGGGGACCAGAATCTGCTGTTTTGTATATATCGACGCCCTTATCGATAAGGGTGCTTGGGTCTAACCGCCTTCGGTAACAAACCTTCTCCAAACAGGCTAGTGCCTAACCTGGCTGCCTCAGGCCATTTCTCTCCGTCCCCTCTGCCTTCCTCTTTTCTTTTCCTTCTTCTTTTCTTTCCTCGTTTCCTTTATCTTTCATCCAACCATTCATCGTTCCACTACTGGACGGAAATGGGTGCCAGTGCATGAAGACTATTCTCTTATCTAAGCTATCGAGATCGATCTTAGATTCCTGACCAACAACAATGCAGCGACGGCGACCGAGACAATTGCCCGTGTCCTGTCAGCTTTGTCGTTCGATGAAGCTCAAGTGTAGTCGGGACGACCCATGTTCAAACTGTGTATCGCGTGGTCTTACGTGTCAAAGGGCATACCGTGGGTCTCTCAAGCCATCATCACACGCTGAACAACCAACTCAGTCCTCGGGTCCTACCAATGAGGACCTCCTAGTTAGAATACAGCGGTTAGAAGAACTCATTCTTCGATCCCATTCTGGAACTAGTCCTTCTACAATTGAGAAAACCTCTCAATCACCGGTGGTTCCATCGTATATCTCAGAAGGCGAAGGGGACTCTAGGTGGTTGGAAGAAGTCGGCACTCGCGAGCCGTCAGTGGTGAGTGAATTACGTGTCGTTTTTACGAGCTCAACGAATTTTAGTCATCTCACAGTTTTGCAGTTATCCGACCTCTCCAATGGACTTTCTTTTCGCGTTTCCACAATACAACGGGCTCTGTCTAGTGATTCCGTTATAGGAGACTCGCCGGGCAGTAACTCGGGATCTGTCAATGTGTGGCTGCCGTCGAAGATTGAAGCGACATGGCTTCTCGATAAATACGTCGATCACGTGGCATTTTTACACCATATTGTACATCTTCAATCGGTGCGTACGCTGATGGACGACATGTACAGACAACTCGGATCGGGCGTCGTCCTGGAGCCGAGCCATGTTGCATTGCTCTTAAGCATTTTCGCCAGTACCGCTGTCATCCTAAGCTCGCATCCGGGATCAGCGTCAGTCTTGGGTAGTGAGAAAAATGCATTTTCATGTGCATGTTCGTGGAGCAAAGCAGCTCTCAATGTGCTTGACCACTCTAGCAGGAGCTCACAAGGCTCTGTCGAGGATGTACAGGCAATGATAATCCTATCCTTTGTCGTTTTCAACTTCGAGGGCTTTAATGTCAGGTTTCGGACTTTAAGTAGTAACGCACTGACCATTGCTCGAGATCTATCCTTGCATCGCTTAGATGCCACTTCTGCGCGACCGAATATTTCGCAGGATAGCTCGGGAAAAACGGAGATCAAAAGACGTGTTTGGTGGCATTTGGTTTCTACTGACTGGTTTGTACAACCCACGGTTGCAGCGAGTGAGCGTTATGTTCTGCTGGCATACTGACATACATAGGCTTCTTGCCCTCTCTGGAGGACCCCAAGAAGGTACTTACCTGGTTAACCCCAATCACATGCTCGTCAACTGCCCGCGGAACATTGACGACGTAGACCTCGACTGTCAAGACCCCAGTTACAATGTACCCTTACTCCAACCCACTGCCATGTCCTACTCATTATTTAGGGCCCAACTTGCAAATATCTGTCGTACTGTGGTTGATACGCTGCCACCTTCATTCTCGAGCTGGGTCGAGGTCAACTACGATGAGATCGTGTCGCTGGATCAGCAATTTGAACATTTCTTGCGTGACCTTCCATTCTTTTTCCGTCTTGATGAGGCAAGCCGCAAACAAAGCCGAGAGATTGACCGGGAGTATCCTCAATTTTTATTCCAACGCTATATCATCAGTAGCACGGTACACTCTTGTCGTTTTAAATTGAATCAACCATTCTTTACCCGCACGTCCCTTAACAGACGTTTCGAATACTCACGAAATGTTTGTTTACAATCTGCTCGGGCTATCATAGAGATGAAACGACAGCTAGACAATAATGATACCATCGCAATCTCAGGGCGCCTGGCTATATTTCTCCACACGTTTTATCTGGCCACTGTCGTTCTGGTTATGGACTTCTGCATGAACAAAGACCAACGCGACGACAGCGAGCGACGACGGGAAGTTGTGGGAGCATGTCGAGATTTACAAGTTGCGTCTAGGAATTCCCCTTTGGCTTCTCGGTTCCTGGAGTCACTCACCACCATCCTTCGAAAGTATGGAGTTGACATCTTGCCGCCAGAGTCTTCACAGACAATCTTAGGCCCGGAGCCTTTTCCTGTCTCGGTTGGCTTGGAATCAGGGTTTGTTGATGGGGTTCAAGACAGCCACACAGGCTATGACACTCAAAGCGCTGAGATCGAGGGGTCGTGGGAAAGTTTTATTGACCCCAATCACGCCAATGGTGAAGTCAGCTGGGATAGCCTCTTTTCTATACTCGATGCGCAATTGACCTGAATAAACGCGACAAAAATGCCCATGAACTGCCCATTGTGGCAGAGATGATACAAAAATTGCATTGAAACTAAATTTCAGGAAATGGATAGGTATTCGATGACAGATCTCCCCGGCACTTTCTTCGGCTAAGTGACAAGATGCCGACTCCGATCCCGTGCAGCGGCTGAGGCTCACAAATTCTTGCCGTAAAACTGATTGCAATCTTTTTTCACTGTGAGATTGCTGATTCACAAAAATGTTGTCTCGCACAATAATCTCCTCTAAAGCCTCCTGGGAAAGGATTCGCCCTCTCCTCCTACATGCGCCCAAGACCGAACGAGCACCACATATTCGCACGCAACCTCTGAGATCGCAATCGCTGAAAGGAAGGAGGCAAGAACCATGCGCTCTATTTCGTTCATTCAGCACGAATGGGCCGACGCTCGCAGAAACAAAGGTGATTGCGGTACCTCAGATGGCGGAATCGATATTGGAAGGCGTCCTTGCCAGCGTATACAAGCGGGTTGGTGACTACGTGAGCATGGACGAGGAAGTGGCATCGATTGAAACGGACAAAATCGATGTTGCTGTTAACGCCCCAGACAACGACATTAACTATCACTAAGGTCTTAGTCAGTGAAGGCGACACGGTGACTGTTGGGCAGCCCGTGGTGGAGGTCAGCCTGGAGTCGCGCGACCTGATAAAAGGGAAATATAGCGAGGCATCAAAGGCAAAGCATAAAGAAGAATTCAACAAATCCGATCTTCATCAAGAGCCACCAAAGCAGGTTGAGAAGAAAGATCATTCACAAGATCATGCATCACAACTATGATTACAACCTCGCACCTCTCCCATTGGCGCATACAAGGGCAGCCGGGGTGAAAACAAAGTACTTCTCTGCGCCCGTTTACTGCATTTTGAAACTCACATGCCCAGGTTAAAATGTCCCGCATGCGTATGCGCACGGCCGAACGCCTCAAAGAATCCCAGAACAAGGCGACTTTCTTGACCACTTTCAACGAAGTCGACATGTCGAGCGTGATGGAGTTTCGGAAGCAGAACAAGGACGAGGTGCTGAGAAAACACGGCGTGAAACTGGGGTTCATGGGCCTCATTTCTCGGGCTTCCGCCCTTGCTTTGAAGGAGATCCCTACCATCAACGCATCCATCGAGAATGACGAGATGATTATGTACCGAGACTACATTGATCTAATACGCAACATCGAGAATATGAAAATAGTTGATGTTGAGAAAGGCATTGCCGACTTGGGCACAATAGTATTTATCCCAATTCTCCAGAGTAGGTTTAAAAATGCTGACGAACACAGGCACGCGATGGCAAATTGACAATGGGAGACATGGCTGGTGGCACATTTACCATCAGCAACAGCGGGATTTGGGGATCTTTATTCGGAACGCCGATAATCAATGTTCCGCAAACTGCCGTTCCAGGAATTTATGGTATTCAGGAGCGTCCTGTTGCCGTCAATGGAGAGGCTGCCATCCGACCGGTGAGTATTCTGGAACGTACTTGCAAGTTAAGCGTTGCTAATTGTATCCAGATGATGTATACGGCGTTGACTTACGACCACCGTCTGGTGTATGGACGAGAAGCTGTCACTTTCCTCACATTAGTAAAGAATCATTGGGAGGATCCTTCCAATATGTTGATTGTCTAAAAATATTTTATATCGTATATCGTTCCTTGGTCTTCATGATATATTTTTAGCAGGTCGACACTCTAACATATACCGAATCCCCTTATCAAATTCATCTGAACAAATTAGATGAATAATTGATCAAGATTATCCAAGTATTTTAGGGACAAACATGAAATGAAAACGGGCGTTCCATGCATCGGCAAAATGTTAACCTACCGAGCAGCATACCCTCGGGTCAGGGCCCTAGTGCATTATCGAGGGCAACCCCATCATTGTGAGTAGCCTATGTCAAAAATTGGACAGGTTTTGTCCTTCATGGTTATCTGATTGGAAGAGCCTGAATATTTGCCAATATGGCAATTGCTCCTATAAAAACACGACGGTCGCTCAATCGTTTGAAATCCAACCATTAATCAGTCAAAAGTGCCAATCAGTCTGTAACACTAAACCCTGTTCAACAAAGAAGTCTTGGGCGTGGCACATTCGCTAACTGCCAGGGATTAATCTGGCTAATGCGCGCCAACTTGCACCAGCCAATTCTCAGCCTGGTAAGCGAAAGGAAACAATCAGAGACTGGGACATTCGTGTTTAATTTGAAATATCCATTTTTAGATATGGGAAAGCAAACCCGAAATTAGTCCGATTGTCATTGCTCATCTCGGGGATTGGTTCTGTTGCTTTGGTCTGCATCAGAATCGTGGCCCAGTGCAGCTGCCAAGCCGAACGGCGCTTCGAGTGGAGGTGGAATGTATATCTGAGTGCGACTTCGCTAATAAGAAGCTACCACTTAGCGCCATGCAATGTAACGCCTTGCTAATGACAGGACGGTCTGTCGACCAAGGCCCTGGGTAATTGAGGCATCACCCCCTCTTTCCTTCCTTGCATAGCTCGAGTCGGCCTTCTTAGGCATTATGCACATTATCAATGATGGCAGGGTCTTTTCCTTCCTTGTCCGCTCCCATCTTTCTTTCTTCCGCTTCTTTTTCCCTTGTCGGTTGATGTTCAGGATGCTAGGGAATATGCGATCGTGATATCCGCTTCCTTGCTCTAATCCTGCGCTCTCTTGTCCCACTGGTGTCAGTCTGCGGATGTTGTTCGCCTTGCACGTCGAAAGTTTTGTGTATTGCGACGCCCTCCAACTGTCCATCCTAGTGCATGTTTGCTCCAGATGGAGCGCCAAGATCACATCTCGAGTTGTGCGCCGGAGGTGGTACCCTGGCAAGGCAAGGCGGCATCGAGGCCGCTAACGAGAAAGATACCCAGAAAATTGCGTACACCGCAGGTTGGCCGCAATACACGGAAGGAAAACATGACGAGACAGAGGGATCCAAACAATGAATATGTGGATTGACAACGAAGATTTTCTGGATCCTGGTTTTCGCGTTGGTGGTGGTTCTTGCGGCCAGAATAGGAGCCGGCGTTGGGGGTGGGTTGGCGAGTCAAAAGATGTAGGCACGTTATTAGGAAGGTTCATATTGGGATAATTTAATATGACCGAACGCTCACCTATGACCTCTAGTCATGCCGACGCATCGTCGTTACCAGCCGAGAGCAGCACTGCCGCGACAAGCACCGTCGCAGATATTTCCACCTCTTCGACAGCGACGGCAACTACGACGGGTGAAACGTCAACGAGCACAAGCAGCAAAACCTACGGACCGGCTGCAATGCAACCGACAATCAGTACTACACACCCAATAACCCGGCCGACGATTCCAGTCCGTTCACTGTCAACAATCGCACCCTGAAATACAAGATCCACTGCTACGAGAACATCCCCGATAGTATGTCATTCAACAAACAACCCGCAGATCACCAAGCTAGGACAGTTGAAAGGTCTGCGCAGTCTGCAGGAGTGCATCAAGGCGTGTGCGACACTCAATTATGTTATTGCGAACGCAATGGGCGGTGAATCGGCCGATGTTCCGTTTAGCAAGCTCTATAGCGGAGTGGTCTACTCGTATCAGAATTACATTGCGGGACAGCCGATCAATTGTGATTTGAATAGTGGGGTGCACGAGAATGCGTCGAGAGTTTCGTGGACTGATGATTGGGGTCCCGAAACGCATACTCAGGTCGATTCGGCGATCTTGGATTGGGAGGATTGATGATCATGGGGGTTTTTTATCTTTTATGCTAGAGTGTATATACTAGGGATGGCACCCTTGGTGGGTTTTATGTTTTGTATTGCGAGTGTGGCTCTCGTCAAGCGTTAAGGTCAGTTATGAAGTTAAGCTGTTCAACTACTAAGAGGCGTGGATGTCTCAATTATCCAAGCACTCTGTCTTTTAACATGCGTTGTTCTAGGTCCTCCAGCTCCCCTTGACCTAGTGATAATATATTGACATGTATGGCCCCTTTTTATCTGAGCAGGAGAAAGAAAGCCAGAATTGGTAGTCGGTGCTCTTTTCGAGGTCGATTCCGGGACTGTGCTAGGTATTAGCTTCCAATTCTTAAGGAGTAAGTACCCAAGCGACGGAGCGAATAAAGGTTGTTGGAGGGGAATACAGATAGACAGACTGAAACACTCACACGAACGAAGCAACATTGTCGATGTATGCTCTCCCTTGCTCGGTATTGACGTGCCTCTCGATAAAGCTCGACACTGTCTTTGCAACGCCCAGATCGCTGATTCCGGACAAATTGATATAGATCTTGGGCTCTGGGAGTGATCGGCCCGGTTGAAGCTCGTAGTTGGCTAAAAGGCATACGAACTCGCGTGCGGTATCGTTTTGGTTATGCAGGTCACCTGACATATCGAGAGCGTCCCACAGTTCACGCAGCAGTCCCAGCCCCCTGGAGTTTCCAGGACTCGCAAGTTTGCCACCCATGGTCCAAAAGTCCGATACTCGTTCGAAGTCTACCTGGCCATCGAACACGTAGATCTTGCAACGCGAGGCCGTGGGCTTGACAAGGTCGACGCTTATCCAATGGACCTGAGCGGAGGCCGGAAGGTCCAGGCAGTAGCTCTCGAGTGCCGCCAGTGCATCTTTAAAGGATTCATCTGCATTGATGGTCTTGACGGCTGAGAATATCAAATCCGAGCAGCAGGTGCCGGTCACGTGTGCTTTGGCCCCTGGAAAGAGATATAGCTTGACCATGGCGTCCTCATTCCCAAAATCTAATGCCACCATGGACTGGGATTGGTAGGGCAGATTTTTCACACCGTCACAGTCGCGAAGGGCGGCGTCTTCTTCATCAGACAAGGTCAGCCGGTGGATTAGCTGATGATATAAGGACATGTCAACTTTCACACCCGCCTGTTTCAGTCGATTCAACATCTGGCCAGGTACCACTCGGTTGAAAGCGTCCAGGCCGGCCATGGGTCGATAATCAATGGGTTCTATGCTCATTCGGAGCGTTGCCCGGGACCGCATGAAGTTGGTGCTGATTTCCAACGTTCCTTGGCTAGTGAACGGCGTTTTGTAGAGCTGAGGCCGGTCGATGGATGGGAATGGTCCCATCATTGGCACAATGTGGAGGGCATAGAGACACAGGTATCTGTATTGCTGATGGATGTCATAGTTGGCAGCAACGAGCATTCTGGCCATCATCGGGCCGGACTTATGCCACCATTCGTGTTCATCGTGATTGGAGAAGGAAATGTGCTTGGTGAGAATTTTGAATGGCTCGGGGGTGCTTGACGGGTCTGCGGATGCTTCTGCATCGTGCAGAAGTGTATAAGCGGACATGAGTGCATCCGGGGAACATGAGCTCACCCAGAGAAAGATTGGTCAGATTTCTCAGGTCTGGTTCAGATGGGTGGTATCAATGTATTTTATAGAATTCCCCGGCGCCTTTCTGAGAAACCAATATTCCGTGTGCAACCACCAGTTGTCATTTTGTAATACTAACATGGATTAAGACCGTGAGACGAGGGTATCTCTGACCGGGTCTGTGGTTTGATTGTGCCCGACAACAATGTTTACGTTGCATAATTCGTTGAAAGGTAACCTCGCTTAGAGTCTACCACCGAAGGCGATCTCCAGTCACCGGGAAGTCATGACAACTGGTGATGAGATGGTTCAAGGTGATAGTTTCACCAGTGATTATTCGCGGAGCATGTCCCAGTTTAGGGCGCTGGATGCTGATTGACATTTTAGTCAATTGAACCGTATCCAATATTAGGATATGGGCCATGTCAGGGTTTCTTGCAAAGCGATGTACATGCAGAAGTGTAGAAGTATAGATGGCTGCCCGGTCGGCAGACCTTCCCGGGAAGACCCGTGGGCCATATACCGGGGAAAGGTTACCCGGACATCGCCGATATAGGAGGCACGCAAGGGATGCGGAGACTGAATATTGGTAATTATGCTGGATCTAGAAGGGTAAGCCTGTTTTTGGGATGAACACAGGGGTATCCCCTGCTCTGAGGGTTATATATTTAGCAACCAAGAGCTGTGTTTCACCCGGACTGCTTTCGGACACGGATGGAAGATATCTATATGCTCGGTGCAAACCTGGAATTACTGACTAGACGGGGCACCCAACGGGGATCTCCAGATGGTTTCGGCCAGTGCCGAGGATGGGCATTACTGTATATCATTGAATTATCGTGAGATCTGGAACAGTAGAAACCAGAATCCCCAGCCAGAAGAGAGTGAGGAATGACGCAAGTGGAGTGGCCACCAGGGGGTCTAGACCGGCTAGTGGTGGGCGGCAGAACGGGACCGCCGGGACTTTAATTTCCTGGAATAATTGAACTGCACAGTGACCTTAGTAGTAAGTATGAAGATAGATGCAGGAACAGAGGAACAAACTGCAAAGAATTGTTGGATTGAGTTATGATATTTATGCGTCTTATACTGATATGCTGATATGCTTATTATGTATCAACTATCACTCTACCCGGGCAAAATCAAGAAGTAACAGCCCTACCGTGGGCGCCTCCCGCGCGGTGCCGCGCGTTTCCCGTGGGGCGCCCTGGTGGCTCGGCGCCAATCAAGGCAGCCTCAGGCCGGCAGCCGATCACGGGTCCCGCCAGGAGTTAATCTCTCTGGTCTTCGCTCTCATCTTCCGTCGTGCTTCCGATCTTCTCTTGGTCTGATCTTCTTGTTGTGCTACTATGTCCGGTACAACATGCAACCCCGTCGCGTCGTTCGATTCCGCCATCCAGTGAGATATGTTGTCGCTACCCTCCTCCTCCTAGCCTGGCTCTTCTACTGTCTTCCCAGCGTCCGCCACGACCACGACCAATCCCTCCCCTCGTCCCCCATTCCGCCGCCCGCGACCGACCATGTCCCCTGCGACCTGGATCTCGATCGTCTGCGCTCCTACGGCTTCGACTCGTCCGTAGAGTATGCCCGCTGGGAGATCGTGGCCGTCCCCTCGTCCGACTTCCGCGGTTTCGACGATACGCTGGCCGTACCCCTTCCGACCTGGCAGACCGTGAAAGTCGACGCTACCCAGGAAGCTCGCAGAGTCTTGCCGCGAGAACAATGTGATCCGACCGTCTCCATCAAGGTCCCGGTGCCGCCTCCGCGCGTCGATGCCTCGCATCTCGTCGTCGGCGTCGCGACCTCCCTGGAGCGATTGAATGACTCGATGGACGCCTTTGCCGTCTGGGCCGCTGGCACCAAGTGTCGCATCTTCGCCCTGGTCGACAACGTGTCCTCCAGCGAGAAGACGAAGGTCCTGAAGCGAGCCACCGCAATGGAGATCGATCTCACCATCCTCCCCTCCTCCGAGGAACTCCTCGACCGATACTTCCACTTGACTCGTGTCTTGCTGCGGAACCGCGACGAGAATACCCGCTGGGGCGTCATCATCGACGACGATACTTTTTTCCCGTCCATGGCGAACCTCGTCAAGAAGCTCGCTACCTACGACGCTTCTAAACCTTACTACATTGGTGCTCCGACCGAGAACTTCGCGCAGATGGGCATCTTCTCGTACATGGCCTACGGGGGCGCTGGGGTCTTCCTCTCGATGCCCTTGCTGGAGGATATCGACAAGGTGTTTGACGACTGTTACGAATACAAGGATATGGGCGATAAGCGGGTGGCTCGCTGCATTTACCACCACACCAACACGAAACTCACCTGGGACCGCGGGCTGTTCCAGCTGGACATGCGTGACGACGTCTCCGGGTTCTTCGAGGCCGGCCGGCCCTTGCCTCTGTCCCTGCATCACTGGAAGTCGTGGTTCGACGTCGACGTGGTCGCCATGCACAAAGTCGCCGCCATATGTGGCGATGACTGTCAGCTGCGACGATGGCGCATCTCCAAGGACTCGTTCTTCGTCAATGGGTTCTCCGTCGTCAAGTACTCTGAACCGATGAACGATATGATCTCTATGGAGCAGACGTTCGACGATAGTGACTGGGCCCGCGACGAGGGATTCGCCTTCAGTCTGGGGCCGTTGCGTCCCAAGGACGCCGATAAGGTTTCCTTCCGCATGCGTAGCGCCGTTAACGAGGGCGGACGTGTGCGGCAGCTGTACGTGGATGACCCGCCGCCGGAGTTGAACCTCCAGCCGCGGGTGTTGGAGGTCGTGTGGAGATTTGCATAGCGGTGATTGCATTTTTAGCTGTTTGATGTCCTGCTGATGGTACCTAGACGTTTTCTAGTTTATTCGTAATGGCATTTACATATTTATCTGTTCAGTACTATCCTAAAGAATATGAACGAAACGATCATATCTGCTCGAACTTATTACTACTAATTTCCTGACTCCAAATCTCTTTCAAGCGATATATTCAACCTGGTCACACTGTCCTCTTACTCCTCCACGGCACCCGTCAAATGTCCCGCCGTCTTATACAACTTAGGCATCGGCTCCAGTTTCTGTCGCAGGACCCACACCCGGAAATGCCAGACGGCGTTTTTGAGCTGATACATGGCGTGTTTCCGCGTAGGGACCGAGAACACTTGGTCCAGTTCTTCCAAAGTGAGTGCTACACACCGTTAGCTTCTGCTTAACAAAGCAAATGTGAGCAGAGGAGGAATGGAAAAACGTACACTTCGTCTCCGGTACAAACAGCAACACCAACACCCATCCGATCAGACACCAAGCCGCATACCAGGCAAACGCCCCCTGTGGCTTAAAGGCTGCTTTCAGCGGTTCCCATGAAAATGATAGGATGAAGTTGAAACACCACGTCGTGGCCGTCGCCCATGACATGCCGACTTCGCGGACGTGTAGGGGAAACGCTTCCGCGGAGTAGGTGAATGGTACGGGCCCTTCGCCAGGGGAGTAGAAGACCTCGAATAGATACATGCCTGTTGTGACCATCGCGACTCGCTTCTTGCTGTGCGCAATGTCTTCTTCGATCCAGAAGGAGAATCCCGCCCAGAAGAGGCAGATCGCGAGGAAGGGGAACGTGAAGAGGAGGAGGTTGCGTCGGCCCCAGGTGTCGATGGTGAAGAAGGCGGGGAGGGCGAAGACCCAGTTGAGGATTCCTGTCCCCATGGATGCTAGGAGCGCTTGTTGGATGGTGTAGCCCGAGTCGGTGAAGATGGTGGTCGAGTAGTAGGCGATGACGTTGACGCCGCAGAACTAGAGGGTGCTGTTAGGTGGGATTGTCTGTGGTATGGTCAAGGGGGCTTGTTTTAAGACTGACCTGTTGTAGGAACATGACGATCCAGCTGGCTAGAGTTGCTCGTCGGTTTCGAGGCACCGTGAAAAGCTCCAGGAACATAGTGAAGAAGTTCTTGCCCTTGTTGACCTTGCGCTCCAGCTCAACACCCACGTAGGCATAGTAAAGGTCGCGGGCGGCCTGGAGCTCCGACGGTCGGAGTGTCCGGAACGCGTCGAACGCTTTGTGGATCTTGTTGTGCTCGATTAGCCATCGAGGGGACTCGGGGCACAAGTAGACTTGAGCGCAGACGACGATTGGTAGTACGACGGTCGACCCGAGCATCAGCCGCCAGGAGAGATCGTTTGACAGACCCATGAAAGCCACGCCCATGATGTTTCCCAGCATGATGCCGAATGCCGTCCACATCTGCCACATCATGACCAGGGCGCCTCGAATGGGTGCCGGGGAACACTCGGCCGCATAGACTGGCACCGTGGACGACTTGGCTCCGATGCCCAGGCCGAGAACGAAGCGAGCGATGAAAAGGTTGACCCACGAATTGGCCACGCCTTCCCAGATAGAAGCCACCGCTGCTATGAAACACGAGATGAAGATAGTTCCGCGCCGAGCAAAATAACGGTTCATGGGCTCCGTGAGCCAGCATCCTAGAATAGCGCATGCTAGGTACGGTGCACCGACCACCAGTCCAGTAAGGTAGTTTTGCATCTGCTCGGAGAAACGGTCGCTTTTGATGCCCAGTTCCTAAAGAAATAGAAATCAATATTGGAATCTGAGTGACTGTGCTTCTATGCTTACAGTGAGATAGATAGCCTGTGCGCCGTTATTGACTGTTTCGTCCATGCCCTGCACCGCAGCGGCGAGCGAACACATGGCTGTCGATATGTTTAGTTTGCTCCCAATTATCAAGAACACAGTGACAACTTACAGGCCATGAAGTAGAGCTGCCATGGCTGAGACCATTTGTGGGTTACTTCACGCTCTAGGATCTTCTTCTCTTCCTCATTCAGCTCGGGGAGGTCCTGAGCCGCGTGAGGATTCTGCGAAACCAGAGCGCCTTTCCGGAAAGTCTCTCGATACTCCTGAAGCCCATACTTGTCACAGAAATTGTCGACATCCTCGAACAGCTGCTCGCGCGGAATCCCGGCCAAGGGGTTCTCAAAGACGGCTGTGACCTGGGTGCTGGGCCGGCCTTCGATGTCGTAGATGCTGTCGCGCTCTTTTGCATCGTGGACGTGTTCGGCACGGGGTGGACTTTCGCTCACACGCTCGACCTTCTCGTCGTGTGTTGACGAGATTGTTTGCTCTTCTTTCATGGTAGCTTTTCTTTAGAAAGTATGGATCCTTGTCGTCTTCTTTGACCAAAGGAGGCTCGCCGTATCTCTAGACAACTGACAGGAATCGGAAGACAGAAATCCGGACCTTTTCACCAATTTGCGGTTTCGAGGCCAGCAACATAATCATACACATATAAACAATCATTCCCTCACATAAACGACCCCGCAGGGTCGTGCCTGCGTCTTATACGAGCTCCGGAGACGCAGCCTCGCATTCTCCGGTTTCAACGCAGTGGATCCATGGAATCCCTCGAATCCTTGAATAAGGTCACACCGGGCGAGACCTGTCCTACGGCGTCTGACAAGGTTCAGCCCGCAGCCACTCAGCGACGGCTCGCACGATCGAACGGACGTGCCCTTGGGGTGGCAGAAAGGATGGCATACAACGCTAGAGTTTGCCGGTGCATACACTATCCTGGCTGTTTGGCCGAATCGAGGCATAATTCAGTAAGCCACTGGCGGGGATGTCCATCCCGTGCCGTCATTTCCGCCGCAATGGCTTGAGGTCCTACTCAGCCTTTATCAACTGGGTTCGGAGTGCGAGATGATGATGGAAATGGGTGAACCAGGCTGGCGGGTGTCGGTCGCCCGTGAGATGGGTATGACATGGTGTGGGGGTCACCGTTGTACATCTCACATGGTGGACAGGTCAATTTGACCCCGGACAGATCTGTGTCTGCCATGGAACAGCGCTCTGACCGACAAGTCAATCTCGGTGGACCATTTCCCCAACCCGGAACCCCGTGGGGAATGCAGTTGCGGGTTTAGAGGGAATCCTTCTCCAGACGCAGAAGAGGAGAAAAGTGGAGGTCCACGCGAGAGCCGACTAGTGACTAGTCATGTCTATGATTCAAACAAGCCCGTCGAAGCCCTCGCCAAGTGCGACAAAGCAATACGAAGCAACTACGAAGCGCTTGGCCAAGTGCGATCGACGCGGTGGCGGCCAATCACGTGGCGCTGCTGCCCTACTCTGCGTCATCCTCGACCGTCGTGGGTCTGTCTCCATCTTTCTCCATGTCACCCTCGCTGCTTCTTTCGGCGTGGCGCCTTACCTGGCGCTCCTTCGCAACGCTTCTCCGTGCTCAGGCGGCGTGGGCCGGTCGAGTACAGGTCTGTCTGACCGCATTCGGCGCGGCTGATTGGAGTGATTTCCGACACGGTCTGCCTTTCAGTTGACTCCTCATAAGTATGATTTGTTCGTTGGATGATGGCTGTGGGTCTGTTCGCCCAATCTCGCTCACACATGGTCACATGGGAAGTTTCTCGATTGCTGCGGGGATTAATCTAATATCAGTTGACAACGTACAGTGCCAGAAAAGCGACGTTCTGCACGAAATCTTAACACCGTAGACATTGAACTTGACTTCTGTCGGATATACTCTCGCGTTAATTTCTGTCTTTGCACACGTCAAAGACTCCTTGCGCCGCTTTCGTCTCAATAATCCAGTCTAGCAGCCTGCTATCGGTTCGTGGCGCCGCCTTCGACGTCCTCTGGTCAGCGCTGGCTAATCGGCTGCCTCGGCACAATCCAGTCCGGGTCAGACACGCTTCACGTAAGCCTCAGCCGAGAAGGGCAAGAAGATGTGGTGTGCTGGACGGATCCGTTCAAGTATCATTGGTGGTGTCAGCATTCCCACTGGGGAAAGGAATGTTTGGTCAAGCTGCCTCGTACGAGGTCACTTATACTTCATCGCGGTCGGCTATGAACATTCAGACAGAGGAAAGCTTGTAGTGAGACTGGTGATTCATTGACTCCGATCAAATATTGATCGCTTGAGTGTGGCTCTTTCCGATGTTAGCAACTGCCTCCCTAGGCATTGGAGATTCGTCGATCCTGTGGTTTCTCGCAGGTCACTCATCGTACTCTGTCCGCATATTTCCACTCAATGGAGCCTGGCCTGCTCTGATTGTATATGACCAGCAGCTGGTGAAAGCCCAATAACGCCTCTTTCGTCATGTTTCACCCCAGAGCAGCCTTGTGGAATCCGCTGCCAGCCACAGCCGTTTAGCACCGTTAGTGGGTATGGAATTTGCTAAAAGATATACCGAAAACTCGTGTTCGGATCTTTTTATCTCCTTTGGGTGATTAAATAGCTTATTCCTACTGGATTAATGGGGAAGCCACGCGCATAGTGTATATGCAATCTACTTCTAGTAGGAATTCCTGTGCAACAAATACTTGAGAATTGATATATTTATCCGAAACTATACATGCACCTCTCCAGCTTAAAATACTCTACACCATCGACTTCTTATCAATCTCCCACACACTGCTCGGATTCAACCCCAGTCTCTGCCCATCTACAGGTTCTCCCTCGGGTGTACCGCGACTCTCCACGCGCACATTATAGCTCGTACTGACGAACACTCCGCCCGTATCGTCCTTCCCATTCTGACTCGCTGTATTGATCCCCGTCGTGCTGTCATTCCTTTGTCCCTTCCTGGACCGCGACGTCAGATTATAGCCCCCGGAGCTGCCATGGTATTCGTAGTAATTGCGTGCGCCAGAGCTGCCGCCCATTCCCGAGCTCCAGAATCGCTTGGTGAAGAGAGGACGCAGGATGGGGAGGTTCACGGTCGCCACGCCGACGACTGTTTCGCGGATACCCCAGCGGTTGACGGTTATGCTGGACGGTTTGGATCCGAGGGTCAGAGCGGTGCGGATGATGGATGCGGAGATGACGAAGATTCCGGAGCTGAGGAACATGGAGATCACGATTTTGCTGGTGGGGGATAGGGTGTTAGGATCTGGCTTCACGGAGGAGTGGAAGCTGCCTTCTTACCGCGATAGAGATGTTTTGACGCGCCATAGGAGAGGGACTGGAATGAAGAGCCTGGAGTTGTTAGCGTATACATACAGAAGATTTGTCGTTTTGGCGTCCGGTCTTACAATGCTATATCGGTGCTATCATTCTGTTAGCTGGAGCTTGAGAACAGGTATAAGGCATACTCACAAAACGTTGAGAATGCAAGTCACGATAACATTCTGAATCTTAAGCCCACACTCGGCTGCTGACAGTCAATCGAATGCTAATATTTCCAGCCGAACAAGGCACTTACGCGATGGGGGAGGATATACTCTCCAATTGTCGGACATGCTGCTATGTGGTTAACATCCTGGACAGACAAATAGGAGCCTTGTAGGTATCATACGGTCGACACCCCAAAGTCACAGTCAAGAAAACTGCGATGTAGGTAGCAGCGCACAGAATCGCCAGCCAGGCAATAGCTTTCGATTGCCACAAGCCCAACGTCAATCGCTTGCTGAATCCCCAGCCTCGGTTAGCGTTGGGATATCTGGGAGCGACAGGAAACTTACTAAAGGAATAACATCTTCCCCTTCATCACCCAAATCAACGCCGTATATGAGTACCAGGCAGCCAACTCGAACTTTGAGCCGGATTCAACCGATCGGTATGCGGATGGCGAGAGTTTATTTTGTAAAGCATCGGGTATTTCTAGATTTGTCCCTCGTTTATCTTTCTAGTTATTAGTATGCGCGCTTTGTTAGAATCAAGATATGGGCAACGAACATGAAAAATGGACTGTGATGCCATCCATCGTAAGGAAGGCAAGTGCCTATCAACCTGTTAGAGAGAAGAGCACTCGATGTCTGTTGCCAGGCGTCTTACAAGGAATGCTAAGTAATCATCCCCTTGAAATCCCCGCGGGCCAACCATCCGCAGACGCACTCCAAGTCGGAGAAAGATGATGGCGACACTGACGGCATATTCTGTCCATTGCTCAACCAGAAACGAGTTGTCCTTGTAGAATCCGAGGTCTGCCATGTTCCATCGAGTAGACGCGGCGTTTCGAGCTGAGAATAAGTGGTGAACCCAGCGCCCGGTTGTTTTTGCTAGACGTTGGATATCCAAACGTAAACAGCTCACGACAAAGCCACAACAGATGCAAAAATCATAGAAAGGTCGAAAAGCTGAACCCCCCCCGGACAACCCTTTTCCTATAATCGCATCGCTGCCAATTCAGCAGACCCAACCTGTTGGGACTGAAGGATGCGTATATCGCTCCACCATATCGAGAAAAAGCTTAAAAAGGAGATTCAAAACCATCGGCGCGTCACTTTTCCCGTCTCTCGCTGCCCTTCACGGTACCTACTATTGGCTCCTCCTATGGTCCAGGGGCAAAGGCAAATTTGAGTTAGGGTATGGTGGAAACATCAATCCTCCAGGATTCAGCTCCAGTGGAGCAGGTCGATTTGATTGAAAACGAAAATAAAATCCATGACGATCTTCTGCCTTTTGGTCGTTGTAAGGCCCGAGGGTTCGTGAGGCCTGCCTAAAATAGACGCTGGAAATAGGTCTCCAGCCCTCGTTGTGTTCTGGACCGGAAGACTCCGATTTGTTTTAGCAATAGTCGGTCGATTGACGGCACCAACAACGAGCGACAGCTGGTATCCGAGTTTGACTGGACAACAGCGACCCATGCAGTGGAGACGTTCAACCGCTATTTCTCCGAAAGGGTGCGATCTGGTCTGGGGTTCAGACTTCAGAGTTGGGCCGATGTGGAGCCGCCGTATAGAAACACGAGATCCCTTTGCGAGAACACAAAGGGCCCCTTTCCTGCCAAGGGAAGACAGTAGGTTGCTGGGTAACATTAGTCTGATCGCTGGTGCAAGTGACGGTGTCGGCTTGCTCCGAAAATGCAGGGGCCCGAATTTTGGTCGCAATTAAATGTAATATCGAAACAGGGACAAAAACAGCTCACTCAATCTGCGAGCCGCGCCTGAGACCCATTTTTCCTGATCCTTGGTTTCCAGTAGTCCATTTCCTACTCCGTTCTGCGCCGCAGTTACCAAAGTAAATCTCCTCAGTATGTCAACTAATCTCCACGTCCTGTGCGACACGCTGAGATCGCTTGGGCTGCGATGGCTATCGCCCCTGAATGGAAGGAGCTCTAGCCGTGGAGCTATTGAGAGAATCTACAGAAACCTTTGGTGATCAGGCACATTAGATGCCCAATAATTGATCCTGACGAGAAATGCGATCGCCAGTTGATCGCAGAGAGGGTCATTGACATTGGCACCGAACGTCGGTTCGCTCTTGAGCGAAATGACACATTGAGCTTAGGCTCAGGGTTGGTCATGTCATTATCGTTGTCGATCCGGTTGACTTTGGGATCGGCAATTATGACCATGTTCATGGACTCCATAACTAGTCGAATGTTGCCGAACCCTAAGTTCCTTTTATCATCCAAAATTGGTCCCTTCTGAGTTTTCTTAGCTTTGTGTCGGTTTATATGTGCCCGTTTCACCCGTCCAGTCGCGGGATGTATGGCAGCCACCCCGTTCAGCTAGTGTGAATTTTGATGGAATTTGGCCGAAGATATATAACGACCCACAGAACGAGAGTGATTCTCTGATCAGCTGCGGCATGGCCAGTACTTCACCTCAAAACGGTGTTTTAGAGCCAGTGCTACTGAGAAAGCCATGATCCAAATCTGCGCGAATCATGTAATGGGCTTAATGGTAGAGAACCGGAGGAAAGGTTGAATGTCCAAAGTCGCTTGCAACCTTTCTCGGAGTATTGACTGGATCAATTTCTGAAGATGGTTTTGTCATCAGACTAACAGGTGTATTGAGTGTTTATACTCTGGCTAACGTGAACAACCCCCTCGCAGTCTTTGCCGTTCTCGTCACACTAGAAACTCTGCTCACCGTCCTGGCCACCAAGGACTGTCGACGCACGCCATCATCATCTCTGACCTCACCTTCCTGGTTGAGAAGATCAGCATCGGCACCGGTCTTGTCCAGCTCCGATATCTTCCACGCCCGCACAAGCCAGAGGCAAAGGGCTCCTCCCATAAACATAAAGCCAGTGAAGATCTGGGCATGCAGAAAATTGGTCCCGTTGTCGGTTCGTAACCACAGGGCGATCGGTTCGGCAAATGTGCTCGGTATGACCACCGAAAGCCAGAATATCGACAAGGCAGATGGGAGGAGTTTCAATCCCACCACCTCGGCGCCCACCGGAGCCACCGTGGTCGTGAAGGTTGCGGATACAGTGCCGCCGATCAGCGCATAGAAGATGAGGACGCCAAAGCTTTTGGCAAAAATCCAGATTACAAAAGAAAAGAGGCCGGCCAGGAAGGTACATCCGAATGCGGTGTTCAGTCGTCCAAAGTCATCGCTGACGTACCCTATAACCGGTCGCCCCAGACCTCCTCCTAGGTTGAACATGGCACCGAGAATCGAGCCTTGGGATGCGGTAAGGCCCACGGTGCTCGCGTAGCTGGGAATGGAGAAAAGCAGGGCCACATAGCCCAACACGCTAAAGAAACCCCAGGCCAAAGTGAGCAGGAACTCCGGTCGCTTCAAAAGACTAGTATGGAAGGCGATTTGGACAGCTCCAATGACCTGGTTGCGATCCCTTATGAGGATGGCGGAGAAGCCGCACGCAGCAGCTGATACTATAGCCAGGATTCGGAAAGCCCACCCAGTTCCCCATCTCTGGATGATGGCACTTGTAGCCAGCGAATAAATCAGGCCTCCGATCCCCGATCCCGCCGTCCCAATCCCGTTTGCAAGAGAGCGTCGGCGATTGAACCATTGCGGGATGATGCCAACGGTGGCGCTGAATTGCATTCCCATCCCGAATCCAAAACACACGGCCTGGCTCAGAAATAATTGCCAAATCTCGGTCGCCCATGACGCCCCTAACAACGCGGCGGTCTGCAGTGTGATTCCTATCGCCAAGCTAGCCCTCGTCCCCCATTCTCGAGTGGTGATCGTTGCGACTGGAGCGATGAATTGGGCTAAACTGAGAGAAAGGCCTCCGACGAAGGCAAAGTCGAGGTCCGAGGCCCCTGGAAATGTATTTGTGTCGAGATAATGTGCTAGAAATACACCATAGGACTGAGAGAAACGAGAATTAGCAGATCAAACATTGTCGCGAGGCCACAGGATCCTACACTATTGATTCCCCAGGTATGGGCATTGACCAAAAAGACGCACAGCACACAGACCCAGCCATAACCACCATCTGGAGGTGGTTCTACCTCTGTCCGAGCTGGTGGTTGGACTTGCTCAGGTTCATTCTCGGACAGCTTCTTCTCTGAAAAGTCAGGAGATGGGTGACTCATGGTGCCGTGGTCAGGGGCAGTTGCTGTTATCGCCGGACTCGAGTCGCCATTCTTCTCCGACTCCATTTCTTCTTTCAACACCCGACGGTGGGTTGGGGAGGAGTTTCACGATCTGAAATGAGGAGTTGGAATCAAAAGAAGAGAAAAGAGTACGTAAGACGCGAGATAAATATCTTCCTCGAACTGAGAGAGCTGAGAGTATACCAGGGTAGGGGACGGCGCCCGTCGGAACCGCCGACGCCATGGAATTCCTCCACCAGTCAATTTCTCTTTCCCCGGTCTTAGTAACGGAAGAACATACGAATGACTGATAAGAAGATAATTGACGCCAGGCATTATCGGGGAAACGTCCAGACGCTGGTGTGGGGACCCCAGTCCGTTATTGCATTCTAGTGATTTTACCCCTAATACCAGGGGTCATACACCACCACGTCAGTCCCGTAAGCCCCTGGAGGCCTGAAGGCGACATCGGAGTGCAGACATACAGTCAGATCCGTAAAGAATACCCCCCCTTGCAGGTTAATGGAGTAATGTAACCCCCCAGATACTATTCTGGTGCTAAAAATAAGCCGCACAAGCCCCGTAAGCCTATTCAGGCCGGAAGTCGACGTGATTGCATGGTTTGGCCACTCTCGTTGCCAATAAGTGGAGTAAATGTAACCCTCCAGGGATCAACGTCCAATTTGGAACACGCGCTAGATTCACCCAGACAAACAAAGATTCGTTTCCTCTCGCGCCGAGAATCCAGACAGCAGTCGGCTGGCTTGGCATCGTATCTGACACCGATGCTCGTCTTCATTCGTATGTCACTATCGCCGCGATGATCGCGTGCTTTGCTATAATCTTCTACAACTACCAATCCATGTTGACAGGACTCACCCCGGGTTGCGCTAATCCCTTGGCAATTCAATGAGGAAAGTGCTTTGGCTGCCGTAGTTGGGGTCAAGTTCAGGGCTAACATGCATCAAGGATTGGATTCCATGTACAAGGCGCCGGGTGGCGATCAAACTACTGCGTACACCTCTTCAACGTTGGTTCCAGATTGTAACTTTAGGCAACACGCGTCTAGGATCTTGCCGAGATCAGGAACGGTTTCCGGTGCCGAAGATAACTGTCATATTGAGTGGTCAACGATTGATGACAACCCCTCTTAGTTGCCAATTCGCTCGGGCTACTCTGAAGTATGGAGGATGGGGTTCCTTACCCCGCATAGTGATTGTTTGATCCTCTAGATTTTGTACTGCACGATGTCGGGGCCAGGCTATATGACTATTGATGCCGTTCTTCTACTATAGATGTGAAGGAGGATGAATCGTTACTGGGTACAAGGATGTCAAGTGTATATCAAATCATTTTCCACCCAGTGTTACTCTACAGTGTACCTTGTGATTCTAATACCAAGGAGCCTGTAGAACAGCCAAGTCCGTAGGGAAAGAGCCGGATACCATTTTTGCATCTTCATCTCGTATTGCGAGGGGCCTGGTGACTTTACCCTATTGAGATCTCACTGAAGTAGCTGCTTGGCAGCTACTATGTCTCCATCTTCATCGTTCTAGTTCTAAGCCGCGTCAGCAGCCCCTCAAGCCCTCGGAGGCGAGAAAACGACATGATTGTATAGCTCGGCTGTCTATTCTGCAGGCAAGTGGGGTGGTTGAATCCTTCAGAAGCTGATGGATTTGATGCATGTCTGGACTTAATATCAATGTGACAGATTAACACCTCTCCGATGGACCAATTTGCAAGACGTTGGATAAATACCTCGCTGGCACCGAGTCTCTGGCCTCTCGATGTTTCTCAATTCAACCGACCTGTGAGCGGAACATCTTGGTCTATTTCTTCTTCTTCGTCTTTTTTCAATATGGAGACTATCAAGAGAACCTTTGCGCAATGCAAGGAAGAAAATCGCGTATGTTCCCCGAGTGGCGGAAGCTATGTGAATTTATCCGAGGTTTATGAAAGCACTTCTAACTTGTGGTATAGCCTGCCTTTGTAACCTTTGTTACAGCTGGCTATCCTAGTGTTGAAGAGGCTGTAGATATTATATTGGGATTGGAAGCTGGTGGTGCAGGTATGCAGTATCTTGACTCAATTTAGCTACATTTCTAATTCTTCTTCACAGATATTATTGAGCTTGGTATTGTTAGTACTACAGTCTCGTTGATACTCACGGATCTTTCTAACCTGATTGCTAGCCTTTCACGGATCCCTTCGCGGATGGTCCTACAATTCAAAGCGCAAACACTGTTCGTTGCCTTTCCTATGTTGTATGCCTAGTTACTTATTATTGTAGCAAGCGCTTGCGAACAATGTCACAATCGAGACAACCCTGGGATTGGTAAAGCAGGCTCGGAAAAGAGGGCTTAAAGCACCCCTGCTGTTGATGGGTTACTACAATCCACTACTGAGCTATGGCGAGGAGCGACTGTTAAATGACTGTCGTGAGGCGGGTGTCAACGGCTTCATTGTCGTGGACCTTCCCCCACACGAGGCCGTTAAATTCAGAAATTTCTGTGCGAAGGGCGGGTAGGTGATGATGTCCCCACGATAGATTATTCCCACTGACATTTGTATACAGACTATCATACGTCCCTCTTATCGCTCCTTGTAAGCGCCCCTCCCCGGATTCGTCCGACCTACTTAGCTTCTAACGCTTCGTTTCAGCCACTACTGAGACCCGACTCAAACTACTCTGTAAGCTCGCGGACTCGTTTGTCTACGTTGTATCACGCATGGGCGTCACCGGTGCCACTGGTACTCTAAGTACCGGCCTACCCGAACTATTGGCTCGAATCAAACAATACTCGGGCGATGTTCCGGCCGCAGTTGGTTTCGGTGTCAGTACAAGGGAGCACTTCCTGAGTGTAGCCAGCATAGCGGATGGCGTTGTTATCGGCAGTCAAATTATCACAACCCTATCTAAGGCCGCCCCTGGGGAGCGGGCCAAAGCTGCCGAACAATACTGCACTGAGATATGTGGAAGAAGAAATTTGCCAGAGGATCGAAAGACTCAAGTTATTGAGACAGTGAATGGCGCCGATGAGCCAAATGCAGCCAACAGTGCCGTGCAAGCTAATGGTGCCGTGTACACAAATGGAGCCCACACCAATGGAACTCATACTAACGGAGCTTATACCAATGGAGCCCATACCAACGGTGCCGCGCATACCAATGGTGCCGTCCAGACAAATGGCAACCATTCAGGACTTCCTGATGAGATAAAGGTAGAGAAAGGTGAGGGAGAAGACCCAGAACTCTTCCCTGCACGTTTCGGTGAGTTCGGAGGCTCGTATGCCCCCGAATCACTCATGAGATGTCTCTCAGAGCTGGAGGCCGGCTTTGAGAAAGTCCGGAATGATCCCGACTTCTGGGCAGAGTTTCGATCCTACTACCCTTATCTAGGAAGGCCTGGGCATCTCCATGTCGCAGATCGCCTTACTGAACATGTCGGTGGAGCCACTATTTGGTTGAAGCGTGAGGACTTGAACCATACTGGAAGTCATAAGATCAATAGCGCTTTGGCGCAGATCCTTCTGGCTCGCCGCTTGGGTAAGACTGAGATTATTGCTCAGACCGGTGCGGGTATGCATGGTGTAGCAACTGCCACTGTCTGTGCGAAATTCAACATGAAGTGCACTATCTTCATGGGCGCAGTAAGTAGTCGGGCTTAAAACGATGCTGCAACTTTATATCTAACGGCTGTACAGGAAGACGTTAGAAGACAGGCCCTGAACGTGTTCAGGATCAAATTGCTTGGTGCCGAGGTCGTCCCAGTTGAGGCAGGCTCGAAAACTCTCAGAGACGCTGTGAATGAAAGTTTCCGAGTTTGGATCACCAAGGTCGACACAGCCTTTCACATTATCGGTTCAGCAATTGGTCCACATCCCTTCCCTACGATTGTGCGCACTTTCCAGACCATTATTGGAGAAGAGACGAAGACACAAATGCTGGAGCAGCGGAACAAACTGCCAGATGCGGTTGTTGCTTGCATCGGTGGGGGCAGTAATGCTCTGGGAATGTTTTATCCGTTCATTGAGCAACACAGTGTGAAGCTTCTGGGAGTGGAAGCTGGGGGTGACGGCCTTGACTCGAAGAGGCATGCCGCTACTCTAACCGGTGGCACCAAGGGAGTCTTGCATGGGAGTAGGACGTATGTCTTGCAGGATCAGCACGGACAGATCCAGGACACCCATTCCATCTCAGCTGGTCTGGACTATGCTGGCGTTGGGTGAGTAGAATCTTCCAATTTTTCTTCTGTGTCATGCGATCAAATATCATACCGGGTGTGGACACGATGATTCGCTAACTGGCTGAACAGGCCAGAACTCAGTTCCTGGAAAGATTCAGGCCGCGCACAGTTCGTTGCCGTTACTGATGCTCAAGCCCTCGCCGGGTTCAAGCTGCTCGGTGAGCTGGAGGGGATCACTCCCGCGCTAGAAAGTGCCCATGCCGTCTGGGGCGCAATGGAGCTGGCCAAGACAATGAGGAAAGACCAAGATGTTGTTATCTGTCTCAGTGGAAGAGGGTTTGTCTATCCCCCCCATAGTTCTCGCGCTCTCGACTGACTTCTAGTCAAGTGACAAGGATGTGGAAAGTGTGGCGGAGGAACTTCCCAGACTTGGACCCCAAATCGGGTGGGATTTGAGGTTTTGATAGTCCTCGGCGACCAACCTTTGTCGTCCGCTCACTCATTCTGGCGTTAGCGAAGGCTGTCCGGCATGATGAGGTTTTCTGGTGGCAAAGAGTCTCAGGTAGACCGCAACAAAAAGAGGACAAGAGCTATTTCTGAATGAAGAGCAGGGTTTTTCCACTTGTAAGAATATTTGCAGACATAGATCAGAATGGAATGGCCCATCCCCAGGACTCTACCGATGTTCCCACCAAGTACCACAACATTCACAATCTTATCTTATAATTCTGGCTCGCTTCCGCCCCTTCTCCTCGAAAATCTTTTGTTCAGACGCATCGCCCCTCGTCTAAGACTATTCCTCGCACATTGTAGCCAACTTGCCGTATTTCTCGCATATCTCGCAAAACATCGCATATCGCAAATCTCGCATATCACGTAGATCACCAACTTGACATAGCTGTGGATGTCATTTTAAAGCCATTCGAGTCTGCAGGGTCGGTATTTTTTCGTTTTCTTGTAAAATGTTTAATTTGCATAGTTTTCTCGGTAGACCCTTCAAGGCAACGTCATTCTCTTCTTCTGTTGGCGCAGAAACCCTCAATGGCGGTTAGGTTTCCTAATCGAGCCGCTCCCGACATGGTCCACAAAGGCCCCTGAAAGCCTTCAATGCAAAATCTTTCACGGCTCTATAGACGTATTATTCACCTCGATAGTACCTCACAGGCGTTACTTCTACATCAAGATGTTCAAATGGTAGGAAATTGTCAGTGCACCTCGCGACCCGGCTAACAGCGACAGGTACCAAAGAAGCCTCGTTCAGCGTCCGATACTGACGCAGAGTCTTACCACGGCTGTATGTTCCTAGCGTCGTCTCATTATACTAATCAACTAATATTCGTTGTATGAAGTGTCTGTTTGCCGTGGGTGATGGCCTCGCTCAGCAGGGAGTAGAAAAGAAAGGTCTCGCCCGCCATGACATGACACGCACTGCGCGCATGGCATTTTATGGAGGAGGTTAGTCTACGCGAATATTACTATGAATGTCAGTAGCTAACAGCTCGAATAGCGGTATTTGGCCCAGTCGCCACTAAATGGTTCCAGTTCCTTCAAAATAGAATCCAGCTTTCCACTGTCCCCAGAACGCTAGCTGCCCGAGTCGCCGCCGACCAGCTGCTCTGTGCGCCCACGATGATCGGTGTCTTCTTGTCCAGCATGTCGATAATGGAAGGAGTTGATCCCAAGGACAAACTACAGCGCACGTACTGGGAAGCACTGCGAGCCAACTGGACTATTTGGCCTGTTTTGCAAGGCTTGAACTTGTCGCTTGTCCCGCTGCAGTATCGAGTCCTGAGTGTGAATGTATTTAATATCGGTATGCACATCTCTCCTGATCTTGACTCTTTGTCTTCGTGGCCTTCTCAGTTGCTAAACTCACGGCCGTGGACTAATGATGCGCAGGTTGGAATTGCTTTTTGAGCTTCTTGAATAGCGCGGATGATGTTGAACAACCGCCCGTTGTTTAGTGAAAATCTTTGGTTAACTATAGATGACGTGTATTGGAGTAATTTAGATTGAACTTAGACCTCTAAGAAGCAATATTCGAGAAATTCAATAACTTGCGTCCCAAACGCTTTTGTTAAACAGAGCCAAAGTACATGTTCTCTTTCTGTAAAGTAGATAAACAAGACCCCAACAGTGAATGACATCATAACCAGATTATTCAGCGACGAAGAAAGATCCGGAATCCGGAAGTGAATTTTCCCGGAAGTCTCCATTAGAAATCCCGGCGCCAAACTGCACTATTCCCCATCGGGACCACAGGGAACAAGAAACAAACAAAGAGGACTTCATCTTCCAGCAATTTCAACCACTTCAAACAACATCACTGCCCACGTGAACTCCGTCTACACCTGCATCGCAGGTGCCAGGTTGTGCCAGAATTCACATTTCCTCGTGGCGTCCGGCGGCACTCTCTCCATCGCCGTGTTGTTCGTTTGCAGTCGCATCCGAATCCCGGCCGCACTGCCCCAGGAGTGCCATTCCGGGGCGTGGTGGTACCGGTGCGGATTCGGATCGAGCGACCGAACGAAACTCACCCAGTAATTCATGATCACTGGGACTACCGCGGCGTTGACGGTCTCATAGTAAGACCCCTGGCCGGTATACCCAGGACCAAAAATGGCTGGGACCTCGATCGTGTGCGGAACCCCCAGCCCTTCCGCCAGGCTGGGAGGGTCCTGCACGTTGACCCGGTAGTTCCAGACATGAGCAGGGGAGAGATACCTGGCGATGGAGGCGGCGATGTGGTTGCCCGGACAGACAAACGTCGCATCGCCGTAGGCCGCGGATGCCGCCGAGAAGAATGGGGCGTGGTAAGGCAGGGTGGCCGATTTCTCATATACACTATTGATGGTCTCCAGCTGACGTTTCTCCAGATCCGGGTAATAATTCCTCAGGAACTGGGAAACTTCAGTCTTGGTGGACGCGTTGAAGGCGAAATATGAGCCTTCGTCGGTATCGTCGCCCACCATGACCGGTACCTTGATAAATCGCCCTCGCTCGAAGAGGGCATAAAGGCGGTCGACTACGAGGTCATTGTCGACCACTGGCAAGAAATACCAGCGCACAAGAGGGGTAGCGGTGGTGTTGGGGAATGCCGACGCGACATTCGCGGCCTGGAGCTGGTTGATGTCGATCGAGCGAAGGCAGGCCAGTGCATCGGGCGCGTTGACACAGCCGGCGTCTATCACGAAGCGATCGAATTGCCACTCGGTCTCCGATACAGTCCTCTGGGTTGGCCAAAATGGGGACTGGAAGATCGCACCAGTGAACAAGTGGTCGTCTCTCCCTCCGTACGCCACGAGGTGATAGCCAACCGAGCCGGCTCCAGCAGAACAACCATGGATGACAACGTGATTGGGGTCACCTCCAAACTACCCTCAGCCAAGTTGGTCAGATCTCAGGAATTCGAGCTGCAACTGAGCGGGATGTGAGTTATCATACCTTTGGAATATGCTCTTGCACCCATTGCAAAGCCATTCGCTGATCCAGAAGCCCGGCATTCAGATTGCCATTCTTCCTCACCTTCTCGCTTGCCAGGAATCCCAGGGCGCCAACTCGGTAGTTCAGCGTGACAAACACGATGCCATGTCCAGACTCTTGGACAACCTTGGTTCCGTTATAATTGGCATTTGAGTTTTGAGCGTACCCTCCTCCTTGGATGAAGACCCAGACCGGGAGCCTAGACGTCACTGTTGCGTTGGACGGAGTAAAAACGTTTATAAACAGGCAATCTTCTGCCTTGTCGCCCGTTGTGACGTTTTCACCCAAGCCCACGCAGATCGGACCGTGCTGTGGGATTTTAGTCATGATACGCTCTTGGGTTCTGGGTCTCTCACCTTGAATGCAGTTTGGATTGAGTCTGTTCGGGGTGGAGCCTGGGGTGCTCTGAACCTCAAGTTCCCCAAGGGTGGTGCTGCATAGCGCATGCCGAGATACTGGTCAACTCCAGCATTGAGTCGAAGCCCTTCGTAGGTCGAGTATCCAAGATCGACTAGGGGCCTCGATGCACCCGGAAAGCCGCCTGCCAGGAAAGCCTGGAGGATTAGAGTCAGATAGAAAAGAAACACCTTCATTTTGGTCGCTTTCGATTTCTACTGAGGATTAACGAGTGCGGTAAGAAGCTTAGTTGGGTCAGTTGGGATGGTTGAGAGGATTGAGAGGTGTGAACGATGATGGGGCACAGCGATGTTGACTCCCTAATATATAGCCCGGGCATAAGGAAGGACAGACTCACGATCGAAGCAATGAGGATACAGAAATTCATGGCCATCCACCCAATTATCCGGAGAGACGGTTTCCCCGCAAATTGGCGCCTTTGGATATTCACGTCGCTGCAACATCGGACCGAGAAACCGACATCACAGGTCCTCAGGGCAGATCACGCGGGGAGGCGTGGATCAGTGGCATGCTTGATTTGAATCTTGATCTTTGCTCTGATTTTCTATCGCCTGCAATGCTCTTTGCAAATGCCTGACAAACTACTAAGACGGCTGCAAGCCAAGCATCGGGCAGCGAAAATCCATGAGCAAACGCAGAACAACTTCCCCACAACCGAGATGTACCTCATCATCTTATAATCTCTTATTGGATTTGGCATTTAATTAGTCGGCCCACCGCGGGCTTGACTGCAAAATCTCCAGATCGCTATAAGACCTACCACGCTTACCCTAAAAGAGACATGGGAACGAGAACGACATTGCGGTAGGCGCCAGAGATTTTGCAACCACCAGACTCATTGCTCTGGAATCTATTTAAAATTCTCTATTCGACCTCGTCGCTTATGATGGAAGTTCCCCATTCAATTACGAATGCCGATCCCTGCTGCCAACATGGTAGTAGGAGAATATCGTCTCTACCACTATGATCCTTCATTCCCGGCCGCGGTCGCTGCCACCGCTTGTTTCGGGGTCTTGACAAGCATACATTTGGTTTATTTTATTGCCCGACGAACTTGTTCTTTTACACCATTTATCATCGGCGGCTTGTGTATGACCTTCCTTTCCCTTTTTGTTTGTTTTCGTCCTCCGACAGAGGCTAACCTTTAAAAGGCGAAACCATCGGATATGTTGGACGAATACTGAATAGTCGAGAGACTCCCGACTGGACGACAGGCCCGTATATCATGCAGACGTTGTTACTCCTGGTCGCCCCCGCGCTCTTCGCAGCATCCATATACATGATCTTAGGACGGTTGATCCAGTTCGTCGATGGGGATTCAAGATCCATAATCCGAGGTCGATGGATCACGAGAATATTCGTTGTCGGCGATGTTATCTCCTTTCTTGCACAAGGCGGTGGTACGATCTTCCTCTCCTGATCCAAAATCTCTCTATTGATCAGACCAGGCGGAGGCGTCCTGGCGCAAGCAGACACTAAGGACAAACAAGATCTGGGAAACTGGATCATAATTGCAGGGTTAGCAGTACAGATTGTCTTCTTCGGGCTGTTCGTGATCGTCTCGGTAATCTTCCACATCCGGATGGTGAACAGTCCTACGCAGCGGTCTGTTGACCTGCGAGCCCCTTGGAGGCGATTCCTGATTGTACTGTACGTTGTTAGTACGTTGATTATGATTCGATCAGTCTTTCGGGTTATTGAGTACGTGCAAGAAACGGACGGCACTCTCCAGTCAAAAGAGTTTTGGCTCTATGTGTTCGACGGACTATTGATGTTTCTGGTAATGGTGGTCTTGCTGTTGCATCATCCCAGCCAGATCGTGACCAGGAGTCGAAGGACGAGTCCACATGGACGTCGGAAAAGAAGGAGACGTCATTCTCGCAAAAGACGTCCGGTTGGTGAGGAACTTCATATTCAATATTAGCACCAAAGTTACAGTCATAGGCTTAATTCCAGGACTCTATAAACGCAACAGGTCAACCAGGTACACGGAAAGATTGTAAAGTATTCCCCTTTCTCATATGAAGGATCTGCGCGGCCAAGACCGAAGGAATCGCTTGAGTCACATCTGCAGTCTTTCACCATCATTATTGCTAGTGCTTATGCCAAGCGGAGTCCAAATACACCGAATCATTCACTGGCATACCCCGTACGGAATAAACTTCTCCAACTCACCCCACTCTCACCCAAACAACATGGGAATCATCGCCGTCGCAGGAGGAACCGGAAGCGTTGGGCGAACCATCGTAGAGTCGTTGATTGAGCATGGAAAACACCAGGTGATTGTGCTGTCACGCAAAGTAAATCCCACCGTCCCCTCCAAAGACCTATCTGACGGAAACAGGCACCCGGCGATGGAGACATCTTCCGAATCCTCCAAGTAGACTACAACGACGTTGAATCCACTGCCTTGGCTTTTGAGGCCGAGCAAATCGACACCGTCATTTGTGTCTTTGGGATGATCTCGGATGAGTCGAGCGACACGCAAATCAACTTGATTCGCGCGGCAGATAGGTCTAAATTCACGCGACGATTCGTCGTAAGCGAGTTCGACATGTTATTCAAGGAAGAGTATGTGCCCAATCCTTCGGGTTCGTTGTCTATACTAATACATGTTTAGACATATCTCCTACATTCCCACGGCAAAATGGGCATTCGATGCCCTTCGTATGATTGAAACCACTGGCCTCGAGCATACTCGCGTTGTGAATGGTATGTTTCTCGATTACTATGGCCTTCCGCACTGGAGAAGTCATTTAAAGCCATGGGTGAATGCCGTGAATGTGCAGCGCAAGTGGGCTGTAATTCCTGGAGACGGCGAAACACCTGTTAGCTTCATTACGACGCAGGATCTCGGTCGGTTCGTTGCTCGACTGATGGATTTGGAGGAGTGGCCGCGTGTCAGCTGTTTTGCGGGTGTGACGGCCTCGTTTAATAAGATCTTGAAGCATGCAGAACGCGTTCGAGGTTTGTCCACAAGATAAGAAGAAAACGCTAACAAACATGACTGACGGGAAGTAGAGGACAAATTCACAGTCAAGTACGAGGATCTTGAGACTCTACGAAAGGGCAAAATCTCATTCCCCGAGTTTGAAGATGCCGGGTTCAAAGCATCAGACCAGTCTGACGAGGCCATCTTTGCGCTATTCCATCGTGTCGCGGCCACTGGAGGATATTTCATTCCTCCAGATAAAGCCCTGGATGACAGATTCCCCGACATCAAAGTCACGACTGCGGAAGAAGTGATGAATGTCTGGAAAGACCGGTGATGCTGTGTCTTTCAAGCTCTATTGGAGACGTATCTTCGCATTCTTGATTTAGTACACTCTTTGACCAAAAGGATTCAAATCCCTGCAATGAGTCATAAATACACGGAGTAGGACATGCCACGTCTTGGCCAACAGTAGGATTTGACTCACTCCCTTTGTAATACCTCTGGGTGATTATTTATCAACATTAGTTATCCCCTGATGCAATCTGTATATTCTAGATACAAGCCACTCATTCATCATGCACATCCATGTCGTCTCCAAATCTAACAACGCCGAACATACCACTATCTCCCTCAACCCGGCAATTAGCCCGTTACCTCCCTCGTCCATCCGCGTGAAACCGGAGCTAGTAAGCCTGACATCCAACAACCTCAGTTATGCGCGCAGCGGCCACATTCTCCGCTGGTGGGACACCTATCCCGTTCCATCAAATTCACCTGCCCCCTACAACGACCAGTCAACCTGGGGAATCGTGCCTGCCTGGGGGTACGGCATCGTATTGGAGAGCACAACGTCCCTTCTGCCAGGCACGCGACTTTGGGGGTTCTGGCCCACTGCCAATACTTCGGTTGATCTTACCGTCACCCCGGGTCAGCCGGACGGCACATGGATCGAGACCAGCCCACATAGACAGGCCCTGATGCCGTTGTACAATCGCTACGCTGTGGCTTACGACCAAGAAAAGGATCGGATGGCATGGTCTACTGTTTTTAACGGTACTTGGCGAGCCGGATATTTGCTGAGCGAATATGTGCTGAATCCGCTGCAGCCGATTCACCCGCTCGGTGCCAGTGCCGGACTTCCCTGGACGGCTGAGGACGCTGATGTCTCTTCGGCAGTGGTCATCGCGTTGGGAGCATCGGCTAAGACGGCGCGTTTGTTCACATATAATTTTGCGAGACGGTCGGCGAATTTACCGTTAGGATACCTCCTCGTGAGCTCCTCCCCGGAGCCCTTGATTTCACCTGCAGCGAGCTCGGGATTTCCTGTGCGCGCGGTTTCTTATGATGAGCTGGAGAAATCAGCCGACTGGCTAGCTGATCGCAAGCCGACGAAACTTGTTATCGTGGATTTTGGGGGCAGGGGCGATAGTTTGCGTCGACTATGCGAGTTGATCAAGCATACTGAGGGCTTAAAGACCAGCAAGAGAGTAATCATTCATGTTGGGGGACAACAAAAGGTATATACATATACAGCTCATATTCTTTTATGGTACTAGGAGCTAACGCGGTTAGGTCTACACGAGCGAGGAAGTGCAAGCAGCGCGAGACGCAATGGTGGCCGAGGGCAAAATCCAGTACAATACAGCTGGGGTTCAGGATACCTTGCTGCAGGGCAATATCCCAGACGATTATCTCAATGCCGTCAACAAGCGCTGGAATCAATGGCTAGATGAGCGCAACGTCGCAATTCCCGACATGCGCCTCGTCTGGGGTAGCGGAGTCGATGGACCGCAGGGCATCGACGGTGGTTGGCAGAGACTGTGTCATGGCGACGTGGGATCTGAAGAGGCTCTTGTGTACGAGCTGTAGATTACTGTTCGCGCGAACGGTAGTCATTAAGTCCCCCGGTCGTGAAAAAAAAAAAAAAAAAAAACCATTCAGCGGCCAGAAGTAAGAGACGAAGATCCCAATACGCCACCCTCTGAATCGCCTGCCTGTCAATTAAAGATCGCAAATCATCCAATCAAGAAGATGTATTCGCCAACATGGTCACAATTGGCCGCTTCGCCGTCGGATCTGCCGCTGGAAACTGCATTAAAATGTGTCCGTTGTTGTAAAAGCGCACGACCACATCGTATACATGACTGGCCTGCTCAGGGTCCACCAGTCCGAGTATCCGGAACCGTTCACACAGCGATGGTTGTTCGTTCCAATACCCATTCATCTCATCCGTATTAGCGGTGATGATTTCACGATATTCTATGCAGCGTTCCTCCAAGGCGCTGGTCAATCGGTACTGGTAGAACGTGGGATCATACTGCGGCGGCATGGCGGCGGCGGCCAGGCGTTTTGCGTATCTCTTGGCCGCGAGAAGGAGAAAGGTCGTGAGAAGAGCAGTGTAGGCGCCTATTCGCAAGTGAGAGTAGAGCATAGAGAGCTTGTACTCTGGGTCTTCGGATTTGTGGTCAATCATATCGGAACCGACATAACCCATGTTGAACATGCAAAAGACGATCATGAATCTGTTCCAGTGAGTTTGGTGTACATTTCGACTCCACAGTTCAGAGTCAAACCTAACTTACTTGCCGCCCGAGATCCCTTAAGAGAAAATAAATCTCTTCCAGAGAGGCCTCGTGCTGATGGCTTCCACGCCGGACTGGCCTTGATATCGCATGATGTAGTCATCCGACACAGCGGTCTCGGCGAAGCGTTCATCGTTGCGCACGCCGCGGCGAGATGCCAACAGGAACAATAAAGGATTGAGTATTTCGGGGTTGACGGGTTCCCGAGAGGATCTCTCCAGGTCTGTTTTTTCGTTCATCATTTCGCTGGGGGTTGCCATCGTAGTGGGTGACAAGAGAGAGATTCGGAGACGGAGTGACGCACGGGGCTGAAGCCAAGATTATAAATGAAAGTCTTAACCAGTTCACTGGTGCCTTTGGCTTTGGTTAGTTACGAGCTATTAAACTAGTTGGCTCTTAGCTTGGGGCTATGCTCCACTGATGCAAGCGGGCTTCATTTTCTACCCACGAGTTCCAGAAATGCGGACGATGCCCGGAGTTGATGGAAGGAGATCAGCGACAAGACTCAACTTAACGTCTGCATTGGAGTGTGATCCGTTCTTCTTACCAGAATAATTGTCCTACAGTCTTTTGATTGATATCTCCCATTCTTCTCCGTGACCCTGGTGGTCCCTGGACCCCCCCAAAAAAAGGACTAATTTCGCCTCGCGCAAAATCTAAAAAAACTCCGCCGAACCAACAATCCCCTTCACGATCTGACTAGCCTTGATTTCGGTTTCTCATCGTTTTGCCACGGCGACTTATTCTTGCAGTATCCGTTACTTCGTGCTTTCGCCGCCTCTCACCTCGCCCCTTCACACTTGATCTCTTTGCGGGAGGTGTTATGACCCCTGATCTGCATGGAATGCCGATGAAAACACACAACAAATATCCTCGGCGGCGAAAACCCAAGGGTCATGCACGATCAGTCTAGCGAGCATGCCATATGGCAGCGCCATACATTCCTATCTATCCTAGGGATAGATGGTTGAGGTTTCTTGCCCCGTCACTACAGCGTGTCCAAGCAGAAATTCAAAAGTTGCTACAACTAGAATAGAATCCACCCCCGACATTCTTTCCACTTAGAAGCTATTCCTCCCTTGCGTAATGGCATTTGGCATATGGATACCTGCAATTTTAAACGCTCGAACAATCTAGGAAACAGAATACTGTATACAGATAATGGTACCGGACAGAGCTCCACGTTAATAATGTTGAATTGTATTGATTGATATTAGAAGATTAAGTTGTCAAAGAAAAACATAATGCTAGAACCATAGATGCTGTTCACTATCTTCGTCACACGTCTCGTCTCATCATGCTGCCTGCGATCCGAACTCGCTGACCACCCACTGGCAGAACTCCTCCCACTCCTGCTTCCACTGCTGAAGACGCTGGGCCTTGATCCCATCACCGTTCTCGCCCTGGTCGATGTCAATGATCCACTGGTCGTCCGACTGATCCTCGAAGTGCGACCACCGGATACTGTTCTGTGCGAGAGCGCCCTGTTCTCGGTCAGTCTCTGCGGGTTAATTCTTACGGATGAAGAAGTGCTCACCAGACCAGCCAGTCCCACGTTGTCGAATCCTTGAATCACCTGGTAAAAGTCGTAGCTTACACCGGCAGCATCCTGGCCCAGCATGGCCGGGTCGTCGTTGCTAATGGCCGTGGGCACTCCGTGCGCGATCATCGCCGGCAAGGGATGGTGCAGGATATCCGTCGCCAGACGCAGCACCTCGTTGGAGATGGGACACACCTCCACCATGACGCCGTTCTCAATCACCTGCTCGATCAGGTGAGGGTGCTTGTACAGCGAAAAGCCGTGACCGATGCGACGCGTGCCGAACACCAGGGCATCCACCAGGTTCAGGTCAGTCGAGTTGCCATCACCCAGCGTCTCGCCCGCGTGGAAGAAGAAGGGCACCGAGACGTTCAAGTTCGCCGCCTGTTCCTGGAACCAGAGCAGCTCCGGCGCCAGATCCGCCAGGGTGCGGCCCAGATCCTCCTGCGCAACCACGTCGTAGCCACTGAAAAGCTCGGGGAACTTTAGCTTGCGTTCCAGCGCGATCTTCATGCTTCGGCTCAGCGCCGCATTCGTGCCGCCACGCCAGTCGGACCAGATCACTCGCGCGCCCCAGAAGTTGCGGCCGTTTTCGCTGTCCTTGAAGTTCTGCAGTTCCTCTTCCAACACCGTCCACCAGGCGTCAAGGCTCGGGTCGGGGTCTTCGTCGCCCTCGTGCACCAGTTTGCCACTAGATCCACCAGCGCGGATCTCGACCCAGTTGATGCCGTCCGCGGCGAGGCGGCCAAATAGGCGCTGGTAGAAGGTGCGCACGATAGGCTCGTAGGTCAACAGCGTACCGGCCGGGTCGAACATGTCCTGGAAGCGACGCCAAATCTCGTCGACGCCTAGCTCGTGCTGGATGGAGTTTTCGGGCTGCACCTCCATCTTGGTTTTCGCGAATGCGAAAAAGCCGTCCTGGCCGCCGGGGAATGTGCTGACGACGTCGGTCACCAGCACCTTCGTGTCAGGCACGTAGTCAGCCGAGGTGATGTCTGCACCGGCGGACAGGGTCTCGTTAACGTGCGAGAAGGCGATGGTGGCATTCTCGCGACTCTCGGGGGTGTCGAGGCTCTGCGAGGCGCTGACCACCATGCCCTCGGTGTTCACCACGGTCTCCAGGAGCACATCGAAGGGCAACATAGCCGTCAAATGCGCGTGCAGTAACGCGCCCTTGGGCATGCGCCTGACAATGCGCCACAACTTGGTTTCGGCAATGTACGGGCGCGCCAGAGGGAACATCATGCCGGCGAAGCGCTCGTCCGTGTGGTTCTGCAGCACGGCGTAGTGTCGCCAGTAGTCGTCAATCTCCTCCTGGCGAATAGCCTTCACCAGGGCGTCGGCCTCTCGCGCCACGGACGACATGTTCTGCCGGAAATCGTAATCTATTTCGCCTATATTAGCGATCACGCATGACGGTATGGAGATCAACAGGTAACGCACCTTGTCGCTGACGCTTCTCTAGCGTGATCATGTTAGATCGCGCCAGCATATGCTTCTGCACGATGCTGTCGTTGGCAGAGAGCATGGGATCCCATTCCTGGGCAGCCGACCAGGCCGCGAAAGCGACGGTGACAAGACCGAGGACACGCATGGCGGGCGAGGATTACCGGTGAAAGTTCTTGAGGGAGAAAAAAAAAAGTCAACCATCCATTTCGTGCCCGGTTTAAATATTCATTCCCTTCGATGGTGAACACGCTAGTCGGGCAATGTTTTGGTCGGTGCGGCCTGTAATCACGGCGACCCACCGAATGCAACCCTGATCGTCGGTCAATTGCCTGCTTTGATGCGAGGGAGGAGATATGCAGCTAGCCTAAATCTATGTGCCTTCACTTTCAGCCTTTCCGCGGTGCCGGTGGTCAATCTGACTAGTTCCTGAACTATTGAGTGACATGTCCGATTGGACTCGGATGTTGCCGTTTCCCAGGGTCTCCTCTGTCCAAGCAGACCGGGTCATCTTGTCCACAGTTCATTCAAAACAGTGCATAGGCTAAGTCTTCGATAAGATCAGTATTCTTATTCTATTCGTTTCGTGTGGGACGGGTGACCCCGTCCTTGACGCAAGGGGTGACGGGCGTACGAAGTAGAGATGAATGCAGGGATGACGCGAAGCATCTCCTGAATAATGTCCATCCGCCAGCTTCAGCTGCGTTCTTGGATCGACACGCTAGGTCGAGTAGATTGGCTGACAGTCTCCTCTTCTCGTGGTCAGAAGTATTATTGCACTCAGGCATTCACACAGCAAACCCCGCGCAATGTGCCAGTCTACAGCTCCTTCCGCACGGAGTAAATAAGTCGTACACTGTACTCCCAGATCCAAGCCATTGGCCTCTTCTCCACTTCTTTCGCTCTTCATGGCGCCTTGGCTGCTCGTCTTTAGCGTCGCTTGGCGCAAAGCTGATCTAGCGGATCCACCAGCGCCCGTGAATGGCCGCGGTGACTGGCGGAGAGGAAGAATTTCTGCAGTCGTTCCTCCATTGTTGGCGGAGTCAACGCGAGAGGAGCTCGAGTTGGAAGGAGCCTGGGCTGAGCTGGACTGTAAATGAGCTTGTATGATGTGGTAGCAGCTGCATGCAGCCCTACTTCGTCCCCTCGATCTCGACCAGCCTGTTCTGCTCTTTCCCCTCTTCATCTGGTCGGGGTCTCGATCTTGATAATGGTTGGATCCTGATTATTGGTCTGTTTTCTTAGCGCGACTATTTGTTTGTTTGTTGACATTCAGTCATTGCATTATGCCTTGTGACTCACAAAGGATTGATCCGTGCAGGGCTACTGCAATCCTTTAATTAATTTTCGTCCGACCGAGTCTCCCGCGGGAGTCAAAAATACCTCATTTGTTATCGGCGCAGATAACACTTGCTGGCCGGGCATGGAGTGGCAGTAGTCTCGTCTCATGCACCAAACGGACTGAAAAGGTATTGAATCCCGAGGATGAATGAGAAAATGGAAGAATCAATGCTTGCGACACGATTTAAACATGAATTTTGCACCGCGAGATCCTTCATTGATCATTCGAGGGAGTCTTAGGTGTTGCTCCATTATGGGATATATATCTGGGTCCAAAACTGTATTGTGATATGGGGATAACGCAGAAACCTTTATGCCGCCAGGATAAATACCATGACAAAGTTACTGTCGCCAGTCGTGAAATATTGTTAGTCATCACTATTCCTTTGTTGTGAACTAATGGAGCATCATGACCCCTGCAAAGTGGTGATGGTTCTCATTCCCTCGGAATCTTCACGATTGCCGCATCCGGGGTATCAGATTGCACGCGATCGAATTAAACTTATCAGACATGGCATCTCGCAGATCAACGGTGACTAAGTAAGGAACCAGATGGCCGTTAAGCTTATCAGTCCCGATCTTCCTCATCTTAGTCACTCTGACGAGCTCTCATGTACCCGGGTGGAATGTGTGCCTCCAAGGTACATCGGGGACCCTGGGGATCTGCCCTTTAATGGCCTCGCTCTCCCCGCAGTCCCTTCACTCACAGTTCAATCTTTTTTTTTGCAGAATTAATGGCAATCAACGCAATGACAATGCCAAGATCAAAGAGTCAATTACCCTCCCTCCCTCTCGAGATCATCGAGATGATCTGCGACGAGCTCCCTACCCCGGATCTTGCCGCCCTCGTCGGAACCTGCTGCCATACATACCACCACACAATTCACCGTTTCGCTCAGCGATATGCAGAAGTATACCTCGACTTCTCTGAACAAGGGCTCAATCATCTACATGCGATCGCTCAGAATCCTGTTATGCGCCAGTACGTCCAGCGAGTGGTCGTGATGGCTCCTGAGCCGCATCTCGGCCGCGGTATACAATGGCAATGGAGCGTGGCAGGACATCTACGGAGTCCACTTGATATTCCGATTGTTCGGCGGCTACGTGACGACCTAGCGCACCATCTTCCGCACTGCCGGTCGTTCATCATCTCCCCTATCGCGTGTTGTGACCACTTGCGAGAAGAAACAAGCAACGAGCAACAATTGAAGCCAGACGATGTCGCCACGATTCTATACGATATCATGGCCGACGCGTGTCTACCAGTAAAGCTACTATGGTACGGCAAAGGAATAAACTATACCGCAGAGACGATGAGCATCAAACGGCTACCCAAGTGTCTATTTGGCAACCCTGGGTTTCGCGCTGCATGGGGACAGCTGGAGAATCTTCATCTAGAACATGATCTTACGCCAAACAATTACTCCTTTATTTTAGACTCGATCTGCCATGCGTCTAGCCTCCGAAAGCTCTATCTCAGCCTGGGTCCTAGAGATCTGGCTATGGAATTCTTTGCTCAGCTTAGTAGATCTGAGGCTCTGCCAAGTACACTTGAACGAATTACACTCGCCTTCACGGCTATTCAGGCAGACAACCTGATACGCATTCTATACAAATCGCGATTGAGTCTACGAAGAATTGATTTGACCGGCGTAACGGGGCTCTCCCCGGGCTGGCTGGCGGTGATGGGCAGTATGCAAAGCCAGTTTCCGCAACTGGAGACCATCGAGTTGGACATGCTCTACGGGTGTGGCGGCGTCACGCTGTCAACTCTGTCAACAACGGCGCAGTGTGATTCGGGGAAGACATTTGAGTTACAAACAGGCGGTCGCACATGTTCACAAACGATGGGAATTGGGTTGGATGATTTAGGGGCACTACCGAGCAATGAAGCTGGGAGTACGGCCTTGGACATGTTGCTGAAAGCGCAGTCACCGGGGGTTGCGGTATGATGGCGATAGTACAATTTAATGGAACTGTGAAATGCTATGTAATTCATATGAATGGAGATTAACGCCTCTAAGCTTTTATGCTGTAATATATATTGCTTTGTTGTCATTCTTATCAGTAACCACGTCTAGTACTATTGATCCCCAAAGACTCTGTCAAATGCTTGTGCCCAATTTGGCGGGGATACTCCCTCATTCCCAAGGTAGTAGGACTATCAAACCTTTGGAAACCGTGGAATAGCCTGATATTAGGACTGTACAACCCTATATGAAGGAATTCGGCGCTCTGCCACTTCTAATTTCTCATTCTAGCATTTCCCATCATCATACACGTATATCGCGCTCGATTCATCTAGCTCCGGATTTATTCTTTGCCCAGGGGATTCTGCCTCTAGTCCACTAGGCTGACGACCCGGGAGCCTCGGAGCTGAGTTGTCGCTGCTCCCCAGGAGACGAATGTTGGCCGACTGACAAGGAATGGAAAGTGTCAGCCAGATCGTGGGAGGGAAATTCAATTCCAACGGATCAAGGGCCAATATGATACCGGTCACGTCTTCTATGCCTAGACTGTGACACGGAGCAAGAACTGGAGCCAGCAAATAAATGGTCGATTGTGTCAAGCCTGACTCGCTGCTCGTTCAAAGCCTCGCTGAGGCTCGGGCAATTGGCCTGGTCGGTTATTCGGATAGAAGGCACTAACGCCAGGGAAAGGAAGGTCACTACTGGGATGGAGACAAGAGGCTCAGAGTAATCCGGAGTAAATCCTGCCGTCTCATTCTCTTGGGATCTTCCTGCCAGTCAAAAGCTACCAACTAAAACGTTACTACAACCAAAGGTCTAGCCCCGCTAGATTCGTTTCCCCCCTTCTCTAGTGAGGAACTAGACCCGTTAGTCGAAGTTAGTTGGTCTTGGATATTTCCTAGGGTATCCTAAGACAGGGCCAATCTTAATTTGAGTTTGCGTCGAATCTTGTGGACTGCCCGATCGATGGCTGTCATATATGCAGGCAACCCCCCAGTCTGTGGAAAGGTCTTTTCTAGTTGTATTTCTTTTGAAAATCGTCAACTTTATCGTGTTGAATCTAGAGCCTTCTTTAGATACAGCAACGAAATCCGACTAATTCCAGGTTACCTCCCACGCTTTCAATCAGACAACATTGCCCTACTTCCGAAGGGTCACCAGCATGGCTTTGTCTCCATGTCCTTTCACATAGTCAACCAGTTCCATACCAAGAATAGTAGCTATCCCTTCCGCCTCCAACTTTTCCACTTCCTCCTTGAACCCGCCGGACTGCCAGATTTCTTCCAGGATCGTGGCAACGACAATCCCGTTGTTCTTGGTGATCCGGATGAACTCTCTCAACGCAGGGTCAGGGCCGACGTGACCGAGCGTGAAGGTGCCCACACAGGTCACGATGTCATAGGTATTGTCTGCCGTGGCCATCCGGCGGGTTAGATCAACCTGGGTCAGATTCCGATACACACCTGTCTGTCGGGCCACCTTGAGCATGGCCGGGGACAGATCCGCTCCGTCAATGACCTTCGCGCCGCCGAGGGCAAGAGCCTGGCCCACGAGTCCGGTGCCGCAGCCAGCGTCTAGGATGACGCTGTCGGCGGCCGTGGTGGACGACTCAAGGGCGGCCTGGGCGACGAGGATAGGAGCAACGTAGTTCTGGGCCTCGTTGGCCACTTCGTCGTTGTAGGTCGTGGCCCATTTTTCGTAGATCTTCATGCAGTGCTGGGTACTGCTGCTGGCACGGGCCTGACCGAGATACAAGTCGGTGGGAGGGGACACTTGGGTAGGCATATTGGAAGGCCGGGTGAGGTGCGTTGGGTTACTGAAGTATGTTGCTTTGGGGTATGAGGCGCTTTGGGAAGTATATGGGCTTCAGGGAACCGGGAAACCAAGTATGGATGGAATAAGGTATGTAGAGATGTTGCTTTGGGGCGTTCGACTGGAGTGAGCTCGAATGCTGCTGGATCAAAAAAAAAAAAATTTCTTCCTGGGTGCACCTCGGGCTTCTTATAGCATTTGAGCGGCGGGGTTTGCATATTTGCGCCCTCAACAGCGCCAATTGTATGCGTCAATTCAATCTGCACCATCCTCGATCGAAAGGGTCGTTGTTGTACCTGGAAGCTGCGGATAATTGGCCATCTTGCGGGCTGTGCTTGTGCACCCTGCACCTAGCTCGTAGGGGCCTGGGTGTGAGGTCATGGTCCTCTCCCTCATGGGGGAATGATTGGCCAAGTGAAGCACAGAACTCGGTATTGTGAACCTTATAGAATTACAATACTGCGGTGGTGGCAATAGGAATGGTGTTGAAGGCAAATTGCGCACTCCAGTATGCAAACCAGATACTGCCACGGCCTCTCTCTTCCTGCCACAACAGCACTTGTCCAGCCACCCCGCTTGCCTCCCACCGCAGAGACTTACGTCGCGGCCGATCTCACTTCAATTGACGGTGCCCCTCATCTGGTGCCAGTAGCGTCTCGGCAGGGGTGCAGTTGCTCTCTTGGCGCTAGCCGGAGGAGAGAAGTCCTCTCATATGAAGCCTACCGTGTACGCAGCGCGAGAGATATTCAGTCAACCATGGAGGCAATGACAGAACCGCGGCAACACGAAAGTAGACTATTCGAATTGAAGTTCATGAGCAAATCAACGAGTCGTTTGCCACGATTCAAAGCTGGTACAACGTCCATTTTATGGTATATATAGGGCTAAGACCGCGGCAACCGCAAGCCGACCTTCACGTCTGCCTCAACACTGGAGATGACGTAGCAGCCGACGAATATCCTGATTTCTCCATGCAGGAATCATAAAGCGTAACAATGGCGTGATGTTTCACGGAAGACACCAATCCCCAGCGATGGGCGGATGCCCTGACCCCGAAGGCACATGCCTGAGGCATTAAGGCTCCAGTCCCATCCCGGTCTAGCGTGAAGAGTGGGGCCTGGACTCGGCCGATGACGATGATTGGCTGTGAAGGTATTGGATACCTGAGGCATCAATAATAAGTCGGTTCTCAACTTCTCCTGAGAAATTCCTCTCGATAGAAGAAGGCACAGCCAGACCCAATGTAGATGCCTCTAGAAGGCGAATCAAATGACAAAATCTTGTTCCGGGTATTATCAACCAGTACCTAATAGGAGAGGAGCAACCATCACAACCATATGAACCACCTTCAATTTACTGAAACGTGGACTGAGGCCGGAAAAATCACCCTTGAGACAAACCCATGTTCGAAATGGAAAGTTCGATGAATTCATGATAACTGCCAAGTACCTGGCGCACAGACTAGACCAATCGCCTGGGACTAACGAGGCTCAGATTCCGCCAGAATGTGAACAGTGCGCACCCGTGCGCCGCACCTTTCGGTCCCCAAGAGGATAATATTTCTAGGCTGAATTAGCTCTGCTCCATCTGTCAGATGCCCCGGAACGAGTTTGAATAATTATGGGGTGCTTGTCTCACGCTCGTGCTTTTGAAAGAAGGACCCTTCCGATGCGTTCTATAAACCTCAGGAGATGTCATTCGTCTCCCTGTTCTTTCGGCCAAGAGTGGTCTCCATCTCTACTCACTCGGGTACAGTATACGATTGAATAAACGGTCGGCCCGGCTGCATTGCATCCCTGTATGCCACGAGGCGATGCATCTCAAGCCAAGTAGCTGGGACTAGCTGGGTCAAGCAATTCGATGTCGGTATCATATCCCCTATACTTGTTGTTGATGTCGTAGGTACATTGTGGATTCAACCTCGAGACGCAGGGAGAAATCCAATCGATGAGGAGCAAGGGATTTGAGCGCTCAAATCCGACACCAAGGATCCAAGCCATTCATCTTGGGCACATATGCCAGAATGGGCAGGAACTTTGAGGCATCGTGTGTTGGTCCCAACACTGCAATTTCTCGTCTAGGGTGACCGGTGGCCTGCTGCCATGCATAGTCACAAGGTGGCTGTTGGGATACAAGGCCCTTGTTCGTGCGGTTCCATTGCATGTATACAATTAATTGTCTTGTGCCTCGAGAGCGAACAAAAACTAGAACTTGATCATCTCCCGGTCGCTTCTGCTCTGCCGGATTTCTCATTCTCGACTTTTTCGCCAGATGTTGAATGCTCAAGGATCCACGTATCATGAGGGACAATAGTAACAGGGGCCAAGGTTTCATCGATCGCCATACTGGACAGCATCTTACTCAAAGGTAATCAGGAAGCATGAATTTCTAGGTCTTGTCGATGGACATGCTGGGGCCAGAAGTCCAGACAGGCGAGTAGCGAATGAGTCATCGCGGATGGCGCCATTTGAGAGCATTATCAGGGAGCTTTTCCCAATATTCAAGACCATCCAAGCCATCTACACCATTACTCGCTGTTTACAAAATGGTTGCTTCACCTCTGTTCACCGGAATAGAGGTGGCCAAAACGAATGAACATATCGAGGCCAAACACGTCGCGCGACAGGCGGAGGTTTGTCGTCATCTCTACCCGTCCAACGATGTCCAAATCCAAGCGATTGCGGGAGGAATCGCCATCAAGACTCTGCCCGAATTTCTGGGAAAGTTGAACCGGATTGTCGGCCTTGGAATGGACAGCAAGGTCGAGGAGCAAGATTTGCGCGACGCTGAAACTCTACTCAAACCCATCGGGCTCGAACCTGAAATCCACCTCTGTGCGCTGGCACATCCATCCGCACTGCGATCTCTCGACTCGTGTGGATACGTCATAAGACATGTCCTGAATACCTACGCGTGTTCCCCAGGTGATGTAGCTGCACACCAGCGTCGCACAGCAGTGGAGGACGCGGTCACTATATCCCGAGTCACCGAGGATGAGACAAAAAAGTTCCTTCAGGCTTCAGTTGCGGGATTCGAAGATGGAGGCCGATCACCGGATCTTCTTCGATTCCTTGCACGCCTTGCAGCTGACAGGAACGATACCTATCTATATTTCGCGACGGTCGGCCACGAGATTGCCGGCACCGCCGCCATGGCCGTCATCGACTCGCCCAACGGAGGCGTAGCACACCTGTATCTGGATAGCAGCCTCCCTCGACATCGTGGGAAAGGGGTTCATGCCACTCTCATTCGCGCCCGAGTGCTCGAAGCACATCAACTTGGGTTGGATCTGGCCACGATGACGACGAGTGCTGGAAGCGGCAGTGCGCGAAGTGCCGAGAGAGCAGGGTTTCGACTTGCTTATACGAAAGGAATCTTCACGAAGCGAATTTGAGGGAGTGTGGTGTGTCTGTTCTTTTGGCGACTGGCGACGACCCTAAGCTTCCACTCAATCGTCCCAGCATCATCCATGCTGCGCTGACGATCGCGGACTGTTTTCGACCATCACTGGGCGGGAGAATCGATTCGAGTGGCCGTCTGACGTGAATTTGTATCCGAATCATCTTAAAGAGCGAGATATATTAGCCGATGGGAATTCCAAATGTGCGAGATGCAGTGGAAGGGAGAACCGAGACAAGTCCGATGGATTGTGAAGCTCTCCAGGAAGAAACTCCAAGAACGTGAATCGATGAGGCGCGCTGGCGCAGCTGACTCAGCGCCGAGCCGCGTCTCTCTTTTCCCTCCGTAGTTAGGACGAGTTTCTTTCGCATCGTCCAGGTCATTCCGATGCCGAGGTGATTACTCGCCCTAGTAGGGCTCGGCACGAATAACGAATATATTCGTATACGCCTTCACTTATTGGGTGGTAATTCATATTGGGAGTAGGGCAATATTCGTACGAATATTCGTACGAATATTGGGCCTGCGAATACGAATATTCGTGGAGATCTGTGGATTACGAATGCGAATGCGAATAGCTCGAAATATTACGAATATGTATTCGTGCCGACCCCTACGCCCTAGTGGCCTAGTCTATCAGTTTAACAGTTATGAAATATGAAGTACCTACGGAGTGCTCTTTCCCAAATTACGGAGTAAGGTCCTGTCCGCCCCAGGATCCACCGGTCCACCGATGATGAGCAAAAAAGCCTCTCGATCCCCAGAAATGACCCAATCTGATCTATCACTTGGCCAGATCGAGTGCCGGTCCCAGCTCCCAGGCGACCGTCTAAACCTCGGTCGCGTTCAGTCGGCGTTTCAGGCTGGAACAGACTGAAAATCAGGACTGCATGGATTCCCCAGGCGTTAATTCGGCCGGGCCTCCAGGCATAGGTACTAGAACAATTAAGGCTGCGCGGATCTGCCGGTGAGCTCCACCTTGAGAGCCCCCAATATTGGGCCGATCCAATTTTTGGGGTGGACTCCCTGGAAAGTCGACCAAGGGGGTTGCTGGCATGATTCAGGTGTGAATAGCCATTGTCCAATGCGACACTCGTAGCCCCATTAGTTGATCGTCACCTGAACCGGTCCTGCCCGACGCCTCAATTCGGCGTGAAACATGTGGAAGAGGATCGAGGAATGCTGCTGGCTGCTGCCATCCTTCTAGGGGGATGTACGGGGTATGCTCCGAAGTATAAAAGCGGTTTGCGCCCTCGGTGTCGCTGCCGAGCTCCCTGCACGTCCTTCCCCTTGATTATTTGACCGCTGTCAAATCCCAGGAACTCGCCCCAGGGTAGACACTCGCCATGCTGCGCAAAGCCATTCTCTCTCTTGCTCTACCTCTTCTTGGTGTCGAGGCCCTGCTGGGCATCAATGAGTACGATTACATCGTCGTTGGCGGCGGCACGGGGGGCAATGTGATTGCCACTCGCCTGGCAGAGAAAGACTTCAAAGTCGCTCTGGTTGAGGCTGGCGGACATTACGAGTTGGAGTCTTTTGCCGCCGTTCCGGCCGCCGATGCTCTGCCCGTGGGCTCCAGTCCCAGCGTGAAGTCCTCGATAGACTGGGGGTTCATCACCGAAGCTTTCCCCGGAGCCAACAATCGAGCCATCCATTTTGCACGCGGCAAAACGCTGGGTGGGTCCTCAGCACTGAACTTTATGATCTATCAACGGTGAGTGCTGGCTGCGTGGTCGTAGCTTCTGATTTGACACATTGCTAATACCTCGCGCGCGAAGGCCAACCGTCGAATCCATGCAGCAATGGGCGAATGAGGTCGATGATGATAGCTACACCTTCGACGAGGTACTGCCCTTCTACAAGCGCAGCGCTCACTTCACTGCCCCCAACATGGAGTACCGATTCCCCAATGCCTCGGCCAAATACGAGGAGTCCGCCTTCGAAGAAAAGGGCGGTCCCCTGGAGGTCTCCTATGCCAACTATGCCATGCCCTTCTCTACCTGGATGAAACTGGGCATGGAGGCGATTGGCATCAAAGAGGCGCAGGATTTCAACAGTGGTTCCCTGATGGGCTCGCAGTACTGCTCGTCAACCATCCGCCCCGTCGACCAGACCCGCAGCAGCTCCGAGTCTTCGTTCCTGAAATCGCCGCCCGGCTCCCTGCACATCCACGAGAACACATTGGCCAAGAAGATCGTCTTCAACAAGAACAAGAAAGCAACGGGCGTACAGATCAAAGGTCCCCTTGGTGCGACTTCTACTCTCCAGGCCAGCAAAGAAGTGATTATATCTGCCGGTGCATTCCAATCCCCTCAACTGCTCATGGTGTCCGGAGTCGGCCCTGCAGACGTGCTCGAGGAGCATGAGATCGAGGTCGTTTCCAACCTTCCCGGTGTCGGCCAGAACATGTGGGATCACCCTTTCTTCGGGCCCAGCTATCGCGTCAGCGTCACTACATTCACTAAGATTGCCCGCGACCTGCTCTACCTGCTCGGCCAGTTCCTAAGCAGCGTCGTCACCAAGAAGGGGCCTCTCACCAATCCTATCGCCGACTTTCTCGCGTGGGAGAAGATCCCGGCTAAGTTGCGCTCCTCCTTCTCAGCACAGGTGCAGAAGTCTCTGCAGCAGTTCCCCAAGGACTGGCCCGAGGCCGAGGTCAGTGCCCCTTTCTCCTACCCTCACGTAGATGTACATGTGTACTGACGACCATCAAACAGTATATTTCCGGAGCCGGTTACATCGGAAACTTCTCCGACCTCCTTTCGACTCAGCCCCAGGATGGCTCGCAGTATGCTTCGATGCTGGGTGTCCTTGTGGCACCGACCTCTCGCGGCAACGTCACTCTGAAATCCGCCGACACGGCCGACCTCCCCTTGATCAACCCCAACTGGCTGGCCACTGAATCCGATCAGCAGGTCGCTATCGCTATGTTCAAGCGCATGCGTGAAGCGTTCCAGAGCAAGGCCATGGCTCCCGTTGTTATTGGCGAGGAATATTACCCCGGTAACAAAGTCAGCTCGGACGAGCAGATCCTCGAGTTCATCCGCAATCACGTCATGACACTGTGGCACCCGGCGTGCACCTGCAAGATGGGTAGCAAGAACGACGAGATGGCGGTGCTCGATAGCCAGGCTCGGGTGTATGGCGTCAGTGGACTCAGGGTTGTTGACGCCAGCTCCTTCCCCTTCTTGCCCCCGGGCCATCCCCAATCCACCGTTTGTAAGTTCATTCGTGATGCAAAGCACGATTCAATTGATACTGACATTTGTCACAGATATGCTGGCTGAAAAGATTGCCGATCTCATGGTTAGCAAGTCTTCGTAGAAGGATCCGAGCCAGGCCCTCGGCTTTTCTTCTCGCCGGCCCGAATTGTATTTCTATTCAACCTGTTCTATATCTTTTCTTTATAACTAACTAGATAATTCTCTTATATAATCAGTGATTATTACATATGCCATCTCGGTCTTGATGAATCCTATAGCATCGGCTCCACAGGGTTTTCGACGGCGGAAGAACGCGAGATAAACAAGATTAGCCACCGAAATAATGTGTGGTAATGATTTCCCCGGTCAAGTCCAACCGTTCCCGATTCATTGCGGGGGGAAAGACGGCAAGGTCCAGCCGCGGAGATTGTGTTCTAGAAGACCAAATGGCATTTGTCAAGCGCGCTGTCTTGCCTTTGATTATCAGTGAGTAAAACCATCCCCTGCCAAGGCCGATGATCGGGGAAGGGGAAATGTTCTCCGGGGAAGCACATATGGCCCATAGTATGGTCCATAGTCATGCATGTTCACGGTGGAAGGATGCTCACTATCTCAGAAGGTTCCCTTATTGTCTGATTGTGTTATAATATGTCATTCTTAGCCATCCCTCGGCGCGGAGTAGAGGTATTCATGTATACATGCAAGATTAGTGCACGGCACAAGATGTGCATAAACGAGCATGAGATAAGCGGTCGGCACGGAATCGGAGCCTGGGAGATCAGGCTTATCAAGCGTCGCCCTTATCAGGCCAATTCAGGCCACAGCGACACATGACACAAGCGTCGACTAATCGGGCTTATCACGGCCTGGGGTTTTCGTCACGGTATCGTCCGAAGCCCTAGATACCTACCTTCCTTACCTTGGACCGGGTCTCGTCTTATCGCCGGCCACACGGGAAGTGGCAACCTGGAACAATGCACGAGGCATTCATACCTATATAGTAGTCCCGCGATCCGGCAGAGGCAACATGCATCTCAACCAACTATTCCCCGGCCCAGAATGGCGACTATTACCCCAGACCCCGCGAAACCCATCCCTGTCGAGACGTCAGACGAGATCTCTGCCTCCAAGATCCAAGATGTCTCCGACCTAGGCGCCGTTATCGACTCGCGGGCCGAGCGATCTCTGGTCTGGAAGTTCGATCTGCGCATCCTGCCCGTGCTGGCTATCATGTACCTGTTCAACAGTCTCGATAAATCCAATCTAGGCAATGCCAAAACGGCAGGGTTAGAAGGTGCGTACTACCCAGTCCTATCTGCATTGTGATACCGTGTCGTGGTGTGTGATGGGAAGCTGACTGGTACCCCAGAAACCCTCAATCTCAAAGGAGGGCAATACAATCTGATTCTCAGCATCTTCTTCATCCCCTACGTCCTAACGGCTCCGTTCCTCGGTATCCTTGGCAAAAAATACGGCCCCAACGTGGTGCTACCCTGCATGATGTTCAGCTTTGGTCTATTTACAATCCTGGTGGTGGCTGTCTTCAATTTCAGCGGGCTGCTGGCCATCCGATGGTTCCTGGGCATGGCCGAGAGTGCTTTCTTCCCTCTGGTCATCTACTATCTCACCACGTATGTACTCCTGCTCCACATACTCCCCTGCATACGAACCATGTCTAATCCATATCTCTAGATTCTACCGCCGTGGAGAACTGGCTCGGCGCCTGGCCATCTTCTACGCCGCACAGAGCATTGCATCGGCATTCTCTGGTCTTCTTGCTTTCGGTGTCTTCCAAATCAAGTCCGGACCTCTGGCCGAGTGGCGTTATCTGTTCCTCATCGAGGGTGGCGGAACCGTGCTCTTCGCCATCTTTGCCCTCTGGTACTTGCCGCGCTCAGCATCAGATGCATCCTTCCTTTCCTTCGAAGAACGGGAACTGGCGCATCTGCGATTGCAAGTGGACAGTTCCGCCGTGGTCAACGAGAAGCTAAACATCCGCGACGCCCTACGAGTCTTCAAGCAACCCACCAGCTGGGCCATTATCGCCATTCAGATCTGCCTCGGCGTTCCTCTGCAGTCCGTGCAGCTCTTCCTGCCTCAGATCATTCAACGACTCGGGTACGGCACCGTGAAAACCAACCTCTACACCGTGGCGCCGAATGTCTCTGGGGCCGTGGTGCTCCTGATCCTCGCATTCTGCAGCGATTGGACCCGGTGGCGGTTCCCGTTCGTGGCGCTGGGATTTCTGTTCACGTTTATCGGCTTCGTCATCTACTCTTCCATCGATGTCGAGTCCGCACTGGGGGTCGCGTACTTCGCCTCGTTCATGATGACCTGGGGAACGTCGGCACCGTCGGTCCTTCTGGACGTGTGGTATAACAATAACATTGCCAATGAAGGACGTCGCATGCTGCTGACCAGTATTGCTGTCCCCATGGCGAACCTGATGGGTGTCGTGAGCTCAAATATCTTCCGCAATCAGGACGCGCCTAAGTATATGCCCGCCCTCGTCACGACGGCAGCGTTCGGCGGAGCGGGAATTATCCTGACCCTGCTGCTGGGTTCGTGGATGATGGTGGACAACAAGCGCCGGAACTCCAGACAGGGCTTGAATCTACGGGCGCAAGACGTCCCGACAGAAAGGCTTCAAGATGGACCGGACAGTCCGGATTTCCGATGGTGTTATTAAGAATTTTTTTGCGATCGAATAGAATTAATGACCTTAATGATATACCCTTTTCTCTTAATGTGATAGATTATTTTGCTAGGAGCTTCTAGAAAGTATTGCAGTCTCCCCCTGAACGCTGTTTCATATTCGATTAGTCGTGCTTTCGTATTCGTTCGGTCTCGATTTAGTCTCAGCCCTGGATCTATTCAACTGACCACTCAAGCAATCCAGAACCAAATTCGCTCTGTTGACGTTAGTCAGGGGAAGTATTTGAAACCGGAAAAGTATCTCACCGAGAAAGTTTCGTGGCCGGGGCTCCTCCCATAATGCCTCCAGCTGATCAGCTTCTGCCTTGCCCGACCACAAATCCATGTCCTGTACCTTGACGAACTTGGTACGCTTGACAATCTTATATCCTAAGAACAAGCTTGCGAAGATGGGAATGTCGATGTACGGCGGCACAAACGTCTTGGCGCTGAACTTTCCCGGAAAGAACGCGTCGAAGCCATTGAAGAACGCAACTATGGTGGAGAAAGCGATGGCAAAGTAGGCAAGGAAGGGCTGGAAGGGCGTTTTGAAGGGTAAGTCTGTCCGCGGGATGCCGTGGTGCTTGAGACCCGCGTAGAATCGCGTGTAGGTGATGGCCACGGAGGCCCAGACAATCAGCGTGCTGACGGAACTTAAATTGCTGATCCAAAAGAAGACTTCAGCAGCACTGGCCGAGACGTTAAGATAGACAAGAAGGCTGAGAGCGGCGGTCACTCCCACGCAGGCGTACGGGACGCCGAACTTCTCGTAGCGCAGGATTCGCGGCGCTTTTCCGTCCAGCGCGGTAGAATAGAGGATTCGAGTCGAAGCGTAGAAGAAAGAGTTGCCAGCAGACAGCGCTGACGAGAGGATGACGGCGTTGATGATAGAGGGCAGCACTTTGATGCCGCTGTTGGCGATAGCAATGACGAAAGGACTGGCGCCAGCCCCTTCAGCGCCGTTGCTAATGGCATTCAGCAAGCGCCGATCGCGCGACGAGACGCACAGCCCAACCAGAAAGACACTACCGACGTAGAAGATAGCAATGCGCCAGAAGATTCGTCGTACGGCCTTGGGTATGTTGCGCCGCGGGTTCTGTGTTTCACCCGCCGCCACCACAACCATCTCGCTTCCACCGTAACTGAAGGTTGCCTGGATGAAGACCTTCCAGAATGCGAGGAACCGCCCGAGATCGCCAGTCTTCAGATACTCCTGCATGGGTCCAGGGTTCTTCCAGTATCGGAACCCGATTCGATCGTGGTTGGGACCGCCGCCGAGGGTGATGATGAACATGAGAATCATCAGGCCCACGATCGTGAGCAGCTTGATGGACCCCAGAAAGAATTCCAGTTCTCCGTAAACGCGCACGGGCAGACAGTTGAGCAGGAAGATCACGATGTACAGAACAGTGATCCACACTGCGGGAGCGACGCCGTTGGGCCAGTACTCAATGATCAGTGCAGCCGCGCTGATCTCGATGGGAACCCCGATGGCAAACTGATACCAGTAGTTCCAGCCCAGCGTGAACCCCAGCGCCTCGTCCACAAACCGTGCGGCATAGACGGGCACGGCACCGGGCAGCGGCAGCCAAGCGGCCATCTCGCCCATGCTGTTGATCACGGCGTACAGATTGAAGCCGGTGATCGCGTAGGCTAGCACAGCGGACAAGGGACCGGCCAGAGACAGCACCTGGCCCATGCCCACGAAGAGTCCCGTCCCGATGGCCCCGGAAAGCGCTAGGAACTGCACATGTCGCGACTTCAGGCGACGTTGTAAGGTGCCGACATTTTTCTGCTCCTGTGCGTATTTCTCCCTCTGCGCCGCGTCGACCTCCTCCACACGAGTATCGAGGTGGATCGTATCTGGGTGTAGTTTCGAGTCATCGCCGAGGGCTGACATGATGACTTTTTCTTTTCTCTCTCTCACTTTTTTTCTTCCTTTCGTCCTCTTGTTGGTGGTGTAGTTGTCGCTATTCCCTAAACCCAGCGTATGGGATCAATCTATCGGTATACTTTAGCACGTGCATTCACCACGGGGGCGGGGGAAGAAAGCTAGCGCTCAAACAAATTACCTTCGTAAGGCTAGAACGGCGGGCCCATATGCTCCATACCACGGTGAGTAAGAGTGATTCCACAGTGAGGAGGTGTCCGGGCAAGATATCCCACGATGCAACCCTCCAGCAGCCCTAAAGCGATACTTTTACTTTGTACCCCGGACTGCCAAGGAGCGCGCGGGCAGTGAATTAATTGGTTCCACTATGAGGCAAGCGGAGTGAGCCGTCGGTCTAGGATTTCATGCTGACTTCATTGGGTGGAAGGAAGTCGGTGGCTGGCAGTGGCTGGTTGACTTGTTATCGTGAGTTCTTCACCATCGTCCGTTTTCCCCTCCATTCCTTCCTTCCTTCTCCTCCACCTTCACGGGTTCTACGATCTATCACGATGACACGCACCCAGGAAACCGCTTCTCCCCCGTTCGGTCATGGAATGAGAAAGCTGTTCTCATTTGCTCCCGGATATCGCAATCTTAACCACGGTAGGCGCAATACCTATTTGATCTCTTCTTCCCCGCCTCGGTGATCTAGGTTCTAACCTGACTCTCCAGGGTCCTATGGCACCTCCCCCTTGGCCATTCGGAAAAAGGCAGAGAATCTCCGGCTGGAATGGGAGGCACGGCCGTGTCCCTTTATCAAATATGACTTTCCAGTGCTGCTGGACGAATCTCGCGCTGCCGTCGCCGACTTCCTCGGGGTGCCCGTGTCGACCGTCGTCTACGTGGTCAACGCCACCACCGGTGTCAATACAGTTCTGCGCAATCTGGTTTGGAATCCGGATGGCAACGACGAGATCATTCAACTAGATGTGATCTACAGCGCCTGCGGCAGTACGACCAAATACATCTGCGAGGCCTCCGAGGGCCGAGTGCGCACGAGGGAGGTTCGCGTGGATTACCCCGTCGAGGACGAGGAGTTTGTCGCGGCCTTTCGAGCTGCCATTCAGGCCTCGCGTCGCGAAGGTCGCAATCCCCGTATCGCCATCTTCGATACCGTCTGCTCCAATCCGGGGTTGCGGCTGCCCTTCGAGGCCCTGGTCGCGGTCTGTCGCGAAGAGGGCGTGCTGAGTCTGATTGACGGGGCCCATGGAATCGGCCACGTGGAGTTGAACCTGGCGCAATTGGACCCCGACTTCTTCGTGAGTAACTGCCACAAGTGGCTGTTCACTCCGCGCTCGTGCGCCGTCTTCTACGTGCCCGAGCGCAACCAGGCGATGATGCGCAGCTCACTGCCCACTAGTATCGGGTTCGTCCCGCGGTCGGCATCGCCCGGGGACCAGCCTGCAGCCAACGGGTCGGAAAAGAGTGAATTTGTGCGCAATTTCGAGTTCGTAGGGACCCTCGATACCATCCCGTTCATTACGGTACCTGCAGCCATCGAGTGGCGGCGCACGGTCGGAGGAGGCGAGAAGAAGATCATGGACTATTGCACTCGGCTGGCGCAGGATGCAGGCAAGCTGGTGGCTGATATACTGGGGACGCGAGTGCTGGACAACAAGTCCAACACGTACACGGACTGCGGCATGTCTACGGTGCTGTTGCCCGTCGAGCTTTCCACCTCGTCGCCGGTCACTCTTCCCTGGAAGGGGCGTCGCGTGTCAGTGTCAGACTGGATGCAACAGACGCTTATTGAAGACTATCAGACCTACTTGCCCGTCTTCCCTTTCCAGGGACGTTGGTGGACCCGGCTGAGCGGGCAGATCTATCTAGAGTTGAGCGACTTTGAGTGGGCCGGTCATACCTTGGTGGAGTTGTGTGGAAAACTGAAGGAAGCTTTGTCTGAGTCGTAATGAGTTGATAGAGCAGCTACTGGTCCAAGTTTACCCCGCTGGCGACAGCGCCAAAGACTTCCACCGCATGTCCCAAGTATTCCTGCACACCTTCGGCGCGAGATAGCATATCACTGCCTAACAGCAACAACCGCTCGACCTCGTGCCCTTCCCCCACGCCCTCTCCAACCACTACTTCGTACAGAGCCTTCATAGCTTTATCTTTGTCCCCGTTGGGCTTAAAATTTCCACTCGTAAATATCGTCAGCATCTGGCCCGCGATGGTGCCGCGGTAGCCCTCGGGCAGGGGAGTCTCCCCAACCAGGCCAACATTGGGCATGTTCGTGTTGAAGGTTCCCAGCACCACCGTCAGAGTCCGAACGTTGAACGGCGCCAGCTCCTTGGCGAGCACTTTCGTGAGACCTAGCAAGTAATGAGCTTCCATACCCGTCGCAGAGGGGTTTCAACTTACCGTCCAGACCCGCCTTAGCCCCTGCATACGGTCCCATGGTCTCTCGCCCATCCAACGAAGCACCGCTGCTTATATTGACGATGACACCGGACCGACGTCGCCGCATGTGCGGCAGCACCGCGCGGATCAGCCGCAAAGGACCGAAGTACATGGTTTCCATCTGCGCACGCACCTCCGCCTCGGTGGCCGTCTCGACGGGGGCAAAAATCGAAAAGCCTGCGTTGTTGACGAGCACGTCGATCTCTTCGCCGACAGCTTCTAGCTCGGTGATCACATCGCCGCTCGAGGGGCTGTCGACGTCCAGGGAAATCCATTTGCCGCCCTTGCTCTCGATTTCCTTCACCAGCCTAGGAGTCCGGGAGGGATTGCGCGACGTAGCGATTACTCGGTGACCGCCGGCTTGGGCAAGCCGCACCAGGGATAGACCGAAACCGGAGGAGCAGCCGGTGATGAACCAGGTGAGCTGTTTCTTGGGTGCGGTAGTCATGGTGATGGGCAACTTCGTCGAGAACAAATAGTCAGGCAGAGGGCGAAGAGAATTTGAGACGATTGTTGGATTACTATGAGTTTTCAGAAGAGCCATTCAAGTCGATACTTATAGCAGATCCCCAACATCTGACATGCAATTGTCATAACTTCACAACATCACAATACTACCTATGTCGGCGGAGTTAGCGGAGCTTACAGCTCTGTCGCCATAAGGTCTAAGTCCGCCTTTTCCCCCGGAGGCAGTGAGCAAAGCTCAATTCTTTTAGTGGCATGTTAGTCAAGATTCGGTTGGGCCATGATGTCAGTCAAAGGTGTGTTGGACATAGCTAGCCACACTGAGATCCCTATATGCCCTGACAGTCTGACTCCTGTTGTTTTTGGGGGGGGGGGGCAGTGGTAGTGTTCTCGTTGAGAACCCATTACTGTAGGTGACAATCCCTTTGTCCAGATATTCTGATTTTGATCCATTTGGGGAGGTTCTCAATCGAAGGCAGAGAGTGGGAGAAATTCCATGTCCGGCCAGTGAAGGGGATGGCCGGGTGGATGCCTGAGAGACGCGCCTGAAAGCCTGCCGAATCAGGCCACCTGGTGTCGGTCACGTGTGTGGGATGCAAAGCGAGCAAACACCCATGGCGACATCGGCTCAGTCTGGCATCTCTCTCTCTCTCTCTCTCTCTCTCTCTCTCTCTCTCTTCCTCTTCGATGTTTCCCAGCAACTTGAGGTGTCGTTCAGGCGTTGTTCAGGTCGTAGGCGACAATCCCGGATGTCATTACCCTCGAGAGATTCCGACACGGACGTGGCAGACCGTCCGCTGCTCCAGCATGATTCCGATCAAGATGAGAACGGGCCGGCAGGTCCTCAATCGGCCATAACACGCCGAATTTACATCTCTCACTTTCTCTCCACATGGAATTCCCGCGTGTTTGAGTTCGGGGCTATCTTGTACCTGGCCTCAATCTTCCCCGATACTTTGCTGCCCATGTCGGTCTATGCGCTCGCGCGAGCGATCGCGGCCATCCTCTTGGCTCCGGCGGTTGGACACTACATCGACACCGGAAATCGCCTGGCCGTCGTGCGGTTTTCTATCGGTAAATTAACCTGTGCTACCTTCTTTCTCCCCGTCGATTGATTGACCCTGTGATATCCCGCAGTGGCTCAGCGTGTGGTTGTGGCCGCGTCCTGTGCAGTGTTCTGGGTCCTGGCAAGGGGGGACCTGAACCTACGGGCATTTACGCCGTGGCTGCTGGCACTCCTGGCGCTGCTGGCTTGCGTCGAGAAGCTTTGTTCCGTCATGAATATGGTCTCGGTCGAGAAAGATTGGGTATCGCCCCCCGCGTGGGAAGAAAAATCGAACTATACTAACAGCTTCTCCTAGGTTGTGGTCGTTTCTCAAGGCGATGACATCGCGCTTCGAGGTAAATTGCAACTTTTCCGGGGTCTTAGTACTTTGTTTAAAAGCAGTCCGATTTCTGATTGTTTTTTTAGCGCTCAATTCGCAGATGCGCCGGATTGACCTCACCTGCAAGTTGGTCGGGCCGTTGATCATCGGCCTGGTCGACGGTCTATCCACCGAGATCGCCATCATCGTGAACTTTGGCATGAACATGGTGTCGGTTCCGTTAGAATATTACGCGATCGCTAGAGTCTACCACGCAGTGCCCGAGCTACAGCAGCCGAAGCAGTCTGCCGGAGACGTCGACAGCGACGTCGACAGCGACACTGAACCATCCCCACGACCGTCGTCGATTAGTCGCGGGATGGATGCCATCCGTGCACTTTTCCGGCAATTGCACTTTTACTTTGGGCACCGAGCATTGCTTCCTTCGTTCGCCGGAGCGCTCCTCTACTTCACGGTCCTGACGTTTGGCGGCCAAATGGTCACCTACTTGCTGTCGGTCGGCTACAGTTCCATGGCCATCAGCATCGCCAGGACGGTGTCCGTAGGGTTTGAAATCTCCGCCACGTGGATCGCACCAGCCGTGGCGGCGCGTATCGGCCCCATCCGCAGCGGTATCTGGTTTGTCAGTTGGCAGCTGTGCTGTCTGGCGGCAGCCATGTCGGCCTTCTGGACCGTGGAGTCTCCCATCTGGGCGGCTTCCAGTCTGGTGGGAGGGACGATGTTAAGCCGGGTCGGGCTGTGGGGCTTTGATCTTTCGGTGCAGATCATCGTGCAAGAAGTGAGCATGGCATGTGTGCGTGTGGTGGTTAAGATCCTCGCTGACAGTGACAAACTATCTAGGAGGTGGAACCGGCCTACCGAGGCAGCTTCTCGTCGGTGGAGGCGGCCTGGCAGAACGCGTTTGAGCTGTGCTCGTACGCCACTACCATCCTGTTCTCTCGACCCGATCAGTTCCACTGGCCCGTCACCATCAGCTGCGTCGCCGTCGCGATGGCCGGAGGGATGTATGCGGGATTCGTTCGCATGCGGCGCGGTCATCTGTTCCATCCTCCGCACTGCATCGCCATGCTGGACAAGCGATCGCGGCCGGATTATGAACACGTCTCAAGTCCAAGGACTGTCGGTCCTGTGTAGAGGTGGGAAAGAAACGGAGTAACTCCAAACCGAGAGGCGTCTCCAAATAGAAATGAAGTCTAGCACAGTGCTATATTCAAGTTTTCGAGAGATACATACCAACGGGTAGCAAGTAAGTGGGACCCATATATGAAGGTTGAATTTACTTTTGCCATCTGTTGGTTATCGAAAGCGTAGCAGTGGCTTGGGGCAGGGAAATATATACCTCGGCCGGTTTGTTTACTGAGATCGCGGAATAGCTTCGCTCGACGACAGCTTAATAGATACAACATCAGCTATGGTGAGCCATGATTCGCTAAAGTTGACTTAAATGTAAGAGCTCACATTATAATTGGTAAAAACAATTTTCATTCTACGCGAATTGAGAATCTCCAAAAACAACACATCGTGACCAACGGGCCAAAGGTTCTTCCGCTCCGCTCTCGCGCCCATTGTTCTTCTCGATCTTTGTCTTCCCATCCCCCACCCTCGTCCCACGGTCGCATCCCCCCAAACCAGGCGAGGTCCACTTCATCGCACGCCTAGTGAGAGCCCTTCCAATGAGCAGATTCGAAAAACAAAAGCAATGTTATTTTTCCAGTCTAGAAGTGCACCAACAGACTCCCCGCCAGGAGCTGCTGGCGATTTCAATGAATGAAGTACATACAAAAAGAAATTCAATCCACTGTTTTTGGCCCAGCCAATAGTCCAGATTCATAGCCCCATTTCGCTTTCATGCCATAGTCTCCTCGTCTTCACTGGGCTTGCCCCGTCTCGGTCGTCAGCATATTCCGCAGATACTCCTCGCCCACCGGCGCGCATTCGTCCACTCTCAACCGACCCAGATTCTGCCGAGTCTGAGCAGACTCCAGCGCGAACATATTGTGCCCCAACGCAAAATACTCCTTCAGTACCTCCCATCGAATTTGCGCGTCCGACGAATCATCCATCCGAGATACTGTTTCCAACCACTCCGCCACGGGCATGATGCGGCCCTCGCGATCGGACGGTGCGAGCAGGTGGCCCGCAAACTCGGGAATATGGGACACTGGGAGCGGAGACGGATTGCATAAGTGATGGATGGTTGCCTCCTTGGTTGTCTCCTGCGGGGAGTGAATTGCGCTCGTCGCCAACGCGTGGAATCCCTGTGTCAGGTAGTCCACCGGGATGAAGTCAGCGACGAACGGTCGGTCGGTCTGCGGTAGATCTGGCACCGCTGCGGCGCGCACCATGCTCAGGATCATGGTCCGGATGAAATCATCTTTGGGCTCCGGAACTCCTGTGGCACGATGACCCGTCGCGGCGGATGCCCGGTATATCGTGACGGGGAACCCGCGTTCAGCGGCCTTCTCCATCAATCGTTCGGCGACCCATCGTGATTTAAAGTATCCGAATCGGTTGCTTGCCTCGGGCGTGAAGTGTCCCGCGGTAACTTCGTTGGCGACCGTCTCAGGCGCAGTCCGTTGAGATGTGGACCAAGTTTGGAGATGAGGGACGGACCAGGTCGACAGGTGATGGACGTGCGTTTGCACGGCTCCCAGGCTGGCCAGCTCGATCACGTCGCGCACCGGAGAGACGTTCAACGTCCGGAGCGCGTCGTAGGATCGCAGCAGGGAGACGTATCCTCCCAGGTGGTAAATCGCCTGCACCCGACTGCCCAGACGGCGGAATTGCGCTGGCGACAACCCGAAACGAGGGGATTCCAGCGTTCCGGCCACGCACACGATACGAGATGCAACGATATCGGGACTGGGGACTAGTTGCCACAGCCGGTAAAGCTCGAACGCCCTTTCGACGTCGGAGTATTCGAGGGGGCTTTGCGATCCGAGAATGTAGACGGTGGAAATGCCGGGGTCCTGCAGGATGGTTGCGAGCATGTGAACGCCAATAAAGGAGTCGGCCCCGGTAAGGAGAATGGAGCTCACGTCGGAGGAAGCGATGCCAGGCGCCTTGGATGGCTGCAACTGCAGGTCTAGACTGGTCTCTTGCTCCCAGTCAACCTCTGGCCTCATCGCAGTGATTGGGGTTGGACTGCTCGCACCGCCCAAGATTTGCGCGATGCCGTGCGGTGTTGGTGCCTTGAACATGGGATTGAGCGCCAGCGGCCGTTTGAGTGCCCGCTTGAGGCGAGCCTGTAGCCGGACCAACAAGATACTATTTCCTCCGAGGGCAAAAAAGCTGTCACTGGGAAGGAACATGCGCTCCCGAGGGAGTTTCAACACCTCGCGGAAGCCATCCATGACCGCTGTGAGAATGCCATCCGTGTCTTCTCCATCGGCGTGCCCTTTCGTGGTTCGGTCTTCTTTGACAGCATCTTGTTCCACGGGGTAAGTCAGTTGTAGTTCACCGTGGAGGAGCTTTTGTCTGTCGATTTTGCCGCCAATGGTGACGGGAAGAGCCTCTAGAAACTGGTATGCGTTGGGCAGCATGTACGCATTCAGATGTTCAGCTCCGTACTTGTTCAGTCGGACAGCGAAGTCTGCCTCTTGTAGTCGGTCTAAGGGCTGCTTCGGCACAACGAAGGCGATGAGTTGACGGTCATCTCCGACACTGTCGTCGGCTGCGACCGTACGAGCGATCACAGCCAAATCGATGAGTCCAGCGCCGGTGGAATCCTTATTTGCTTCGATGAACAGACGATGCTCTACCTCTCCTAGATCGATTCGGTAGCCACGCAGTTTGATCTGCTTGTCGCCTGCGATTCTGCCGTGAAATTCGAGGTTGCCACCAGGAAGGAACCGACCGCGGTCCCCCGTTCGAAACATGCGCGTCCATCCGCGCTGTTCCTTGTCATCTGTCGAGCAAAATGGGTCTGGGAGGAAAGCCTTTTCGTTAGCCTCGGGGCGGTTGATGTATTTCAAGCCCACTTGCGCTCCTCCGACGACAATTTCGCCAACCAAGCCTGCGGGGAGGGGCTGGCCGCGGTCATCCAAGATGTAATGCCGAGTATTGGCCATGGGGAATCCGATGGGAATGTTGGTGGCGTTCTCGGCGGGCCGGTCAACTCGTTGAAGAGTCGTCTGGACTACTACTTCACTAGGGCTCCAAGTGTTGTATACGACGGCCGGGGTGCCCAAGTCGTAGAACGCTCGGGCGACACGGACGGGCAGTCTCTCGCCGGCAAAGTAGGCAATTCGATAATCCCGCAGACTCCGAAGCTTTTCAGTCGCATGCTCCATCAACAACGCAAACTGAGTTGGCGTGAAATAGGTGATCGAAACTTGCGATGCTTCCATGTATGCGGCCAAAGCGACCGGGTCCTTGCGAATGGCGCTAGATGCCACACATACACGAGCTCCGGCCGTCAGGGCCGAGAAGATTTGTACGATGGATAAGTCGAATGAGATCGAAGAGTGGTGCAGGAATCGATCTTGGGCAGTGAACTTGAAGTCATGGTGAAGGGTGCTCAGCATCTGTTGCGTGTTCGACTGAGTGAGAACCACTCCTTTGGGAGTTCCAGTGCTGCCCTGTTCCATTGTCAGCATGCCTATTGCTCTATTCTCATCCTGGACCTCCTAAACTTACCGAGGTGTAGATGACATAGAAAGGAAAGTCCTTTTCCAAAGGAACCGAAATGTTGGCAATGGAATGGCCGCTAGTCGGTACACCGGCAATTTCCAGCACAGTCGCAGAAACTTTGGACGTAAGCGACCTGGCGGCTTCTCCCAGCTCAGATCCAGCAAGAACCAAGGGGAGGTCTGAATCGCTGATCATGAAAGCGAGTCGCTCCGCGGCGAACTCTGGATCCAGGGCCACAAAACCACAGCCGGCGAATAGAACGCCCAACATGGCCGTGATGGCCTCGCGTCCGGGTCGGCTGAAGACTCCAACTCTGGATCCGATTTGGACCTCAGCGTTGCGAATGGCTGCTGCGATACCGCTGGCATCGGCAACTAATTCCCAGTAGGTGAGTTGTTGACCATCCCCAGAGGTCTCGATGGCGATGGCTGTGGGATGTTGTCGGGCCATATCCATTATACGATCGGCCACGGACTGGTTTTTCCATGTATTTTCTGTATGTGCCATGTTGAAGAATCTTTCCTTCAAAAGAGCCAACTCCTTGGGTCCAACCATGCCGATCTCTGCCACAGGTTGACGGGGATCGCGAATGATACTACTCATAAAAGCCACGAAATTATCGAGGAATCTCTCCATATCGGCTGCCCCGTACAGAGTACTAGATGATTCAAGACGCAGGTGGAGCCCCTTCGCCGGGTCCTCCAGTGCTTCTAGACCAAGTTCGCATGCGGTCGGAACGTCCTCACCCTGCACATCGACAATATCGAAGTCACCTGCAGAGTAGGTCGGCATGGTACCGTGGATTTGGTAATTGACGATGACCTGACCTAGAGGGAAATGCGCCGGGTTGCGTTCCAGTCCCACGGCATCCACAATGGCGTCAAAGGGCAGCTGCGAATGAGCCAGCGATTTCATGATTTGATCTTTGATTTGCTTGAGAACATCGGCAAAAGTGCCGGTAAGATCTGCCGCGCAACGGACAGGCACCACGTTCACGAAGAAGCCCAGCGTATCGTTCACCGCCGGATGAGGACGATTTCCGTCGACCATGTGAAGCGTCATGTCGTCTTCCTGTCCGTACCGGTAGAGGAAGACTCGGAAAGCAGCCATTAAGAACTGGGCTGGCGTGACCCCCAACCGCGCGCAGATTCGTTTCATCCGAGTTTGCAGAGTATCCTTGAGAGTTGCTCGGTGGATCTGGCGTTGGTAATCATTGAACTCGGGTCGAGCCGTCTGAGCGAACGGTAGCAATTTCATTGGGACTGGGGGCTGTTGGTACTCGTTTCTCCAGAACTGCACGCTTGATTCCATCTCCTTGGATTTAAGCTGGGCATTGTGCCACTGGCTGAATTGCGCGTAGCTGACAGACGGCTGTGCCACACCGTCGAGATTCGATTCGCGGCGCAGGCTGTCATATAGGCCGGTAATCTGTTCGAGGAATGACTGGCTGCTGCCACGGTCGATACAGATGTGATGGAAGATGAGCACAAGAGCATACTCGG